ACATAACCAGTATGTAAGTCAATTGTCTGAATGGTTAATTCTCAAAACATTTTTTATACGCCCACATTGAAATGTGGTCGTATATTGTCGTCGCCCCCGTCCGTCCGTCCGTCCGTCCGTCCGTCCGACCGACCGACTTTCAATTTATACACAGTGTTTAAGGTCATGAGACAAAGAAGCCTATTGATTTTCAGCGATTTCCGATAATTACTGCCAGAGTTATGGCCCTTGATCACTTCAAAAAATCTTGTGGATGCTCTAGAGGCTAAAGTTAATATCTGATTGAGTTTAAATTTATACACAGTGTTTGAGGTCATGAGACGAAGATTCCTATTGATTTTCAACGATTTCCGATAATTACTGCCAAAATTATGGCCCTTGATCACTTCGTGAGTTGTTGCTTTTAATCAGATTTTAGTGTATTATAAATGTTTCATTACCGAAAAAAGTAAAAATATGCGACAACCCTTGTTGACTGCCCGGACGATTTAGTTGCTGTGGGCGTATGTTTCGTTGCCTGGCAACCTATCTTTTAAAAATAATTTAAGTAAACTATAACTTCACTGAACGAAAAATATGATACTGACTTTTGTATTAATCAATTTTAAACTATTTGAATATTTTAAGTCATTATCCTAATGTTATTTGCTGTTCAGTTCAAATGTACGATTATTTGTATGGTTTTTGTAGATTTATTGACATAGGTGACTTTTGTAAACGAATATCCATTAAATATTTATGCGAGCTCTTTAGTACATGTGTGATAAAGGAAAGTTCTATTATTTTCAAAATATTATCTTCTTTTTTAAGACATGGTAGTATAAAATATTTAATCTTTATCAAATTCCTTTTGTTTATTTTATAATAAATGGAATGTTTAATACACTATTACCTCTGCAATTGACATAATACCACCGAAATCTGGATGATTTAAATTCTTACCCCAAATTTAGTAAATGCTAAGATGTTATTGCACATGTTCAATATCTTATATTTATTTACATGGACATGATGTATGATTATTGTATAATCTTCTATTTACCAAAATTGGTTAAAAACCTTATTGTCAGGAAATGAAATAATCTTTTTTATGATCGTAGTTAATTTTTATAATATTTACCAATAATTATTACTATTGAATTGTTGTACTAGCATCACATAAAATTATTGTTCGATTGAGATGTAAATAAAAAAATATTTATTGAATCATTATCTTTTTTTTATATTTTTGTCCGAACCATTGCCTTGTAGCCTTACATCCCAGTAGTTTACAAAATTTTGTGCACAGGAAAGTTGTAAAAATTGATAAAATCCAAGATGGCCGACATTCGCCTAATCAACGTATAAAAAAATCCTTATGAACATAGCTATGTAATATCAAAATGTCAAATGAATGAGCCCATTAAAAGTATGATGTCATATAGCCATATAATGATAATACACACCTGACATTACAATGACGCAATATTATATGGACTTTCTATGATGTAGGCCTACCATATTGCACTATGTATGTCTTTCTGTGGTTGTCATCTTAGAGTTCCTTTGGGGACAGAGGGAGATGCTTCTAGCGCATTAAGATGATTCCCAACTATATAATAGTAAATGCAGTAGGACCGCACTACATGTAAAACAAAAATCTACAAGATAAACCTGCGGACAAGACAGAAAATAGACATTGCACCAAATAAACAAATATCAAATCAAGTGAATGGATCCGGGGGCCAGCCGTAAGCGTCCACTGCGCTGTAGGCCTACAGTCCCGGGCCTGTAGTGACACAGACTTCACTCAAATTTGAAAACAATCAGGAATACAAAAATGAGACGTAAGAGAAATAATGCAACCAATCTTTACAGTGGTCGTCTCCTCAAAATGACGATAGTCTGACGACCACAGAAAGCCATGACATGTACGTCATAAACAGTATATATTGCACATTAATATTATGTTAGCTTACGGTAGGACTACATGATCTCGCTTAATATTAATAATCTTTTGGAACAACGTTTTTTTGCTAATGCCATGGATTAAGAGTGTGCTATCTCGGCAATCTGATTAAAATACAGATCTATATTTCGTTTCGTTTTTTTATACTTTCGATAGCCCACACTACATGAAGATCTGACAAGTTATAGCGATAGGTCACGTCAGGGGTCAAAAGACCGACTTATGACCCTATGACGTCAGACATTTGATTAACCAATCAGCATTGATGTTACTAGTGGATTACCCACAGTTCCGTGAAAAACACGCCTAAAGCTCGCCGTAACAGACCGTTTCATTGGCTTATCCCTGACACCATTCAGAACACGAGTTAAATAACAACTCTTCCAGATCCAAGTGTAGTAAAGACAAATATAACGAAATTTTGAACTATAAAAACGAAACGAAATCGGATCTGTGTTTTTACCAGATTGCTATCTCAGCCACTGATTGCGTGAAGAAACAAGATTTAGGAAGATACTCCAGAAGTTTCTTGATGAGACAAACTACACAATTTTGGGGGGGTTGGGTGACCGAATGGTTAGCACATGCGTGCTGTATCATACGGTCTGTCATTGAGTCAACTGGTGTGGTTTCGATTCCCCGGTTGTACGTGACAAGGGGTAGGCTCGCCTGTACAACCTTGTGGGTTTTCTCCGGGTCCTTCAGTTTCCTCCCACTGCTGAAGACCCCCACGCGCAAACAAATTATTGAAATAAAATTGAACCATGTGTTAGTCCCGAAATGACCTAGTTTGTGTTGAGTGGACGTTAAACCCCATTTTTCTCTCTCCATACACAATTTTGAGCTCTGTCAGAACGAAAATAATTTCTTTTTGCACAGATGTTTGCATTTTTTACCAGCAGTATGAGAAGATCTGTGACCTCCAAAACGTGGAATGCAATGCTACGGCTTAAGTAGCATGTCGGATCCACATGATCTGCAGATGCTAGTAGGCATTTCAACCCCTTTTAACTCCCAATTTATCACATTTAAAGCAGCAGCCACTTGTATTGAACTTTAGCCTTTCCTATCAGTTCTTCGAATGTGTAACAGTACATCTGATTCAAACTATAACATTGTATAGCTCAGCAAACTGATATTGACGTTTATTTTAGCAAAAATTGCTCAGTTAATAAAAAGCACCCCACGTGTCTTAGAAATCATTTAGATGACAGCACTCTTTATTAGTTCATTTTACATAGAGCAAATTGGTATATGATTCCTTACACATCTATTTCGTTGTCTTGTCTTGCTTCACTCATTTTCCACGATAGCAGGTTACGTGGACCCTAGGGGTATCTTCTCAAAACATGTACATAACCAAATAAGCCAGTATGTGATGAAGTACCCCGTTACTGGTATAAGGGACCTGTAAATACCCCTGATCATATCTTTAAATGAAATATTGACCCCAAAACATTAATTCAGATACCAAATTTACTATATTATGATCAAGCAGTACATAGTTATGTCTATTCGTACATTTAGGTTTTCGGTAGGTTTTAGGGTACTGGTGCACCTGAAAAGGTGTAAGTGGCCAGTTAACACCACTGGATATATAGATAACTGACAGAATGACCAACTTTGCTATTTATGATGTGGGTTTTCAGACATAGGTCTTTAGGGTAGGAGTACCCCCGAAAATGGCACATGGAAATACATGCCTGTCTGAAGTTTTCAATTGAGAAAATGACTTCAAAAATTTTGGACTTTCCGGTGCTCCCATTTTGGTAAACTTTTAGGACGTCATTCAGTAGAACTATAACTCTACCGCAGTTGTTTGGGGATTGGCCTACCTTTTTTGATTAATTGGCTGATCTATTAAACCAGCGGTTGCCCGGTAGGGTTGCCAGGTAAGATACGCCAACATTTTGCAAGAGATAGAGAGAGAGATGGGGTTTAACGTCCGCTGACACAAACTAGGTCACTTCGGGACTAACACATTGTTCAATTTTATTTCAATAATTCGCTTGTGCGTTGGGGTCTTTAGCAGTGGGAGGAAACCGGAGGGCCCGGAGAAATCCCACAAGATTGGAAGAGATGGATAGAGAATAAGTTAAAAAGGAAAGCGATTTTTCGTACAATAAGGGGCCATTATCCAGGCAGTTATGATCTGAAATGTGCCAATGTCGGAAAGGACTGAGGTATTTGGGATATAGGCCTAAAGATATGTTTTAAGTTTCATCAAAATCGGCTAAAAATTATGACTTCTAGAGGGTCCATGAGTCCACAATCTGATTAGAATACAGATCTATATTTCGTTTTTTTATACTTTCGATGGCCAACACTACATGAAGATCTGTCCGGTTGTACTCGAAGGTCTTGTCAGGGGTCGTATGTGCGGCTTTTGACCCTATAACGCCAGACATTGATCAATCAGCATTGACGTTTCTAGTGGTTTACCCACAGTTCTGTACATGGCACGCCAAGAAGTCGCCGTAACAGACCGTTTCATTGGTTTATCCCTCACTTCAACCAAAGCGCCGGTAAAATAACAACTCTTCCAGATCCTAGTTAGTAAAGACAAGTAAAATGAAATTTTGAACTATAAAAATGAAATGAAATAGGATCCATGTTTATACATACTTTTACACTATTTGTGTACAAGGAGCAGCCATTTTGTCAGGCAGTTTCCTTTAGATTTTCACGAGACCTGAACTCACCCGTCATTAGGGTGTAACGGTAATACATTTAAACTTTTTTTTAAAATCGGATAAAAATCATGAAAAATCACGTTTTTAGCTTGTGGACACTCTAGAGATCACAATTTTCATCTGATTGAAATCTTGAAATGAATGTTTGTAACCCAAAGATCTTGGTCCCTTTCGATATTCGCGTATATCGGATCGTAACTTCCTGAATTATGGCCCTTGATTGTACGAAAAATCGCTTGTATTTTTTAGCTCGTTCTTTATCCATCTCTTGAAAAATGTGGGCGTATCTTGCCTGGCAACCGCTGGTTACACTATTTGTTGAGTGTCCTACTACATTTCTACATTCAACAGACAATTAATCTTTGCAATATACTTTAATCTGTGTAATAAACTCGAAGCAAGCAATTACAACAAATGAAAAAGAAATCTAATATATATATATATATATATATATATTCCATTATTTGAAGTAATAAACTAGTTGGTGCAGCAATCCTAACATTTTTACTTGTATCTCAACGGAATGACTTAAGATTGATATATAGATGCAGAGTTCATATACTGCATTAAAGGTTCTTCCACGAATTTCATGTAAGAATTAAATAGCTTTGGAAATAATGATTTTAGTTTTACCTGACAAAATGTCATGCCTGACATGTATAATATACATGTATATTAAAAATACTTATAAAATTTAAGTCTGTGCCACACAAATTGACCTGCCACCTGAGGGGCTGTGCCTGACAACGCCTGTGACAAGTCCTTTATTCCCAGACTTGACCTTCCAGTGCATCACACTGCATTTTAATTTTGGTAAATGGAGAAATTGTATAAACAAATCATTCTTTAAATTAAGACATGTACATAAGTTAATCTGGTCAATTTTTTGTATGTCCTCTATCTCTCTGTTGAGAAACAAGAAAAATGGCTGCCGCACCGTTTGAAGCCATACATAGGGGCAAACACCATAAAACCTAAACCATATAGCCCTTCAAAAATATTCTCTACATATATGTATGCAAGTCTTCTAAATAATGACTTACATTACATTTTAACTATATATATAAAATGGATTCAAATAACATCCCAAATATAAGTATGAACAAATTAGTTCTTTGTTATGAATATACAAGTCATCTTTAACTGTGACAAAACATTCCATTTTACATCTTTTATATATGAATTATAAATATATATGTTTATGTTTTCAAATATATGTGAACAGTGAATTTTTCAGGTAAATATTTCAAAAAGCACATGTAAAGTTTTTATCAATTATGCAATGCATATCTTTTACAACACTAATAAAATATGTAGGCCTACGGAAAATATTAAGTCTCAAACTATAATCACACAATGAATTTTTAACTGATGTGACAACTCTACTGGGAATGGTTTTTTGGAAAATTGAGCAGAAATTTTGTTAAATAAAGTGAACGAAATGCACTGAAAGCTAGACAGACAAAAACAAGATTTTTAAAATAAATGGAGATATTAAAGAAAAACCATCAGTGATATTTATTGTAGAATTGGTTTCATTGTCAAAAGAACTAACTTATAATTGAACACTTTGAATAAAACAACCTATTAATGTAATTTATTTTTTTATCTTTAATGATAATGACTAGCAAAATTAACAAAATTTCTGCTCTTTTCCTACCTTTTTGAGCTCATCATTTATTTTTGTCTTTTTTTTTAAAATGAATATATACATATTAAGGAATTTTTATCAATAGGATAGGTACAGCCATTAGTGAGTAGATGTAAAAAAGAAAATGATAACTATTTAAGTACCATAAATAAAATTGAAAAAAAAAATTGTGTTTATTTATATTCAAAAATTATCATAATTGATTTAGTAGTCAGTATATAAATAAAATTACTTGATTCCTTAATATATTAGAAGTAACAGTAAATGACTGAAATACATCATAAAATATTACATGCCCATCCACTTGATAACCTCTATATACTAATAAACAATAGCTTACAAATAACAACACTAAAATATGATATAGCACTTCTAAATTAGAATACATAACAAAATGGAAAAGTTCTGTCAACAATAACCACACAATTCATTTTAAATGTTAGGACTGAATCAAATATTCTATTTGTCTTTTTATCATATCAAGATGACCTGTTTCATTTTAAACAGACAACTATTAAATATACTGAATTAGGGACCTCATAGAATTGATTGGTTCAGGAACTTATGATTGGTTCGAATAATAGATATGACTTTCTATCATACATTCCTTATTAATTGAAAAACAATAGACAAAAAATGAACAACATTTAGCCAAAGAGAAAAAACTCGATACTGACAACAAATAATATTAAATATCTCAATAGAAGATAGGTAATAAATGTTTTCAATATCCATTCCATCTATACCCATCAACCGTTACAAGTAAAATGAATATCTTTTACTGTACAACATGAAATTATTGTGCCATGAAATTAATGAAAAACATATGTGATGGATAAGATTCATTATGAAATTAATGTAAGCCAGTAAATGTCCATCATTTACTTACCAATGTCTTCCCAGCATCATATTTACGTTATTACATGTTAACAATATCCAGCTGGGACATATTTTGCTGTGACTTTGAGAAATGTTCAATAGTAATTTCATGCCGCAATCAGATTCATGTTATACAGTATAGACTGTAGAGAAGGTTATTAACTAGCTACACAAGCAGAGTAATGGTATAAAACATAAATGAAAGTTAGGTGTATATCGCATAAAAAGCTAAACATTACATGCCAAAAAGCAATTATACACCTACAAGCTTGATTTAATAGATAAATATTGAACTTTGAGTTTTAGTTTACAAAAGAACATATAATTGCCGACAAGAAATTATTATGATCAGTTGTTATTCCATGCTATAATAAAAGTTACATGCATATATGTAGTATATATATATATATATACATGTAATATATATATGTAATAATCTGCTACTCTACATATACATCTAACAAACAATTCAGTAGCATTTAAATCAGAAAAAAAAACATTCTTCTTCTATCTTTTTCTGTACCTATACAAATTCAAATGACTTTCAAAGTTTCCAAATGATGAAAATTAGTAGCTATGCCAAACATCAGTAAAAAATAGTCCAAATTATTCTAGTATTTTTCCATATTACGTACCCTTCTAACAGTCCAAATACTGAAGTCATGAAGCTGACAATTTTGGATAGGACTACAGAATAAAAAATTGTTTTATGGGGCTATATTTTGTGGATATATGCAAAAGCAGGTTCAATTATACAAATCTTGGAACTACAGAAATGTTCCATTTTTATATTTGTTCTAATTTAATTTAACAATCTGATTTAAATACAAATCAAATAATTTTTTCCAAATAGCTGTCACTTGCATTAACAATCCCTTACTAAAAGCCTATCAAAAATATAAAATACGTCAACAAACAGTAATATATTACAAGTTGTATTTTAATCAGACTGATGTATATCTCCACCCCCTGCCCCCCACCCCCCACCCCATCCACAAAGTCAAATACATTTGTAGTTTTGAGAATGATAAATGCAGAAAATCAAAAAATGCTTAACATATTACTTAAGTTAATAAATTCTAAACTAATTTGAGATTTCATTCTAAAGAAAATGGAGATATAAACTAAAAATGTTGAAAACTTCTATGTCGTGGGGCAGGTTCAATATTCAAACTCTTGAGAATTCCAAATGGATCTATATTCATATCCCCGCCAGGAGTGATGAATCCTGATGGTGTTCTTGGTGTCTGAGGTTCTATACCACTTAGAGGATCAGCATTCGGCTGTGGAGAGAGTGAATTTGATGGTTGTTTTCTTAAAACTCCAGCATATGACAATTTGCCTCCATTATTTGAGGATTGTACTTCTCCATTATTCGGTGGTGTGAAATTTAACTGAAATTTAAGCGGTGGAGTGGAACTAGCTGCTGCACCCTTTTCTTTTGATGTCTTAGTTTGTGTTTTGATCTCTTTTGAAGCTGAAACAATAGGCAAGGGACATGGTGATTTTTCTTCATGAAAGTCTTCTAGCATTTGAACAATATCTTTTACTTCCGTAGGAGTGGGTAGATCATCATCAAATTGTGTACTAAATCCTGTACGTAAATGCAGAGCTTTACCACTTCTTCTGTTCTTCAAGGTTTCTTGTTTTTCTGCAAACTGCTTATCAGATCCAGGACTTTTGTGAAACTTACGTTGGCTAAATGGACCTTGATTGTTGGAAAAAGGACTTGGTTTTGGAGGCAGGTCAGTATTCAATTCCTCAAGACCTGGAGTAGAAGAACGATCCATTCCATAGTTGGCAGGACTGTATGGTCTATCCGAAACATTTAACCTTCGTTCTTCTTTCTGCTGTTTTTGTCCTTTGTTTGCTCTCTCTAGATTATTATTTTCCGACGCATCACCTTTAGTAGATTGAGGTCCGCAAGTGAACAGATGTCCTGGGATATGTTTTACATTTGGCAAAAGTTGGATTTGCTGGCCCGAATTTGTACTAGGTGATACTCTGGCATCAGAATTGTCTGATTCAGTATCAGATTTGTTATTTTTATGAGCAACATTAGGACCTATAAGTGGTTGAGGATACATACGTTCACTGCCAGGATGGTGGATTAAATGAGGCATAGATCTATGTGGTACATACTGGTTTGGATAAACAGCCACTCTTGGATCTTCTGGTAAATAATAAAATCCTGGATAATGGGGTACAACAGGGTAATAATGGCTATAGTGAGGAGCCATTAGTACCCTTGGTGGCACATACCCCATCATCCGACTTCTAGCTGGTTTATGAAATGGTTTACCTTCGACATTCTTTATACCATCTTTATTGTGTTCAGCACGAACTTTCTGACTATTTGGAGATAGTTGTGATGGTGAACGAGTTGTTTTGGGTGATGCACGACCACCAGTACTGGGTGGAGATGGTTGTTTGTACATAACACGGTTGTACATGTTGGGTACGTATTGACCTTGATAAGGATATGGCATCATATGTTGGTACATCTGCAAAAAACAAATTAAATAAAACCCAACATAATATATAAGTATTTCAAAGTCATATGTTAGAATTTCTAAATGGAAGTATGGAAGAGAGAGAGAAATGTGGTTCAATCAACTCAACGCAAACTGTCATTTTGGGACTAACATATGGTAAATTTTATTTTAATAATTCACTTACGCATAGCGGTCATTAGCTGTGGGAGGAAAACCCATGCGGTTTGGTAGATGACTCTACTTCTTGTCATGTACAAGTGTGGGATCGAAACCACGCCACTTGACTCAATGACAGACCTTAATGATCTAAAGCACATGCGTTAGACCATTGAGTAGGTTAGTATAGAGTCTTAATTGAAACAACAAGCTAACTGTGAGGCTGATTTCCCCCCACCGAAACCCAAAATAAATAGATTACACATATATCAATTAATTGCACATTTATCTTTTTCAAAAGTATTAAGCAATCAAACTGATCATCTATACTTAGTCTAAGCATGAAATGTTTACGGCCAAACTCAGTCAAGGTTTTGAAGTACATGATAGTGAAACTATACACTAAGTTTCATCACTCTCCATCAATTACAATCAAAGTTATCTTGTCCCAAAGTATCGACAAATGAAATAGCTTAGCTTTGCTTAGCTCTAGCAGGAAATGTTAATCATTGAACTCAGTCAAGACATTAACCTAATGAACATCTACCTCAATTAAAAGCAGAGTTGTTATGTTCCAATGTTTTGACCAATCAAATTGCTTATCACAACTAGGCCTAAGCAGAAAATTCTCATCATCGAACTTAGTAAAGGTATTGATATAATGAATCTATACTCAGAGTTTTGTTGCTCTCACCCAATGAGAACCAAAGTTATTGTGTTCCAAAGTCTCAACCAGTCAAATTGCTTATCTCTGCTTAGCCTTTGTGGAAAATGCGCATGGTCGAACTCTGTCAAAGCATTTACCCAATAGACACCCACAACAAATTTGAACATTCTACCTCAATAAGAAGGAGAGTTATTATGTTCCAAAGTCTCGACTAATCAGTTTTAAGTCTTTACTTTGCCTAAGCAGACAATGCTCAGCATGAAACTTTGTTAAGGTATTGATGTAATCAAACTATACACAAGGTTTCACCACTTAGTCCGGCCACCAAAGTGTATATTATGTATCAATTTCCATTTCGTCATCACCATTCTAAGCATGTTCACCATGTTTTGCAAATGTCAGACTCAAGGAGACATTTCTTTTAATGATTTAATGGTTAATCGTGAACTCGCTGAGAATGGTGGCGCATGTGTTTGGTTTGATGTTTTGAGTGAATTTTTGGCCATATTTTCCCAGTAAGGCCCACGGAAACCCCATATGTTTCTTTTGGATACTTTGGTTCTGATCTTTAATTACAGAAATGGATTTTGTAGGTCTAAACTGAATACTTTCTGATATAATCAAATTAATATGTTGCTCAGAATTAGGCCATTATATGCCAATATAGGCCCATGAAAACATCCCACAGACCTAAAAGTGTTTTTTGGAAACTAATCTATAATTCTTGTAATTGACTTAGGCCTAAACAGAATACTTTCTGAATAATTCAAATAGTTCGTATTTCTCTCATAATTGGGTCATTATAGGCACTATATGGGTCAATTTAGGTCAATGAAATGGCCCACAGACGCAAATACGTTTTTATTTATTCATTGGGGATTTATCTTGTAATGGACGTATTGGGTCAAAACTGAATACTTCCCGAGTAATTTGGGTAATTAGTAATTTGCTCAGAATTAATTAGTTAACTATCTAATTAGGGCATTTTCTCAAAAAGCACAAGGTTGACAACGGTCCAATAGCCAGAAATGGAATAAGTGACCCTTGTTCCATAAGAAACTGTCAAGAAAAAAACTTACTTTCCCAAACAAGGTATTTCCTAATGGCGGGTAGACAAATTATCACTCAATTATAATCAAAGTTGTCAAGCTTCAGAGTCTCGATTTGCTTATAGCTCTGCATACCCAGAGCTGAAAATGCTCATTATTGATGTGATGAAACTATACACCAAGTTTTATCACTCTCACTTAATTAGAACCAAAGTTATCGTGTCCCAAAACAACAACCAATCAAATTGCTTATCTCTGCTTACCCTAAGCAGAAATTGCTGATCTTTGAACTCATTTTAGACATTCACCTAATGAACACCTAAACCAAGTTTGAACATTCTACCTAAATTAGAAAGAGAGAAATGGGGTTTAACGTCCACTCGACACAAACTAGGTCATTTTGGGACTAACATATGGTTTAATTTTATTTCAATTATTCGCTTGCGCGTAGGGGTCTTTAGCAGTGGGAGGAAACCGGAGGACCCGGAGAAAACCCATGAGATTGGACAGGCGACCCTACTCCTTGTCACGTACAACCGGGGATTCGAAACCACGCCAGTTGACTCAATGTAGGCCATCCAACCCCCCACAGACAGACAGACAAATGGGCAGACAGACAAATGGGCAGACCCATTTTAATAGTCCCTTGTTTTCTTCGAGTAGTACAATAAAAAAAAATGTTAATATATTAAAAAAAATTACCGGATAAGTAGCTGGATTATAACCCGGCACTGAATATGGACTCATGTGTTGCCATGGTGGCATTGGTACCTGACTGTGGAGATTCATTCCTATTGTTTCTGAAGCTGCCCTAGTAATATGGTACAGTCTATTAGGTATAAATTCTGGAGCGAGTGGATTTAAAGTATAGGTTTTAGTCATCTCCACCCCTTCCAACTGAGCTCGAAGTTGCGTCCATGTCATACCATGTAAACTTCCATGCTTATTACAAATCTCCAAAAAATATTCCCAAACTTTCCTATCAAAAATACAAATTTATCCATTTAAAACAGTGTTCTTGTAACATATTCAGCATTTCTTATCTGCATGCCTAAATATTTATATCAAAAGTTATTCTATTCTCAAAATAAACTTTACATTTGAAAATACTCAAAGTCACATGAAATCTTACAATTATATCAGATGCATTGGTAGTTTTGTGGATTTTGAATTTTGATTTCTGCCAGCTTGCACTAATTTAATGATGCATTCCAATCACCATAAAAAAATTGTTGAATATATAAATAGTAGATTTCCATCATGCATGTAACTTTTCAAAGTGTTGCAAAAAACAGTATTATTATTAACGTAAGTGTAGACTAAGAATAGACGTTGGGACAAGTTATGATTTATATTACAGTGGCCATTATTGCATACACGTCAATAGCATGGCATGATTATGACACATTACAAAGTGATTTTAGTGAATGACTCCTGTCCAGTTGTCACATGTGGTAATGAGAGTCATACATTATCACTAAAGCAAAAGAAGGAAAATAGTAGCTTTATGAGAGGAATCTAAGATGGTTACTCGTCACTCTTTAGATTTTAAATTTTATAAAAATAGTACTATGACATATTCAAGCTTAACTGAGACCTTGATTGAATATTAAAGAAATATATTGGGATTACCTGCATTTTCCTACTAAACATAAGGATACCGGATCACCTACTACCATAACCAATGACTGTGCTCGTGTTATGGCGGTATTTAACAACTTAACATTCGACAGAAAACCATAGTCTATAAAATCTTCTTCCCTACTGTCAGATCTACACGTATTCTGGGTTCTTACTGTACTTAATATGATGGCACGATACTGTTTACCTGTACATACACATAAACACTGAATTTATATTCTCTAAAATCAAATTTTGTAATAAAATACAAAATTTGTATACATAAACAGAACAAAATCTACCAGTACTATACAAAAAATATTTTCCATCCTAGTCACTGTTGCTTCCAATATCTTACTATATATCCATACAGAAATGTCTCCAGTATAGTGGCATGCAATAGCAGAATTCACACATGTTGTAATTAAAAATATTATAATTACATAATAAAACATGTATATCAATAATACATGTGTAGAGTATATAACAAATATATTCACACTGCACTAAAAGTCAGATCATATGTAACAGGAAGTACACACAGCAAGTAATAGAATTTTTTCATCCATAAATACTCCATAAACTAATTTACATCATTGTGGGTAGTATTTTTTAATATTTTTTTTTATTTAGTATAACTATACAAGTTATAAAAAAAAAGCTGTTTCTGTTTTATTTACCTTGAACATTATGTACTCGTTCAACAGAAATACGAAATAATTTCTTTCTTCTTAACTCTGCCCGTATTCTCTTCACCTGACAAATAAAAATTATACTAATGAGGGTTACACCTTGAAAGAAATTATGTTATACATGGTAAGTCATAGGTCATTACATACAAGGTATTAAGTGCAAAACAAAAATTGGAATCAATGAATAATAAATTGTCATAAATAACAATTTAGGATACTATAGGCCAAAAGGGGAGCCACGGTGGCTCAGTCAGTAAGATGTTGGCTCGCTAACCTGGAGGTCCCATTTTTCAAACCTGCGTTAGCTAAGAAAGTTCATTTTGATTTTCCTGGCAAGGGACAATGTTTAGTCATTTGGATGGGACGGAAAAGTCTAGATCCAGTGGACACTTTGGCTGGCACATAAAAGATCCCTTGGCAGTTAGAATTTGATATAAGAGTAGGTTGTAGCCGCTGTCCAGAAAAAAATTCCCTCATAGCACACTCTATGGCGTATACCTGTCTTCATTCTGACATTGTTAGCCTAATCACGCAACAATTGTCTACCTTTTCTATAAAGGGTTGAAAATATGACCAGCTTTTGGGAACTTATTTTTTTGTTGTATTATGAATTAATAAAGTATGATTTAGATTATCAGTTAATAAATGTTGAAATCCATCCAAATCTTGACCTTGACCAATGTCCCATTATATTTTGACCTTGCAAATCTTAATATATAAATCTTATTTAATTTATAAACTGGTGTGGCTACATAATCTATGTACATTTTATTGTGAAAACATACAGAGATTACTACACCATAAAATACTACATTGGAAGAATAATATAATATGGAACTTCTGGAGTACGGATAATTAATTTACTGTAGTTTACGAACATGTAAGAAATTAACAGGAAGCCTATTTTGTAAATCTGCAGGAATATGTTTCATTAAAATTTGTAATAAAAGGTTCTATGCTGAAATACATACAACCCAATTAACCATTCCCTGCAAACAGCTGACAGACCGACAGCTATGTAGCTACTATCAGCATTTGATTTATTGGGAAAATATTAAATTCCTGAAATGTGACATCGTATATAAGTTTCACTAGACAAGTTGCAAAATTTGATCATACTTTGTCCATGTCCGACCAGTTTTTTCCAGCCATGTCACCCAACCAAGCCAAATTAAAGACCTGGGAGTTGTCTAAGAGGCACAATTATAAACATAATAATTTATCTTACCTGATCAGTGTAGGGAGTAACAACACTAATAGCATCTTCATCTAATGGTCCCCATTCATCAACCAACCACTTTTTTTGTAGATCTTCAACTCTTTCAACAACTTCATAAACCTGAATTAAACAAGAAAAATAATCCAATCAATTCCTTGATAGTTGTTTATGGACGTCTAAAAATACATTTAATTAAATCAAGGAATTCTTTTCAAAAATACATTTTATTTTGCCCTTTAATATATTTACCAGAAACATTTGCCGAAATCCAAACCCATTACATGCAAACTTAACAAATATCTACTTTGAAGATTAGGCCACACAAAAAAATATCCTGGTTCTCAGATACTGCCGTGCCATCAAAAATTGACCACGTCACACGTTTTCTATTTAAAAAAAAAACCAAAGTCAATATTTCTCGCGATCAAAGGAAGTATCTCTATTAAAGGTTTCTTGATAACAGGAAATGAACACTAGAATTGACAATCAAGTACGTAACCAAGGGAAACACTACTGACAATGACATTGACAATCACATACAGCTCAGGATATTCGAATGTTAATTTATTATTCAAAAGAAAGTTGGCTACACTTTTGCTAACATCTATTTTCACCGAGAAATATGACTGTGAAAGAGATGACTGAAAATATTCTCCACAAGTAGATTGAGGCTGCAGACAATGAGTACATTAACAATACCACGAAGATTTAATGGTCGCAAAACAAAAGATAGGTTGCCAGGCAATGAAACATACGCCCACAGCAGCTAAATCGTCCTATTTAAAAAAAAAACCAAAGTCAATACTTCTCGCGATCAAAGGAAGTATCTCTATTAAAGGTTTCTTGATAACAGGAAATGAACACTAGAATTGACAATCAAGTACGTAACCAAGGGAAACACTACTGACAATGACATTGACAATCACATACAGCTCAGGATATTCGAATGTTAATTTATTATTCAAAAGAAAGATGGCTACACTTTTGCTAACATCTATTTTCACCGAGAAATATGACTGTGAAAGAGATGACTGAAAATATTCTCCACAAGTAGATTGAGGCTGCAGACAATGAGTACATTAACAATACCACGAAGATTTAATGGTCGCAAAACAAAAGATAGGTTGCCAGGCAATGAAACATACGCCCACAGCAGCTAAATCGTCCGTGCAGTCAACAAGTGTTGTCGCATATTTTTACTTTTTTCGGTAATGAACCATTTATAATACACTAAAATCATGAAGTAATTATCAGAAAACCATTAGAATTTGTTTGGTTTTTATAAAGTTCTGCGGCATGCTAACGTTTAGTATACAAAACTTTTAATATCATGGGTTAAGCTGTTCCAATTCATAAAAATTTACTTTGGCAGTAATTATCGGAAATCTTTGAAAATCAATAGGATTCTTAATCCATTTTGAAATGAACCGGCCACGGTTAGGCCTAACGGATAGTCGTCTTTTCAACAACAAACATGTTAGTTTATGCATACTCTATTCATGTCAGTAATTGCATAATTCACTAATTGAATAATGTATTTAGGATAATAATAGCCGAAACTCTGTATAAACAAGACCTTAGTAATTACATACTTGCATTCATACATCGCTATAATATCGACATTTATAGTCATATACTATTCAAAAAAAGTAGGGGATATTTGATTTTGGGGGCATAATACTAAAATATGCAAATGACTACGAAAAAAGTCACTATAGAACCTAACAGAAGAAACATTTCCAGTTACATGTGACGTCCAAACGCACCTATAGCTACCGCATGGAATGCAGGTGATGCTTGGGATCATCATGGGGGTCCAACCCAAGATTTGCACGACTCTGACTTTGAATGTTACAGTCATTGTGGCATTGAATTCCAGGGTGGAAACATCAGTTTAATTGTTTTAGTGACCAGAAAACAAATTTTGATATGCGTCGGCTTACCCAAAATGAAAGGTTACGTGCCCTTGGCATGCTACAGATCGGCACAACACAGGCGGTTGTGGCGCGGACGATGAATGTTTCTCAGTCTGTCATAAGCAGGCTATGGTCCAGATACCGTGATACACAATCTGTACAGGACAGACCACGCTCAGGTCGACCAAGGGCGACAACTCAAGCCCAGGATCGATTTATCCGTACCTTGGCCTTGAGAAATCGTGTCATCACAGCAAATCAGATCAGCGCTCGTCTTCAAACAGACACTGGTGTGAGAGTGAGTGGCCAGACGCTTCGGAATCGACTGCATAGGGGTCACCTTCGCGCCCGACGTCCTCGCGTGATCCCTTGTTTGAGAGATCATCACATTCAGGCAAGACGTCGTTGGTGTAGGGATCGTCAACACTGGGATAATCGACGCTGGAGCAATGTGATGTTTTCAGATGAGTCAAGGTTCACTGTTGATTTTTGGGACAGATGTAGGAGGGTGTGGCGTCGTCGAAACGAGCGCTTCCAAGACGTTAACGTCATCAGACATGATCGATTTGGGGGTGGTTCTGTTATGGTGTGGGGAGGCATCACTGTTGCTGGAAGAACGGCTTTACATGTTGTTGCAGGGCGTGTTACAGGCCAGTACTACCGGGACAACATCTTGGCAGTCCATGTTGTGCCGTTCGCACGACGTCATGGCCGCCGTTTCATCTTCCAGGATGACAACGCAAGATGTCACAGGGCCAGGATCGTTACAGGTTACCTCCAACAACAGAACATCACCACATTACCTTGGCCAGCACTGAGTCCCGACCTCTCCCCCATCGAGCATGTCTGGGACATGCTTGGACAGAGGTTACGTCAACGTCAACAACGTCCTGCCAATGTCCAAGAACTTGCTGCTGCGTTGCAACAGGAATGGGACAAGCTGGACCAAAATGACCTTAGACGTCTCATTAGGAGTATGCCACGTCGGATCAATGCTTGTTTGGCAAACAGAGGAGGATTTACCCGTTCCGTTACTGACTTGGTTGTGATGCTGTGGTAACTTTGCTGTTTGACCCCGGGTATCATTTTACCCTTATAATGGTCATTCTGTGCCTTACTTAGTCTAACGATCATTTGGAATAAATCGATGAATGTGAACTTCATTTCATTTTGTCATTTGTTTCTTCGTCAGTTTCATTAGGTGACTTTAATAACACTTAAAAATCAAATATCCCCTACTTTTTTTGAATAGTATATTATTTCAGCAACTTGCATTGCTTATTCCTACTTTTGGTTTCATCCAACTAAATGGAAGTTATAAATTAGTAAAAACTACAAGTACATACAAATGTTTTTTTTAAATTATTTTATTCGTAAGCACATGTTAATATATATATAAATAACAAAGTATATAAGTATATAAATAACAAAGTAGCACAAATCGGTTTCCGTGTATAGTCAGAACTCGGAAATATGCTGTACGGGCGAAAGGTGTTGTGGCCAATTGTCGTGATTCCGATTAGATTATTTTTAGCATTACCGGTATACAATTGTCGGGATTTAATGTAGCAGGACTAGTTCGGATATCTGAAAGGATCTCTTCCTTTATTTCACTGGATATTAAAGAAATAAATTCACCACAACAATTAAAATCACGATATAGTTTTTTTGTCATTTCATGATCCTGTTGTTCTGTCAAATCGTTCAATTATTGTTCATAATTTTTGATGGCAATGTTTCTTTTTGCTATGGAATACGCATTTCAGATTAACGCCCGGTTTGAAACAATTTCTGTAGATTTGGGAATTAATCTCTTTGTTCTGTCATCGTCTTTCTTTGCTGCGCAGGTATGATCGTCAGATTAATACGGTCTTTTATTGTCGATAATTTGGTTGACCTATATTGCACGTGGGAGGATCTCCGGCTTTTGGAACTTCCATTGACGACGTGCATACTTGAAGTTCAAGGTCAACGCCGCCATCACTATCTTCAGTTAAATCTCGTTTACGTTTCCTGGTGTCATTCTGCGAGGTGTTCAAGTACTTGGCATGATTACCTCAATTAAGTTGTTTATTTATGAAATAAGCCGAGTAATAATTAACTCTTTGTAATCGGCCGAAAGTAGATTGATTTATGATACCATTAGTGGCCGGTTCATTGTTTAAACAATCGGCCTGATAATTAATTCTTTGTAAATCGGCCGAAAGTAGATAGATTTGTGATACCTTAGTGGCTGGTTCATTGTTTTACCAATCGGCTAGATTAAAGATCAATTGGCTAAAGCCGACAAAAAACAGCCGATTAAGATCCCTGCCTTAAACACTGTGTATAAATTAAGAGTCAATCAGATAATAACTTTGGCCTCTAGAGCATCCACAAGATGTTTTGAAGTGATCAAGGGCCATAACTTTGGCAGTAATTATCAAAAATCGCTGAAAATGAATAGACTTCTTCGTCTCATGACCTTAAACACTGTGTATAAATTTACAGTCAATCGGATATTAACTTTAGCCTGTAGAGTGACCACAAGATTTTTCAAAGTTATCAAGAACATAACTCTGGCAGTAATTATCTGAAATTGCTGAAAATCAATAGGATTCTTCGTCTCATGACCTTAAACACTGTGTATAAATTAAAAGTCAATTGGATATTAACTTTGGCCTCTAGAGCGTCCACAAGATTTTTTGAAGTGAATAAGAGCTATAACTCTGGCAGTAATTATCGGAAATCGCTGAAAATGAATAGGCTTCTTCATCTCATGACCTTAAACACTGTGTATAAATTTAAAGTCAATCGGATATTAACTTTAGCCTCCACAAGATTTTTTGAAGTGATCTAGAGCCATAACTCTGGCAGTAATTATCGGAAATCGCTGAAAATCAAAAGGCTTCTTTGCCTCATGACTTTAAACACTGTGTATAAAGTTAAAGTCAATCAGATATTAACTTTAGTCTCTAGAGCGTCCACAAGATTTTTTGAAGTGATCAAGTGCCATAACTCTGGCAGTAATTATCGGAAATCGCTGAAAATCAAAAGGCTTCTTTATATCATGGCCTTAAACACTGTATATAAATCTAAAGTCAATCGGATATTAACTTTAGCCTCTAGAGCGTCCACAAGATTTTTCAAAGTGATCAAGGGCCATAACTCTGGCAGTAATTATCGGTAATTGCTGAAAATCAATAGGCTTCTTCGTCTCAAGACCTTTAACCCTGTGTATAAATTTAAATTCAATTGCTTGTGGACGCCAGCCGGACGAACGGACGGACTGGGGCGACGACAATATACGACCACATTTCAATGTGGGCGTATAAAAACGGTGGATTTGAAAACATTTCTCAAAGAGTTAATGTAGATAGGTGAAGTCACAGAATTATTCGGACGTTATTTCAAATTCTTACTTACTTTCTGTTTTTCTTATTAAGAGTTGAATAATAATTAAATTTATAATAATTTTGTGTGTTACTTAGTGTGCCCTTAGTTTTACCTCTGCAGTATTATAGAATCCTGTACTATTTGGATGTTGAACTTCTTCTCCTTTAGCTGCATAGAAGGTCAAAGGGTAAAGTTTACTGTGTGCCTTCTGTTTTCCACTAGATATCAATTTGTTTTCATAGAATAACTCTGATGTAAAATCAACAATGGCAGAATGAGATCTGTAATTCTCACACAACATTACTTTACAACTGTGATCTCGTGGATACATCTCATGAAGTCTCTCTAAAAATGACATATGAAAACCTTGCTGGCGACAGAATTCTGCACTTACTTCAGGACTTAACTACAAAAAATGAAACAAAATTAAGATGATAATAAACCAAAACAAATTGATGCAAAATATGCCATTAACTTTTTTGATGATCTGTTTAGAAGAACATGTGGTTAAATTTTCTTAACACAGAGGTGAACCCACTTTCTATGCTTTGAAGTAGTACCAGATTTTACACAGTGACACAATGTTTTGTGGAATCCAAAAGACTAGACACATGTTTTAATCTAACCAGTAGGCATTTATCTTCCCAAGTTGGAAAAGTCCCTCCAAATTTCATCTACACCCATGCTACAATTTAAATCATGTTCATTCTAGTTGAGTCCAGTGCTCTTACCAAGTGTCTAGAGTATTTATGTACAGTAATTGGACTATTTTATGTAGTTATCATAAATAAATATGTCTTTACCTGCATGTGATCTCCAGCTAAAACTATTCTTGTTGATTCACAGGCCATAGATAATGGAATCAACGTTTCACATTCTAAAGCTTGAGCAGCTTCGTCAATAAAGATATGAGTGAAAAATTCTGAAAATTGAGAAAAAAATTGTCTTCTTATGCTGAGCACATAATCATTACACTATCAAACTACAGAAAACCTCATTACAACTATTTGTAGGGTGCCACGTGCAGTGAAAATTGAACACGACGTGGAGAATGTGCACGCTTCAGTGGCTTGTCTCAAAGTGATTTCTGGCTTGTTATGCAGTACGGTAACACTTGTATGAGTCTATAAATAGCCATTCTCTACACATCTATCACTATTACAGCCGTAAAAAATCTATTATTGACGATTCTGAATAGCAGAAATATTTAACTTTTTGGTTATTACAGCAGCTTTAGAAATTACGTTCGTTAGGAGTGGCATCATTTGGTTTAGTACAAATAATATCTCTGAAACACTCGGGTTAGGCAAGAACATGATACTAGCAGTAGTTTCATTTTACTTTTCTTAAAACAATTGTTGTGTTGCCTAACATGTGTGTTTCTAAATTCAATTTCTTGTTCCAGATTTCTGTTATGTTTAAAAAAAAAGTAGTCTTGATTATCCCAGTCTGTCAATCAGTCGGAGAATGGTCGGTAGACTGGTTAAGCGAGACTCATTTCAAAACAAGAGCATGTAACGTATATAGTGAAAGGATGTTAAGGCCGACACTCATAATCATGTTTCAGTCTATTATTTATGGATGATTAAATGGTCATAGCTTATTAAGTATAACATGCCTGTTTATTTAGTGACTATAAATGTGCGAAACTGATTTAAGGCTTGGTATATATATAATTATTGTGGTGTAATTGTCAAGATATTTGGAGATATTTATTTATGGAGAGGCACCCTACTATTTGCTGAATTTCATTTTACAATTTAAAGGGATATTATCAAATATTACAGATGTGTTTAACATGCAATTAACCATGAAGACAGAAGCTGGTGCTATTAGTGGTTAAATGTAGCATAATAGGTGTGTCCCGAAGGCCAATATTGGTATAATGATAGCAATATCTCTGACGTGTGGTATGAAAGATATTCTGAATTCGTAAAAACCTTTTTTTTTTCAAACTAAGGGGGAAAATCTGTCAACAAAAAGATCAACAACAGGATGTCATGTAGATTCCAGTGTTGTTTGCAAACTAATGAAATGGAAATTTACATATAGTTTTACAAATTTGACAGCCTGACCAATCAAATAAATAGTACTTGGTTATTCTCAGGGGGTCGGCCTTTACAAGACTAAAGACTTCTTAAAGTTGGTTCCCACAACAGCTGACTTGGGCAAGCAGCTTCGAGGAACATCATTTAGCGAAATTACCGAAATTTAGACTTATGCTTATATATGTAATATCATAGCTGTTGTGAATTTTATATATGAGTAATGTATTACTGTATTACTTGAACTTACCTTTAGATACATTGATATCACTTATATATCGTGCTGTACTTAAAGTTGTAATAATGATTCTGTGTTTTTCCAGATCTTCTAATGTAGGATGTTTAAAGATACCGGTAGATGAATCATATAGGGTATATTTCAAAACAACATCAGATACTGTTTGTACCCAACGATATTGATATAATATACGTAGTGGTTTAATATCTTCATCACCTTCTTCAAAACATGGATGGAAAAAATCTTTAATGTACAGATCAGCAGCACTGAAATATAGTAATCAATGAATGAGCGAATGAAATAGGGTTTAACATCCTACTTTTCTGCACCAACTTGGCAAATGAAGACCGACATACATCATACAGTGTGAAATGAGGGAAATTTTGCCCAGACAGCAATTGAATTCCAACTGTCAAGATTTCTTTTACATGCAGGTCAATGTGTACAGGGAACATCTGAACAACTAGATGCTGTTCCTTGCCACTGACAGGGGTAAACTGTAGTAGTAGTAGTAGTATAATAGGGGTGCACATCCACTTCCACCTAGGGTGATACCAGTGACTCCAGAAAGACTAAGACATACCCACTAAATAATTACCTGTTTGAATGTGTGCAGATCAGAATACGGCTGCCATCATTTTTTAAGACTTGTTTCACTGCCTGAGCTAGTGTGTAGGTTTTACCTGTGCCAAATGGACCAACCAGTAGTAATGGTGGTAGAATTATATCAGTGTCAGCAGTAATAGCCAAGATTGCTTCCTTCTGTTTTACATTTAATTTACAATCCAGTTCTTCATTCCACTGCCTAATAATCAAAAAAAAATATCAAAATCAATTAGACAAAGATTAAATTTTCATATGAATTTATACTTGATTGTTTCATATCCTAATTCATTTAAGAATAAAATAAAGTTGTTTTCTGCCTCATTCATGTATCTCAAATCTCTTTCTCAATCTTTTTCATATATATCAGATGCAAAATATGTATACAACGATAACTACCTCTCTGGTGACCAAGGTATGTTTTGTAGCGTGTCTAAGTTAGGAAAGACAATATCTAAAGTTGGTAGTTTATCTACAGCAGCATGCATTTCAACTTTAGGTAATCGGTTTAACTGAAACTGGATCTGAAATCACAAACAATAAGTAATTATAATATTATTTTAAAATAATTTTGAAGATATTTTCTTGTGCATCTTCTAATAAAATGGTACATAAATGACACACCTATAAAATAACAATTACGATAGTACTATATGGAACAAGCATGCCAAGTTTCATGTTGATTGGCTAGAATTGGCAAAGCCATAGGATTTTTTTGAAGAGCATCATACTCAAGGACAAGAATAACAACAAGATAAGTAGAGCTTGGGGCCCAGTTCCCTGGTCCAGAACTGTCATACTGCAGAAATAAAGATCTTATTGTAGCCATACAGTTAACTTACCACGACACAAACTTCTTCATCACATGATAGCTTTAATTCATCAACACAATTTTTAGATAATCGTAAAAATATAAAATTCTTTCCTTTATCTTCTATAACAACTTCATAAACCTGAACAAAATGAAAAGATGAATTAAATAATTTTACTGTGGAGCCTACCAGTTATGTCCACTGCACACAATAATCCACGGGCTGAGAAGAAAGCCTCTAGTATCATTTGAACTATCTGGGCAGCAGCGTAAATATCTCAGACAAAATACTAGTGTTTTGGTATGGGTAGAGAACTAAATGAGATAATATTTTAGTTGGAAGTTTTTACAAGTAATAAAGTAAAATATTAAATTGAAAATGGTTAACTAACCTTTTTGGGTGGCTTATCACTATTTGATTTACATAAAGCTATCCAAGCTATTTGAGCATTCTGTAATATTAATCTTCCTCCTATACTATCTTCAGACAAATCATCTTCTAACTTCATCTTGGCAAACAATTCTCCATTATGAGCATATTTGGCTGTGGACAATGCTCCTGGCATCAATAAAAATCTGTTCACCAATTGTAATGATGTCTTCACATTAAATCTATAACATAACAAAAATACACTGAATAAAATTGTTAACAAATGATAAAGTTACAAACGTAGGTTGCCAGACAACAAACATCTAGCCACAGGCAACTTTGTCATCTAGAACAAAACAGAAAACTGTCACAATATGGTTAGTGAGCCAGTGCGTTGCTCACTGAGCCACCGTGGCTTCTTCAAACAAATGTCCAACATACCCTGATATCAAACTGTACTGTGTCATCTCTTCTAAATATAACATCTCATGCATCCACAGACGGTAATTTTCCTTGGACAATGTCTGCATAATGGTTGAATATTTCTCAGCGCGTGGTAATGTATACTTGGCCAGCAAGTCTTTCTCTGTAGCACTATGATGCTGCAGTCTGAAATATAATCCATCAATAATAGTAATAAATATTTTTATAATTATAGCATGACACTAATAGATATTAATATTCTATACATACTTAGGTTGATAAGCAACAATTTGAACTTTTTCTTCTGTCCATCTTGCTGCTTCCACTATCAAGAGATCATTAGTCAATTTTCCTGTATCCAGCACAGGGGCTGAGTCAACTTCCATTTCACGACGTAATACAGTTTCCAATCCAAAATCAAACACTATTGACTGTCGGAATGTACCAAATATATCAGTTTTAAAGACCACCTGAAGAAGCAAATTAACACGATTGATAAAAGGAAAAAATAATAATTCTCCATTCATGTCAAACCAACAAGTGACTCACAGACTGTGTTGTAATATTAAAATGTAATAGCTGGTAGACTAAAGCTCTGACCACTTACGGCGTATCTTGTTTTTTGACATCAAACATATTTCGACAAAACCCTACAGTTGATACAAAAACTAAATGCTCATAAAACAAATTATTATGGTTTGTAATTTTGACCTTTTTTTTAAGACCCATACTAACCTTGATTCTATATACACATTCTCCGTGAGCCTTTACACTAACATCCTGATTAGTCCATTCCTGACAATTGTTCTCTAAATTCTGATATTTTTGAGTTTTTTTCGGGCCAACAGATATGGATGAAATGCAGAAATATGATTTATTTACATCATCTAAAAGGCATACATTATGTAAGCACATCTGAAATAGGATTAAAGAATTTTGATGGTAAAATAGAAATTATTAGAAATAATAAAATTATCATTATAATAGTAGTGGACAAATTACCTGGCATCCTATCAAATGACACTGAAGACTAAAGCAAGTAGAAAGATAGTGATTAATATCCTTAACTCACCTGAGTTTGAAAATTATCAAACTGATAATTTAGTAAGTTGTGAAACTCATCTACTTGCCTAAAATTGCATCTTTATTATATGTGTATCTTCATTTAGTGTAGCCTATATCATTACAGGCCTGGGATTGCTTAGTGCAGTGGATGCTTATGCTAGCTCCCAAATCCATTCACTTAATTTGATATATACGTTTATTGCTTGTAATATCTGTGTAGTTTGTATGTTTTGTCCACAGGTTTGACTTAGTTTTATTTGTGTGTAGTGTCGTCCTCCTGCACTTACTATTAGGAGAGTGATTCTTTATTCTCCCCATATTTTTTATGGCAAGGTCTGGAAATGAGAAACTTGAACTATCAATGCCATTGACATGAATACTAAGAAGAACTGGAAATAAAATTGTACACCTGTCTAATTTCACATTAATCTAAAGTGCATGAGAAGTGTGTTTGGTTTATTTTCTCAGTAAGTCAACAACTTACCTTACTGGTAACAGTAAATGTCCAAGCATTTGTACAGCGTTTATTTACCATGTTAACTTTTAAATCTGAGTTAATGTGCAGTTTAACAAAATCCATAGATTGAACTAGCTAAAATATAAAATGCAATGAAATGAAGATTAATAATTGGGTCAATGAAGACAGGCATATGCCATGCAGTGTGATTTAAGGGAAATTTTGCCTGGACAGATGCAGTTCCTTATAGTTTTATTCAAATTCCAACTGACATGGCTTCCTTTATATGCTTGCCAATGTATAAATGGGATCTCATTTTTGCTGTGGCATTTGAAAAACTAGACACTTTTCCTTGCTCTATCCTGCACCACTAACAAAAGAAAACCAAATCAAATGGGGCTTAACGTCCTACTGTTCTGTTCTGACTGGAGTAATGAAGACGGTAAGGGGAACAAGGCATGGAAAATCTACATAAACTTTTGCAGCCTACATCAGGATCAAACCCTGGACATGGTTAGTGAGCCAATGCCATACTGACTGAGTAACTACATTTGAACATAACAAATTATACAGCTTGAAAATGAAGACAAAACAAGATTTGCGGTATGTACATAAGAGTGACGGAAACTAATATAATATATTTAGTAATTTCTCAAGAAAAACTTACAATAGCAGAAGGATTTTCTGATAACATCAATCTTTCCATTAACTTCTCTGTGTATGAGTTTCCATGTAGAAGTTTTTCTCTGGCTTTTTGCAGTTGTTCTCTACGATACTTAAATCTTTCTTTCCATTCATTCAACTCTTCTTCAGAATGAGCTTCAGTACATTTTTCTCCAAAAGTACATCTCCCATTCTCAGAGAATCTATATTAAACAGAAAAAGACTATAAGATATTTCTCTCGCTTAGGTAGCATCTAGGGATAAGATTTTGTACTTTTCCCCACATTTAATAAGTCCCCGGGATGTTCTTATGATTTTCAGGTTTCTTTTTGTTCGATATAAAGCAAGATGCAGTTTTTAAATATTGAGGAATGTTTATTTTTTTAACATGTTTACCTCTGACAGAGACAATACTCTTCACTTGATAGTCCACGTGGTGGAGGCCTAAACTGCCAGTCTTGTCCTTCATCTGATGTTAGGCGTTTTTTATGCAGATCACTTCGACAATGAGTCTCAAGTTCTCCTTTTTTCTTGAATTTTATATCACAAAATGTACATTCATATCCATTAGAAGTACCTGAAAATATAAGAGAGACCTATAACTCTAAACACAACCAGATCGAATAGTAATAATTCTCTTTAGTAGTGGGAGAAAACAGGAGAAGCCAGAGATTTTAATCAGGTGACTGCACATACAATCATGGCATCAAACTCACAGCTTGCACAGATGTCAAATACAGTGTTAGACAACTCGGCCATCTAGCAGCAAGTTTAATTTAAAATGAAAATGCAATGAAATTGGGTTTAAGAAAGGCAAACGCAGTTCAGAAAACTGTTTCATAACGGTAATGCAAAAGGCACTGATCCAAAATATTTCACTGTCTCCGATAAAACAAGTACCCAGTTTGTCCGCCAATTAATAATAGTGATTTAAAAGGGCAAAGTATTTAATAGTAACCTGTCACAAGAGGATGAGCTCTAATATACTAACCGTTACTTTTATGTTGATTAATGGTTGACAGATTTGCATTTGAAGTCACCAAAGTTGACTTTTTGGAGTTTGTTTGTAACTTGTCTTCTTTCACATCGCCTACATTTCGATTATTTTTGGAGGGAGAAGGGGAAACATCATGTGCATTATGGTTTTCATCTTGTTTAGAGGAATTAACAGATGGTTCTTCCTCAGAATCCTGGTCTTGCAGAGATGCCAAAACATCTTGTAGCCTTTTTAGTTCTTTGTTGGCAACAGGATGCTGTAATGAGAAAGAAAAACAACAGTATAATAATTATATATCATAACCATGTTATACATGTATTTACATAATGATATTGATTACTGATGTAATATTTACAATGTTAACTAATTGATATATATGGCTATTGATCTGAGAATCATCAATATTACAAGACACTGTTGAATACAGCCTACACAGTGATGAATCTAATAAAATACTCATAATGTAATTCAAATTTAATGGTAATAATGAACAAAAGAAAGCAGCAGAACTCATAAATTTGTTACATTATTTGTTTTTCTATAATTTTCAGTGGCTATTCCATAATTATATTTCAAAATAAAGGCAGAATCTTATTGTTCTTTAGTTCGTTCATTCAACATTTTTCAAATGATTTTCCACAAACTATACATAACCTTAATTGTAAATTTGATCTTTACAATTTAACAATGTATAAATGTATATAATACAATGTAACACTTATTTGTAAGAGTATACATTATCTGATAAGACTTTTAAGTTGGAAAGTTATCTTTTCTACTATCAGTTCTCATAAATGAAAAGCCTGGTTTTTAACTACTGTGCTAATTTAATTACCTTTTCATCTAACAGACAGACGAATACATATTTAATTTTGCTTTTTATTTTAGCGTATTTTTTCAAATAAATGAATGTTTATCAATTATGAATGCAATTCATTGTTATTCAATAATTAGTCTTTACCTGAGGCTGTCTCTTATTCCAGTGTAAAGCCAGAGTATAGGCTTCATTTAACTGGCCCAAATTGCATAATATTTTAATCTTTTTCTCCAAAAGTTTCTCATGATGAGGCTCCAAAGCTAAACCTATACATAAACCAAAGAAAATTGTCAATTATTGGTTCTGAAACATTTAAAGGAGAGAGAGAGAAATGTGGTTTAACATCCACTCAACACAAACTAGGTCATTTTGGGACTAACACATGGTTCAATTTTATTTCAATAATTCGCTTGTGCGTAGGGGTCTTTAGTAGTGGGAGGAAACCGGAGGACCCGGAAAAAAACCCACGAGGTTGGACAGGCGACCCTACTCCTTTTCACATACAACCGGGGAATCGAAACCCCGCCAGTTGACTAAATGACAGACCTTATGATACACCCCGCGCGTGCTAACCATTCAAAAATCCAACCCGCCAACATTTAAAGGACTGACTTGAAATAAATAATTTGGTCAAATTATGATAGCACTAATATTCGCATAAAAACAACATCAAATTTCAATGCCTAAAATTTATAACCAGCAAAAGATTCAATAGGCAACTTCTACTAAAAGATCAGAAGATAAAATAGTCACAAGAAATTGTGGACGATGGACAAATTGAAGTTTAAGGGAGGTACATGTAAATCCATCATCTGAACAGCTTGTGACTACATTTGAAGTTAATTACCTTGACAAGTTGTGCTTCATAGTATGAAGTTCATACAAAAGAGAGTGAAACACTAAACAACATGAATATGGACATATTACAACTAATAAGTTGTGTTTACTATGTTTAGCATGAAATCAGTAATTACAAGCAGTACTGATTAACACATAGGCAAAGTAATACTTTAATCATAGTCAGAATGGTGAACATGCCATAAAAACTGAATATTTTACCTTTATTGCATTCAGCTAAGGCCTCATTGTGTTTCCTCTGTAAATAAAAATGTTTTAAAAAAAAAATTAATAGTAAGTGGTTAATATCATACTACAGGTTAATCTATAAAACTGTCAAAACAGTTTAAGAAATTGAATGGTTTCTTGTGGAAGGTACTCTAGTATGAAATTAATGGCTCTAGGACAATTCCTCCCTGAACAATTCCTCCCCGGACAAGTTGTATCAGGACTATTAGTCCCATAGGACTATTCGTCCCCTAGGACTATTCATCCCCATGGACAATTTGTCTAGGACAATTCGTCCCCTAGGACAGTTGGTCCCTGAACAACAATACTGGTAGTTCTATTATCAAAAACTGAATTAATCTTTACTTTTTATCCTAAATATCAGTTTTGATGCTAGTTTTACATTTAGTATTAAATCTAGGCCTTAACTTAATGGTTCCTGAAGTTTTTTTAGGGCTAATTGATGTGCATGTAGTAATCAGCTATGATCAGTGACACATTTTGTGAGTTAGAGAATCTATTTATCCCTTCACTATGGGTATTTTCAATTGTCAATACTGCACTTGACTAAAATCAATATGCATTATTGTGTATGATAAAACAATGTAGACCAGACATCAGTTAGTTTCTATTTCTTTAGAATTAACTGTTGATCATAATTAGGGGACAAATAGACCTAGGGGATGAATTGTCCTAGGGGACGAATAGTCCCAAGGGACAAATAGTCCTAGGGGAATAATTATCCGGGGACGAATTGTATGGGGACAAATTATCTGGGGACGAATAGTCCTAGGGGACGAATTGTCAGGGGACAAATTGTCAAGGGACAAATTGTCCCGTTCCCGAAATTAACAGGCTTCTGCCATTCTTTCAATAATGGTGCAATTATATGATAGAATGCATTTTATATCACCCCCCTGTCATGCCCAATTTTCAAAGTGAAAGCTACAATCCCAACATAATTTACACCAACAATTCACCCCTCAGAAATATTATAAGAATTGAAATGAATGTATATTTTCAATTATTTATAAAAACTTTAGAAATGAACAAATATTTTCAGTTATTTATAAAAAGTAACATACAGGTTTAACTTAAGAGATAGTTATAAAACTTTTACTAAATTGTCCAACATAACTTCCTATTCATTCACGTTAGGCAGTCACAATAAATGTTAAAACAGCTAACCCTCTTTGAGTTGGGTTAATAAAATTAATTGTTGGTTTCATTGCATTTTCATTTAAAATTTTACATGTTTACATGGGGAGTTTAGAATCTATGCATATAAGCATTTTTATAATAGCAATTTTTTTGCTGACCTTCTGTTCACACATTATGGAAACAGTATCCGGACAAATAATAATATCAATAAAAAAGACAAATCAGTGCAGGACAAAATGACAGGCACCAGAGGTTTAGTGCCTGACAAAGTCTGAATCTGTGTCTGACATTGTCTGTGACAGGTGCCTTATTTCCAGGCTTGCCCATCACTAATATCAACCCTACTCAATATCCTATTTTCACCTATATTAAAGAGGGACTGTCCCTTTAATCATTGAAATCCTTTTCAAATGACATATTATGCATGTGTGTAACTACCAGAACTTACTTGTTTTACATAACCAGATATTTTTCCTATCACTTCACTTAAGTTGATGTTTCCATAATTGACATTATCCCCCTCCCTCTTCACTTCAACATGGTTAGTTACTTCACTGTCATTTTTCAATTCACCTTCATCCATTCTAGGTCACATGACCCATGTGTCAGTCAGCACAGTAACAATGCCTGGGGAAAAGAGATGTTATATAAATAGAATTTACAGACTGAATGAAATAATAAATCATACAAACCAGGGATTGCATTTAGAATATATCTGCCAGTCCATCTGAGAAAAATCTACCTGACTGAATTCAAATGTCAATAAATTCAAAACATCTAGTTTTAATATTTTATAAAAGCAATCAGGTAAATAAAAGAAACTGTCATGTCTTGAGTGTAGAAACGTAGAAATCAGTACATATCCATATAGTTTTTTTAACTAAAATGTAATATGACAAATGTTGAAAGTATGACCAGGTAGAATTTAATCTCTCTTAAACATACATTATGCTAGAGCTAAATCTGCCTATTGCAGGTCTTTCTTTAGGCCTGACATTAATTAACTGATCCAGGCCATAATCAACTCTTGGTGACATCAGATTTCTACGATATTAAATAGATTAGAACGGTTCAGCTATATTTTAATTTAATTTAAAAATGGAGGAGCAAAACTTAGCTTCGAACAACCAGTACGGTGGTTGCAATTATTGCACACGTTTTGTCAAATCTTCAACGGCTAATATTTTCGCTCGTAGAACAGTAATTGGAATGAAATTTTCAAATTATTCATTTTACATTAACTATTTTTAAACTATTATAGCAAGAATGGCCAGCTCTTTATGTCAATCTTACATAATTTATCTTTAATTTAGAATTATATAATAATTCATTTAAGTTCCAAGCGATATAGATTGTTTGTGCTTAATCAAAATGAAATGGGGTTTAACGTCCTGCTGTTCTGCTCTCACTGGGCTAATGAAGACGGGCATATGCCATACAGTGGCACTAAGGCCTACTCTTATATTGAATTCCAACGACTAGACAGCTGTCCTTGTCAGACCCTTTATCTTGCTCCCCTAACAAGGGAAAACCATGTCGGAAGATCCTGATGAATTTTCTCGGCCAACACCGGAAGCAAACCCACGACCTCCCGGCTAGCGATGTCTACTCAATAAAATACTGTATTGTCTTTGTTGTATCATACGCTGGCTCGCTAGTCTGGAGGTCGAGTGTTCGATCCCTGCACTGGCCGAGAAAGTTCATCTGGATTTTCCACCGTTGTTTCCCCTTGTCAGTGGTGTAGGATGGAGGGCCTGATAAGGACAGCTGGCTAGTCGTTTGGATGGAAGGAAAAAACAAAGTCCTGTGTATACATTGGCGTGCAAGTAAAAGATCCCTTGGCAGTTGGAATTCGATATAAGAGTAGGCCATAGAGCCACTGCCCGGGAAAAGTTTCCCGCATAGCACACTGTATGGCATATTAGCCCAGTCGGAGCAGAACAGTGGGACGCTAAAGCCCATTTCATTTCATTCCATTTGTTGTATTATAAATATAATTAAAGACGCATTATATGCAAAATTTAGAATGAATGTTCAAGTAAGACTTAGATAAACAGCTGGTCACTCTGGTTATTATAGTTTAAAAATAGATGATGAAAAATGATTACCGGAGTATTGAAAATTTCAGTCAAATTACTGTATTCTGAGCGAAGTTATCCGTGATACGAATTGAAAACGTTATTTGATAATCGAGATTATGTAGGTGGAGTTAATGCCTGTCAATCAAACGGCCTGCATTCTCGTAGACGGTGAAGAGGGATTTGACTCCTATTTCTAGTCAAAAATTACAACGGTGATAACTTTGTTCAGAATAAAGTAATTTGACTGAAATTTTCAATATATTCTTCTTTTATCATCTATTTTTGAACTGTTATAGCAAGAATGGCCATCTCTCTATTAAAATGTCCCATAATGTATCTTTAATAAACAAAATTCCCACCTTTCACAGCTCTTCTGATTGATTTAGTATATTTTTGCTACAATCATACTTTGAAATTATAGAGAGAGAGAGAGAGAGAGAGAGAGAGAGAGAGAGAGAGAGAGAAAGAGAGAGTTTAACCTCCACACAACACAAACTAGGTCATTTCGGGACTAACACATGGTTCAATTTAATTTCAATAATTCGCTTGCGCATAGGGCACTTTAGCAGTGGGGGGGGGGGGAAATCGGAGGACTCGGAGAAAACCCACGAGGTAGGATTGAAATTATAAATATTATAAAATTTATATAGACTCTCTTTCTTTTACATGTTCAAGAGTACTTTACAATGTTACTATGAATGAAATCAAACCACGAAAGACATTAAACAAATCAAGAAATAAGATAGGTTGCCAAGCCATGAAACATAAGCCCCAAGGCACTAAGTTGTCTGAGAAGTCCACAAGAATGGTCACATATTTATTCCTGAGTTGGTAAAATTGGAGCATTTACAATTTCTTACAAGACATTAAAATGTCATCAAGTGTAACATCCCGATGAGTAATTATCAAATTTTTTTCTAATTTGAATTTGATAGGGTTCTAGTTCTTCCTAATGCTAACATATATTAAAGATACATTATGATTGGCAGTTCTGACTATAATTATAGTTAAAAACTAGATAATGTAAAGGGAATTTGCTGAAAATTTCAGTCAAATTGATCCACTCTGAACCAAGAATTTAGCGATTGAATTTTAGGCCTAGCCTCGATCATCATTACTAAAGTCTGTATGATAAACAGCATAGTCTTGATTATACATTTTTTGATTTAATCATCAATAAGCGTTGAGCAGTAGATTGGATTCTAATCCAGTAAATATCGCAGGCTAGCGATAACATCAAGAGTTGATTATGGTCTGGATAAGTTAATTAATGTCTTATTAATAATTTGGATAACATTTCAGGCCTACAGAAAGACCTGCAATTGGCAGATTTAGTTCTTGCATAATGTATGTTTTAACAATACATTTACCAGTAATCAGATAATAAATTTAGCTGTGGATATATAAAAATAATTTCACAAGAAGAAGAATATCACAACAAAAGAAAGACTTACACATGTACAACTAATATAATGAGGTAATTTATTCCCTAAAAAAGAGGCTTGAACAGTATAAGTTTGGCAGACTTTGGTTTTAAAAGAATTTTATCATCAGATGATCTAAGACTTTAACTGGGTATTATACATTTCTAAAATTTCAGATAAGTAAGCTGGAGATAAAATGTTTATAAAAAAAGTCAATAGTAAAATCTTTTAAAATCAATTCTAACAGCAGCCAGTAACCAATGTAAATATTTAAGAACATTTGTGAAATGTAAGATAAAAAAGATAATATTGCAAGCTAATTAATTAATTTGATACGGTGTTTGACTATTGAGCTAACATTATTATTTATTCATTAACAATATCCTTATCTTCTTATACAGCTCTTCTGATTGATTTATTACTGATCAATTAATTTAAGAACAGTCACTTTATTTCAGCAAAGTCAACACCTCCCTGGTCCAGACAATGTATGGAGTGAGAAAACAGGTTTCCAGCCACATGCAAGTTTATAAGCTGATTAGTCAAAGTCTATTGTTAATATTTCTTTCAAAAGTTTCAAATAAATGTAGAACACAATTACATGACACTTGGATACAAATTTCTAAGAGTAACCAATTTAATCACTAATGTGCATCTTGGACAACTCTTTCAAGTTACAAAAAATTTACTGTCAAAATTTACTAATAAAATTGAGATATTATCATCAACAGGAAGTTTTGACTGTTCAAAGGGAAAAGAATGCAGAACACCATAGGCTAGCCATAGACAGCCTATTCCAAGTAATAATAGAAGTAATATTATAGACAACTTACAAGCAATAATTAGGTTAAAAGATAATTATTTATGGTGTATAAATGTGAAATACCATAGGGCCATAGGCTTATTTTGTTTATGGATTTTTACAACCAGTGACAATTGAAATAAATCTAATTGCTGACACTCACATATTTCTGATTTGTGTTTTTTCACAAAATATTAGTAACTACACTATTTATAGATATAATGCCATTCCCTTCTAAAAAAAGAAGTTTAGATCAAATAATAGAATTTAGAACACTCTCTGTCTTACTCAGCAGACAGATAATAATGTCAATGCAGCACACATTTTCTAATTTTGTAATATTGGAAGTGTATTTATTAAAGAAATTGATTGATTTTTTTTTAAATGTTTGTGCTTAATGGAGAAGATGTCAGCATACAAACTCAAATTAGGCTTATTACCTAATACTATATGTATTATCTGGAGCGAATAAACACAAATAAACAACATTCAGTAACTTAACACATTTTCATTTGACGTATTTCTTGCAACGTCAGTCGTCATCGCGAATTATATTATTTCATTTAAGAAAAAACAACCGTTGAAACCTTTAATATCTAATTACTGCGTTAGAAGGTGTGTATTTAATGTCAATAATTAGTTACCATCAAGTTTTAAAATAGGTAATATTCCGTTGTTTATCACTTCAAATGAATATCAACAATCACCTGTTAGATTGGTACTTCCTGTAAAGACAGTACGTCATGTGATTTCGAGAAATTACGAGAAATAACGAGACTTTTATTTCAGACTGAAGAAGAAAGAAGAAGAGATTGTGAAATATTCGTATGATTTAGATAAAAATTTTATGAGTTTTTCTATACGATACCTTGATTAATCCACGATTACTTGTCAGCTAGAAGAATTGGAGGAAAAGGAGACGAAAGAAATATATATTTCAGAAGGAATTAATCATGAAAACATACACTTATGAAAATTTATTATTCTCACGCGGTTAGAAAATAAACATGGCCGCCAAATATTCTAATCAATCAGAAGAAGCTAAAAGAAACACCCTAGGAACAACAAAGCACGTCAATTTACGTGGTTCTTGTTGTGTTAAATTCAACAAACATTTTAATTAGCCTTTGATCGTCAATTAGATATAAAATAAGGCGACTGTCCTTGACACTTGACCCTCAACGTGGTGGTTTTTGTTATCCACTTTTGCAGTAAAAACAGGCCAGGTGAAGCCATTTTTAAAGGTTATAAAACCTTACCAGACATCCTGCAACATTTGAAGTATCAGACAAAACAAAACCGGCTGAAATGTCCTGCATTCATTATAAATTCAAGACGACCCTGGACTACAGATCAATATCATTTGATGGAGTCGCTCTGTCGTTGGCAGACCTGAAGAAAGCCATATTTCAACAACGCCGTATGAAACCTGGAGAGATTGACTTAGAAATAACAAATGCACAGACTAAAGAAGGTTAATATATATATATATATATATAATTATCTGTATCTTTAAATCTAAATGAACAATAATATTTATTTGCCCAACAAAATGAACCAATAGTTTTAAACTGCTGCCGCTAAGCATTTACTAGTTAGTATACTACTGTTTTATGGATGTGTCATTGTGTCTAGTATTTTGTTAGAGTAGTGTCGGGGAATGGATGCTATTTGAAGAAATTGATACATTATTATACCCAAAATTTTTGTAAAAGAATTGTAATTAATTTTCCATGATATATTTTTTTCTAGTATACAAGAATAATGATGACATGATACCAAAAAATTCCTCCGTGATTGTTGCCCGTGTACCTATCCCAACCTCAACCAAAAATAACACTAGCAAATCATGGTAAGTGACACATATCAAGTTTATCGAGGGAATAAATTATTTCATTTTAAGAGTAACTACTGTCTGATTCATCGTAAATTTTAAACGGATTTCTTCGATTATGAACAAACTACTTAACTTTGGTTATTATAAACTTACCTGTGTGTTTGTAATGAACTCCCGTTCGATAAAATCCATTGCACAACTAATTATCACAACGATGAGAACAATTTCTCTCTTGAAAAATTTGAAAATTTACTTGTAATTTCGACAGAGTCGATGTCAACAATGTCTTCGTGACGTATTGGTCGAATCCAATATACCTGTTGCGGGGGTTGGTTAACATTGAAAGATAGTTTGACAGCGCGATCATTTTGATCGTATATGGGTTTGGGCGACGAAAAATATCAATTGAAGGCAATTACATAGGAGATTTATATGGAAACCATTGATCGCCAGTCTATCAAATTTTTTTCACAATTAAAATATCACTGATTGCACGGATACTCGTAAAAATAAAGTCATGAATAAACTATAAATATCCTATCTTCTTTATGTTATAAATAATTTAACAAGGATCATGAAGCTTACCTCCGAATTCTCTGAGTGTATTTTTAATTTTATACGCATTCTTTCGATCGAATAATAACCGCTTCAGTAACATCTTTAAGCGTGTTGCGGCAGCCCTCAGCGTGTCTATTGCCGTATTGGATGCCCGGGTGGGTATATAATGCTACTAAGCCCGTATGACCCCGTAAGAAGCGGAACATTAATTCTCGATTCGACAGTTTTGACCGAAGTGTGATAAAGCCCGTAAAACGAATGTATAGTTGTGTTTGTGCGGCATGCGTGTTCAAAAGTAAATAATCCCATCCGAGTCGCTAATCAAATAATTAGAACAAAATATTTCAAAAAGTAAAGCTATAAAATTTGCAGAGATTTTACTAGAATGTAAAAGACGGTAACTAAATACAGGAATGCGGGTAGTTATGTGTGCGAACGCTCAAACTCAATGCCAATTGTCGTAGGTATCCAGACCACTCGGACCAAAGACTACTCGGACTAAGACCAGTCGGACCAAAACAAGACCAGTCGGACCAATTAAATTATATTATAAGGCTAGACAATATGCTATTTATTTATTATTAAATCACAATACAAAGAAGCAAATAATTCTTATACGGAATTCTTATATTTAGAGTTGTTTGGTTCAATTTTGTGTACGTAAATAAATCAACGATTAGTTTTAAAATTAATTAATAATGGTGCCAAAAAAAAATATCAATCTAATTTTTCTTTACTCTTGCAATGAGACTCGGTATGTCCAGACTTTTGACAGTTTCTACATATACGGGTATACTGTTCTTGTCTGATAGCCTAATTTTACTTTTTCCACATTCGCGGTATCCCCAGTGGTTTCATTCCGTTCTACCCCACTAACCCCTGGGTTACTATATATGAGGGGGGGGGGTGGAGACACGTTTTCAAGTTATCCGCCCTTGATGCGTTAATATAAACAGCACATAATAATACGAAGACCGGACGTTTATATGCCCCTTTTTAAACGTGACTACAAGTGTGGTTCTCGATATTTTGCGATTTGGAATACAATTATCAATTTATTCAAACAACACGTAATTATTAGTTCGAGTAGTCATATTAAAACACACACAATTATCAATTTATTCAAATAACACTTTATTATTGGTTCGAGTAGTCATATTAAAATAAACACAATTATCAATTTATTAAAATAACACTTTATTATTGGTTCGAGTAATTATATTAAAACAAACGCAATTATCAATTTATTAAAACAACATTTTATTAATGTTCCGAGTCGTCTTTCTGTTGGGTCCGAATAGTCTTTTTGTATGGTCCGAGTAGTCTATTTGTTTGGGCTGAGTGGTCTATCACTTGGTCCGACTGGTCTTGAACCGAGTGATCTTTGGTCCGAGTGGTCATGGATTCTTGTCGTAATTGTACTTGAATTTCCTATGCTGTCACCCCTAATACGAAATGATATCTTCCGCAGAGTGACGTAACCATCTTCCATATTGGTATTTTTCTCTGGGAAAAGTTTGTGATATTTCAATTTTTCAAGAGAGAACTTGTTTTCATCGTTGTGATAATTAGTTGTGCAATGGATTTTATCGAACGGGAGTTCATTACAAACACACAGGTAAGTTTATAATAACCAACGTTAAGTAGTTTGTTCATAATCGAAGAAATCCGTTTAAAATTTACGATGAATCAGACAGTAGGAACAATATAGTGAAATCTGAAACTGCCTGCAGTCTCTTTAATTACATGTACCTAATGTACATATTTAGCTGTGTAGAAAACATGAGTAAGCTTACTCCCCTAAAACAAGTAATGAAGATTTCAGAAACTTCAATGTATCAATATGGCTACTACAACCTGAACTGTTGTAAATTTTAAACAGATTTCTTTGATTATGAACAAACTACTTAACTTTGGTTATTATAAACTTACCTGTGTATTTAAAATTATCTCCTGTTAACTAAAATCCATTGTACAACTAAATATCCCAGCGAATAAAAAGTTCTAACTTGTAAAATTGAACTAATCACAAACTTGGGACATAGAGAAATACAAAAATGGAAGCTAATTACGTCACTTATCGGGATAGATCATTTCGTACAAGGGGGTCGCAGCGAGGCTTGTCAATCATAATGATGTCTGGTTCGTTAACGACAATTCAAATTTTGTGTATGAATAAGCTATTGCTCTCGGACCCAGTTATGAGTTTTGGGTGTTTACAAGCATAAATAAGCTTGTAATCCGTTATTTGTTTCCGTCTTGTGTTAATTATTTGGTTAGAGAGTTTTGGGTGGCATTGTTTCTTTTGAACATAGGTGCAAAACAAAAAGAATGACATTCGTCTTACTGGCCTTGAATCTCACCCTTGAATATCTTTAAATTTTCCTGATGAACTTTTAAAGCAGTCCTGTCAGTTAACCCTGGAAATCTGCTGTAGCTGAGTTAAATCCGTAAATACTGATGTACTTTACATTTGCCTCGGCAAAATTAATAGCCAAGGCCTTTGAATTGAATGGGTATAATATATAACGTTATTTTTTTTTTTATAAATACCCAAAATTATTATCAACAAATCATACCGCCCATTGGTTTAATTATCGACAGATTGTACCATGTCTTTCTATTTCTCTTCTTTATATTATTTCCATTGTGCAAAAACTGTTCAGGATTTTATAATCGTGTGTCTCGGTAACAATTAATTTCCGAAAATCCCGGCTTCGTTTTGAAATTCACAGGGCAGTGTATCCAATTATTTTTTGTTTTAAATGCATTTTTATAAAGACGATAAAGATGTTTAGATATCCGGAACTATTCTTATCACAAATGTTTCGGTTTCACTATCTGTCGAATAAACAAAAAAAGTAATTTAATCAGGAAAATTATTGAGGTAATCATAAAACTTTGAAAATAGACTAATAACCACAGAGCATTGGGATTAGACTGTGATATGAAATATGATCAATTAAAATTATGAAATATAAGTGTTTATTTTATAAATGTTAACCACAAAGTTGCCTATAATTGACAGGGATGTAATATAATTTATAAAAATATATATCCTTAAACAGGGTATTTAAAATTATGGGGGTTAAGATGATGTGAAAAGCAATATTATATTTATGAGTATTTGTGTAAGTAATCAGTGATATATTCATTGTGAATAAAATTTAGTCAACTGACATCAATTGTTTCTGAATTACCGGTAATGTTATTGTCTTCAGTTGCTTCTTTGGTTGCCCAAACTCAAACGATCGAAAAGGTTGTGCACTGCATTGATTGCAAAACACTTTTTTGCGTTTTTGGCATGCAATAAATGATGCAATTTGATTTTACACCACTTTCAGAAGTCGACATTTAAAGGCCAATATAAGGGCAACTTTGCCTTTCAATCAGAACCTGTATCAGATAAATATTATTTAAATGTTAAAGTTAGCACAAGATAATTAACTCAATTTGGTGCAGTCACAGAAAATAGATCGATTAACAGTCAACGATCCCTTTCTAATGTAGCGATACCAGTACATCAATACATCGTGGGCTATTAAATTATATTTTTTCTTGTTAAAAATATTGTGTAAAATGCAATCTCCTATCGTCTAGTAATATACTTTCCTGTCAGCTAGCTTCATTATTTTCACTGACAAATAATAAACAAGAATTGTATTATTCAAATCAGCTGAGAATCAAATGACTGTGATAAGAAATGATTATTCTTTGTTTTTAACAGCCAGCGCAACCACATAAGTGTAGAGTCGGCTAGTTGCTATGTATTTTATTCCATGTCAGTTTACTGATGTATAATGCATAAAAACCAGCCGGTATGAAGACTGTTTTTGAAAGAAAGTTTGTTAAAAATATTAAAGTAAGCTGATAAAGATATAAGCCTCGTAACATTTTTTATATTGGTATAAATGTAATTAATCGTTAAGATTTCGAATTGTGGGTGAAAAAAGAGAAGGCACGATATTAAACTACACCGGTAACTCTTTTTGAAAGGAGATACAGAATAATGCCTGTTTCTTGAATTACCACATACTTTTTAACTTTGACTACAGTACCAGATAACCGTGACGTTACTGTGTTTATTGTTGGGCGTGCACCTCACCGCCTACCCGTTCTATATTACGTAGCGAAACACTGTGCTACCAGTACATTAATATTTTAGCAAATAGTCAGATGGATATAAAATATAGCTGACGTAAGGAGCAAAATTCAGTAGGCGGGGAAATTCGCCAACAACTGGCTCTTAATGAAACCTCTGGGTTAGCTTATCACGTGCAGTAGTACAATTGACTTTACTGATATCAGATGTTGATCGCAGTAAAACACATCGGCTGATACAGATACATGTACCTTTATCGATAGTGACTCATTAAAAAATAGAACCCATTAAAATGCTTTGAATATCATGATAATGTAGACATACATGTATGTCATTGTTCGTCTGGAAACGCAGGGTATTATTTTATCTTGTTAATTAAACAATGTTTATTAAAGGAATAATTGGGTCACACTTCCTACGAAGTTAAAAATACACACCATGTACATGTACTGAGAACTTAAAATTATTTGTTGCATGATTAATTAGTAATGTATGTCATTCCTTGAAATTGGGATTGTTCGAGGCACCAAAAATCGGAAAATGTTGTAGCTAAAATGAGCTGCCGCAGCCCTACAGCATTTTTTAATTGTCCGTCACGTGACAGTCTCCGACTTTTTCTATAAATAGAGTTCATTCAACTTAAAAATACAACCATTATGGACTACCCATGAACCACCTCTTCTTCAGTGTTATTGTTTTAACTAAAGCCAAGGATATGTCCTAAAGGCCTCGTTTGTAAAAGAAAAATATAGTGATTCACTATTGGTATTCAATACAGCAAATCACAATTCAATGATGTATCATGTTGGCCGAATGGACAATACTTGTTACAAATATGTTTTATTCTTAGGGCTTAAACATACATTATGCAAGAGCTAAATCTTCCTACTGCGGGTCTTTCTTTAGGCCTGGCCGCCTGAAATGTTTTCTAAATTATTAAACATTAATTAACTGATCCAGGCCATAATCAACTCTGATGGCATCAGATTTCTTTGATATTAAATAGATTCAGCCATATTTTGATTTAATTCAAAAATGAAGGAGTGAGACTTGGCTTCGAACAACCAGTATGGTGGCTGAAATTATTGCACACATCTCGTCAAACCTTCAAAGGCTAATATATCTTCGCTTGCAATAAAGCAATTTGAATGAAATTTTCAAATCATTTATTTTACATTATCTGCTTTCAAAATATTTATTATAGCAAGAATGGCTAGCTCTTTACCAAATCTTAAATAATGTATCTTTAATTATTTTCTTTTCTTATTTCAGGGAGGCTTTCAAACAGGAGTGTGCCAGAGCAGTACGTTTATCATTTTTATACATCCTATTTTAATCTGGTAAAATGTATCTTGTTTTTTTATTTTTATATTGTCTGTTTCTTTTCAGCTGTACAGGTATTTTTCTTTATATTTAAATTCATCTTGGTGGGTGATATATTTCATAAAAACAGATTATAATATGATTTGAGCATGATGAACATGTCAAGTTTTACAATAACATTCTATTTCAGTTTATTCATTCAACAATGTTTATGTTGAGTAACCTTGAATATAATTATTTTTTGACAAGTTAATAAACAAAATAATATCACTTTCTTCCAATTCTTATCTGTATTTGTTTGATGAGTGTTGACATAGAAAGAAATATTAAATTCAAATGTAATGATATAATTGTTAGCTTAAATACATGTAGTATACATACTGTGTTAGTAATTGATTTTATTAGAATTCTTTATCTTGTAATGTGAATGATTTATTAAATTCAATGTACATTTATAACCAACCACAGATCTTACAATTTATAATCTGGATGAACAATATTAAAAGCTATTGTTTATATTACTGCATATGGGGTTTAGCGTCTTACTTCTCTATACCAATTTGGCTAACAAAGACAGACATATGCTTTTTGGTGTACACGGGCAGTGTTGTTTCCTCCTACTTTTCATTCTGGTCCAACTGTCAATGGTTCTGTAACGTGCATGCCAGCAATACCAGGCCTCTTATTTTATCCCAACCAAATGACAAGACATTGTTCCTTGCCAAGCTCTCCATCACATACAACTGACTAGAGGAAACCATGCTGTGGTATTTTCGCTGCCAACACCGGGATCAAACCCGAGACCTCCTGCTTTGTGAGCCAGTGCCTTACACTAAAAGCTAACATAATTTTTTAACGACATACATACTCCAGTTGGATAATATATGAACTGGATTAGTCTTGTTCATGTGAAATAATTGATGTGAACAGGCAAGTAGGATTAATGGCTGAATGGTTAGCACATGCGCGCTGTATCATTAGGTCTGTCATTGAATCAACTGGAGTGGTTTCAATTCCCCGGTTGTACATGACAAGGGTCGCGTGTCCTCCAGTTTCCTACCACTGCTAAAGACCCCTACACAGAAGCGTATTATTGAAATAAAATTGAACCGTGTGTTAGTCCCGAAATGACCTAGTTTGTGTCAAGTGGAGTTAAACCCCATTCCTCTCTCTCTCCAGGTCCTCTGGTTTCCTCCCACTGCTAAAGACCCCTAAGCACAAGCAAATTATTGAAATAAAATTGCACTATATGTTAGTCGCAAAATGACCAAGTTTGTGTTTAGTGAATGTTAAACCCCATTTCTCTCTATATATATAATTAAATTGAGCTATTATTTATAAATTTACAAAATTTGAAATAATTAATTTCTAGTCCAGGAATTTTTTTTCATCGAAAAACCTGTATTTGAAGTTTAATTAGGTATGTTCAAAAGATAATGCCGACTTTATATAATATACTTCATCTATATATGCTATAACTATAACAGTAAAACATGTACCTGTAGATAGATTATGTAAATCTAGATCTGTTTTGTTTCATTCATCTTGTTCATACATGTACTTAAATGATTATATTTTGATAGTAAAAGATTAAATGCACATGTATCATGATTTTGGTTGGAAATGAATGTTGATCTATTTTCATGATTGAAACTGTGTGTATGAACTTACTTCAAACCCAAATGGAAATTTTTATGTTTTTTTGAAAATGTATCAACAGCATAGTTTCAAATGGTTAAACATGACAGGGATAAGGTCTTGTATGAATCTTACATCCAAATAAAGCAGTTTTATTTACTAAAATATATCTGGGTGGACTGCTCATTTAATACACATGCAAAAGTAAGAACTTGGGACCTTTAGTACGTTGGTTTTTATACGCCCACATTTTCATGTGGACGTATATTGTCGTCGCCCCTGTTTGTCTGTTCGGACGTCCGTCCACAATTTGTTTGTTGACACTCGACAGGTCACAATTTTTATCCGATCTCAACGAAACTTAAAATATAGCTTTATCTCCCTAAGATCTTGGTTCCTTTCGATATTGGCATGTATCGGACCATAACTTCATGGATTATGGCCCCTGATTGTACGAAAAATCGTGTTTTTAGCTTGTGGACACTCTAGAGGTCACAATTTTGATCCGATTTTGATGAAACTTGAAATGCATGTTTATAACCCAAAGATCTTGGTTCCTTTCGATATTCGGGCATATCGGATCGTAACTTACTGAATTATGGCCCCTGATTGTACGAAAAATCGCGTTTTTGGCTTGTTGACCCTATAGAGGTAATAATTTTTATCCGATTTAAAAAAACGTATTATGATATCACCGTTACACGCTAAGGACGACTGAGTTCGAATTTCTTGAAAATCGACCCAAAATTGACAGACAAAATGGCCGCCGTTCGTTCTAAAATAGCATAAAAATACAGTATATCAAAGTTGTGGACCCTATAGAGGTCACAATTTTTATCCAATTTTGTTGAAACTTGAAATGTAAATTTATAACCCAATTTTGTTGAAACTTGAAATGTAAATTTATAACCCAAAGATTTTGGTTCCTTTGGATATTCGCGCATATCGGATGGTAACTTCCTGAATTATTGCCCCTAATTGTACGCAAAATTGACAGACAAAATGGCCATTGTTCGTTCTCAAATAGCGTAAAAATATGGTATATCAAGGTTGTGGACCCTATAGAGGTCACAATTTTTATCCGATTTTGTTGAAACTTGAAATGTAAGTTTATAACCCAAAGATCTTGGTTCCTTTCGATATTCGCGCATATCAGACCTTAACTTCCTGAATTATGGCCCCTGATTGTACGAAAAATCGCGTTTTTAGCTTGTAGACCCTAAAGAGGTCATAATTTTTATCCGATTTAAAAAAGCGTATCATATCACCGTTGCACCCTAAGGACGGCTGAGTTTGAATTTCTTGAAAATCGGCCCAAAACTGACAGACAAAATGGCCGCCCTTCGTTCTCAAATAGCGTAAAAATATGGTATATCAAGGTTGTGGATCCTATGGAGGTCACAATTTTTATCCGATTTTGTTGAAACTTGAAATGTAAGTTTATAACACAAAGATCTCTGTTCCTTTCGATATTTGCGCATATCGAATTGTAATTTCCTGAATTATGGCCCTTGATTGTAGGAAAAATCACTTTCTTTTTAGCTTGTTCTCTATCCACCTCTCGAAAATGTGGGCGTATCCTGCCTGGCAGCCGCTGGTTAATAAAATTAGTGAGAAAAAATGAATAAAATAGGGTTTAATGTCCTACTTTCTACTTCCTGCACTAAAATGGCTAATGAAAACATGCTAATGCCATCCAGTGGGAGGGAAATTATGTCCAGACAACAGCTTTTCTGTCTACTTTCGTCAAATTCTAACTTTCAAAGGTTCTGTTATGTTCACAGTTTTCCATCTTTTCCATTGTCAAGACCCCCCGCTCTACTGACAAGGCGAAACCACCCTGGAAAATCTTGAGCTTTCTCGGCCAACCCTGGGACTAACTAATTAGTGAGCCAGCGCTTTGCTCACTGAACCACTGTTAGAAAAAATATTAGCTTGATCGTGTTAGCACAGATGTCAATAGGCATATTTACCATATTGTTTATGATATTGAAAAAAAGCAACAAGGTTTTCCTTAACACAAATCTACTAGATGTGTAGTAATTAAAATGTGTAAAAACACTAGAATGGAAGTAAAGTACTTGTGTTAAATAAGGTCCAGCAGGAAACTGGATTTGGGGAGTTAAACATATTTTTATTAATAATGATATTGATATTGAACGATAATTGTATTGTATCCTGTTTAAAATTTGACCATTTATATAATGTTACCGGCTATGGCTGAATGAGACACATATAGGTGAAGACATGAAATTATATTGTTTTCAAAGAAATTTAAATTCTGTTTTCAAAGAAATTCAATTTTGTTTGCAACAAAGGAAATTATTTTTCATAATTGCTAAGATCTCTAGCTTTGAAGTTGGTATACAAAAAAAATTGATTGGAAATTATTGAAACAAATCAGACACGACTCCATAGTCTAATACCAGAAAATAATGTCATGCATTTCTCACCTTGAATCAGTGGGGAAATAAAAATAGTTATTTAGTGAAAATTGGAAAAAATGTTTTGTATTTTGGACCTTTCATGCCTTATCAGAAATAATAGGCCTGTGACATGTCTTATTTATCTAGAGCTGGTCACACATTATTTTGTAAGGTTAATTTCGATAATTTATGTATATGTACATTTTTGTGTGCCCTATTTATCAAGTAATAGATTATATATATGTCAATTTAGATATAATATTGACCACTTGTGTATTAAAAATGAAATCTTGTTGACTAAATCTGATTTTTTTCGTAGCTCAAACTTTAAGTTTATGCGTCATTCAACCGTATATGTTTACTATATAATTAACACTTGGAAATCGTAATTGTTATGCAAAGTAGATGTATATTGCTACATGTAGTTGGAAATCATTCTCTCAAAACCGCTACATCTCACCAGTTGCTTTACTTTATTTTCAAGGCCTTTACTACTGAAAATTGTCATTCATAGTTATTTTTACCGGCAACTTTCATACATGGTTGTTTGTATATTTAATTGTCTGTATCACACTAATGGATTGATCTCTATTTTATTTTAATAATAATTAATTTGTATTCTGAAGATACATAATTATTGATACTGTTGTATTAGTGCAAACTTTGTACATCGCCCGTTTTCACAAGTGCGCTATGGATTACGTCTGTATGTACCAATTCATTGTGATATACTTTTTTTTTTTGTCATTGATCTCATAACATAGTATTTTTTTTGTTGCTAAGTAATGTTATACAAAGATTGTTATATTTTTATACATTGTTACTGGGTTTTTTTTATACATTGTTATTGCTTTTTGATACATATTTTTTTGTTATTTTGATTTGTGTTTATATCTTTTTGAAATAAACACTCGTTCTGATTGGAAATTTGTGATTTTTCAAAGTGAAAGAAGTGTGAATTGGATCCTTTTCAGTCACCCCAATTTTCCCAGCTACAATATTATAGTCTTGAAATTGAATGACGAATAGCATCTTGCAGAATGCATTTTTTAGATGGATCACAAAAATTAAACCCCAAAGAATCATGATTATGTTAGGAAATGAGTCTTAAGTTACTACAAATTATAATGTCCTAATTTATTCCATGGGTGTAACTTAATAAAACTGTAATGAAAAGGGTGTGAATGAAGATATGATTTTTCCTCTTGGTAAGTATGGACATCAGCTATAAAATACACAAGTTCTCTGAATGGTAACGACTGCAGATAACAACAGAAGACAAAGATGAAGAAGATCTCAACTGATATCCCCATAATACTGTTTTTAATACAGATCCTATGCTATTTTACCAGCTGACTTGATACTGTAACAGAAATGCTCTCAATTCTGAATTTTGGAGTATTGATTGTTCAGCAATTAATTTTCTATGACAAATGAACTATATGACTAACAAGCACAGTTGTTAGCATTTCTGTTCATGTATCAATTTTTCGGACTGTGGCTTGTCTAATTTTTCCAATGAATTAATGCGATGAAGGTTCCATAGTTGGAAACTATCCACGGTATCATAATCATGTAAAGTGTTAATAGATTTTACATGTGTAATGGTGTTGTACTATTGTTTAGCATGGTTTGTGGGCATTTATTTTCAGATAAAACAAGAGAAGGAGAAGGAGAGAGCTGCTCAGGAACTGGCCAATCAACAGGTAATGCTTATAATTATTTATCGGAGCAGAACTGTAGGACACCAAAGCCCATTTCATTTCATTTCATTTATAGTTATATTGATGTATTTTTCAGCTATTTAAGAGTGTAATCCTGGAATATTCAACTCAGGTGCATGCCTTAGATGGGTACAATACTTGGCTTTGTGTAAACTGTATAATAATAATAAATGTCCATATATAGTGCCAAAACTCCACATAATGTCCTTGTAGGGCTAGAAATCCTATCCTAAAAGAGTCTTTAGCTCTCAGTTATAACATGCTTGAACATATGAGTTATTAAAAGTTTCTTGAATGACAATAAGCAGGTGCATTGACATAGGTTAACAATCGAGAAGTTTTACCTTTCCATCAGTAGGTACTTCAGACCAATGATAACCAAAGGATTTCGATCGCAGATTTGATGATCAAATGTAACATTTAGAATGGGTATGATGTGGGTGGATCTAGGTAATCTGATCACCATCCTGGAAGTAGGTTTTTATATGCCCACATTTTCATGTGGATGTTTATTGCCGTCGCCCCTGTCTGTCCTGATGTCTGTCTGTCCATCCACAATTTGTTTGTGGACACACTGCAGGTCACAATTTTTATCCAATTTTGATGAAACTTGAAATTTAAGTCTATCTCCCAAAGATCTTGATTCCTTTTGATATTGGCATGTATTGGACTATAACTTCATGGAGTGGACACTCTATAATGGTCACAATTTTCGTCCGATTTTGATGAAACTTAAAATACATGTTTATAACTCAAAGATCCTGGTTCCATATCAAATCGTAACTTCCTGAATTATGGCCCTTGATTGTACAAAAAATCATGTTTTTAGCTTGTGATCCCTCCAGAGTTCACAATTTTTATCCAATCTAAAAAACCATGTGCATATATCACCATTACACCCTGATGATGATTGAGTTTTAATTTTGTGAAAATCGGACGCCCCTCATACGATATGTCAAGGTCTCAATTTTCATCCAATTTTGATGAAACCTTAAATTTATGTTTATATCATAAAGATTTTGGTTCCTTTCGATAATCGCGCATATCCGAACATAACTAACTTTCTTTATTATGACCCCTGATTGTTCGGAAAATCACATTTTTAGCTTGAGGACCTGCTAGAAGTCACAATTTGTATTCAATTTTAAAAAACGTTTAAATATATCGCCGTTACACATCAGTGATTGTACGAAAAATCGCTTTTTCTTTCTAGCTTGTTCTCTATCTATCTCTTGCAAAATGTGGGCATATTTTGCCTGGCATCCATTGGTTAACTACGGTACAAATTTGTAGCAGTGCCTTTCAGGGGTTTTTTTTACACAGAATATTAGGTCTTGAAAAAATGAAATAGTAATTAATTATTTTGAGGGGGGTGGAGGATTGTGCATGTCACAAACACATATTTATATTAGGTAACATCAAAGGGGCATATTCCAAAACATTCATTGTGAAAGGCACAACAAATAGGTCCAATATTCAGTTATATAGTGAATTGAGTTTACCTGAAATAACCAACATTAATCAGAATCAGGGAATACAGCCTTTAGGTTTATGAGGTCAAACTTTTTAAATTGTAAGCCGAACCCCTCATGCCTTTATAGATGAAATGAAATGGGGTTTCAAGTCCTACTGTTCTGCTGAGACTGGGTGTATGCCATACAGTGTGCTATGAGGGAAATGTTGCCCAGCCTACTCTTAAATCAAATTCCTCATGCCTTCATAGATGAAATGAAATGGGGTTTAAAATCCTACTGTTCTGCTCAGGCTGGGCATATGCCGTACAGTGTGCTACAAGGGAAATGTTGCCCAGCCTACTTTTAAATCGAATTCCAACTGCCAAGGGATCTTTTATGTGTACACAGGACCTCGGTTTTTCTTCCCATCCAAATGACTATGCATTGTCCCCTGCCAGACCCTTTGTCCTGCCCCACTGAAAAGGGGGAACCACACCAGAAAATCCCAATGAACTTTCTCTGCCAACGCAGGGATCGGAGACAGGACCTCGCGGTTAGCGAGCCAACTCCTTACTGAGCCAACGTGACCCCACCTAAATAGATCAATAGATAATATCTTGACTTGGATTCAATCAAATTAAAAAAAGTGTCCTATCAAAAAATATTACCCAACACTTTGAGATGTCTATGGCTTATTTAAATTGTCTTCAGAGCATTCCGAGCATTGCAAAAAATTTCAATTTTTCATATCTTGGTACATGCTTAAAGGCTCAATACCACTCTTGTTGTAACTGAATAATATGTCCCAATCTTTATTCTGGTCAACAAATTGTACTATTTTACAATATTCCAATTATTTGATGATACAAATTTCATCTTAACACACCTAATTTAAAAAATTGGAAAAATTCAACTAAATGATTTGAAAAGCCTCACGTAAATCTTTTCAAATGTGACTTTGATTTAAAAATATTTTTGAACCCTCTGGACAAGTAAAATAGGATTTAATGGATAATTTACACAAAGGGAGGACACTAACACATCTAGTACTTAGAATAAGGCTATTTTTTTTTTTCTGGAGCTGTCAAGCCAGCAAGAGTGTTATTGTCCCTTTAAGGAATTAAACTATTTTTGGATAGATATTCATTTTATTCGAGAATCAACTATCTTGATGTTATAGTTTGCATTGGATTTAAAATCCCTCTAGCAACGATCAATTGCTTTGAATTAAAAACACATCTTATATATTCCCAAATTTTTAATCTCATTTAATTTCAACAATAGATAATGAAATCTATCTCACAGCTCCCGATTCTGTGATCAGGCACATATCTCGTAGATAATAAGACCGATCTTGCTTGGTTGCGAGTAGATATCCAAGAAATGCCTGTGTGTGTGTTCTACATTTAATTCCTTTCCCTTGTATATATTACAATTGATGGACCATACAAACCTGTGAGACCATGGGGTGCGCATATGCAAAAAATGTGAGGGTATTCTAAAAAGGCAGCCTCTCTCCTCGAGTGACACAAGGAGCGTTTCTTATGTTTTGATCTAATGGCTAACGGTTGTGAGAACATTGAAAGAATTTAACATTCAATAGACTCTGAGGCTGAACCGTGGTAAAAGAATTTAGCAGAGGAGAATCCAAGAATTTACTTAGACTTCGATATTTATGGTAAATGGACAGCAACTAACAACAAATACAAACAAAAAAATGGATTCTCCCTCAGTCGAGTCATGTGATAAACAAGGCTGATGAAAAAAATAAATTCTCATGTCATGGGATAGATGTCTTAAGAAAAAATGTTTTTAGGTGGATTTGAAGCAGTCTTTTGGTACATAAATGAGTTTAATTATGTTTTTAGTACAAAGATATCATATCACACAGTTTGTATGCGAGAAGGCATCTTTAACATTTTGACTTTTTATGCGGCCATATAAAAATGAACTTGAGAAAGTTTGGATCAGTTTGTTATATATGCTTTCATTGTTATTATATTTTTTATAAAGGGAATAAAATTAATTTTCAGGCCGGGGATATAGCAAATGCTAAGACTTCGGAGATTGATAAAATTCGTGCAATGATGAACCAGTCTGGTAGAGATTTTGACCCAGCAAGGTGAGAAAATTAAACTGTTTGTGATAAAGACTTGGTCTGGTCAAATTTTTTTTTTTTTTTCAAATGTTAGAATTCGTAATGTAATTGATATTATACTCTATGGTTGATGCAACTACGATATAATAATGTACTTTTAATTGTATATTTTATTAAGCTACAAGAATAAAGTTCCACTCGGCCAGCCACCAGTAGGATATAAGTGTTATAAATGTGGTAAAGGGGGACATTATATTCATGGCTGTACAGAAAAATCAGTAAGTTCGTCTAATTCTTGTATGAATGTTGAATCATGTTTCCGGTTGTCAAATTGGTAAAAATTATCACTATGTAAACTTCATCTCAAAAAGTTCAAATGACATCAAATAACAGACCTTTCTTTACAATTTTCCACAGCTTAATCCATGCCAAAATGTATTCAAATTAATTATTGTGTGTTTAAACAAAATCAAAAAATATCAACGGTAGATAATATCCCAGTATGGATTCAATTGGATTCAATTTTTTTTAGCAAATATACTATTCAAAAAAAGTAGGGGATATTTGATTTTGGGGGCATAATACTAAAATATGCAAATGACTACGAAAAAAGTCACTATAGAACCTAACAGAAGAAACATTTCCAGTTACATGTGACGCCCAAACGCACCAATAGCTACCGCATGGAATGCAGGTGATGCTTGGGATCATCATGGGGGTCCAACCCAAGATTTGCACGACTCTGACTTTGAATGTTACAGTCATTGTGGCATTGAATTCCAGGGTGGAAACATCAGTTTAATTGTTTTAGTGACCAGAAAACAAATTTTGATATGCGTCGGCTTACCCAAAATGAAAGGTTACGTGCCCTTGGCATGCTGCAGATCGGCACAACACAGGCGGTTGTGGCGCGGACGATGAATGTTTCTCAGTCTGTCATAAGCAGGCTATGGTCCAGATACCGTGATACACAATCTGTACAGGACAGACCACGCTCAGGTCGACCAAGGGCGACAACTCAAGCCCAGGATCGATTTATCCGTACCTTGGCCTTGAGAAATCTTGTCATCACAGCAAATCAGATCAGCGCTCGTCTTCAAACAGACACTGGTGTGAGAGTGAGTGGCCAGACGATTCGGAATCGACTGCATAGGGGTCACCTTCGCGCCCGACGTCCTCGCGTGATCCCTTGTTTGAGAGATCATCACATTCAGGCAAGACGTCGTTGGTGTAGGGATCGTCAACACTGGGATAATCGACGCTGGAGCAATGTGATGTTTTCAGATGAGTCAAGGTTCACTGTTGATTTTTTGGACAGACGTAGGAGGGTGTGGCGTCGTCGAAACGAGCGCTTCCAAGACGTTAACGTCATCAGACATGATCGATTTGGGGGTGGTTCTGTTATGGTGTGGGGAGGTATCACTGTTGCTGGAAGAACGGCTTTACATGTTGTTGCAGGGCGTGTTACAGGCCAGTACTACCGGGACAACATCTTGGCAGTCCATGTTGTGCCGTTCGCACGACGTCATGGCCGCCGTTTCATCTTCCAGGATGACAACGCAAGATGTCACAGGGCCAGGATCGTTACAGGTTACCTCCAACAACAGAACATCACCACATTACCTTGGCCAGCACTGAGTCCCGACCTCTCCCCCATCGAGCATGTCTGGGACATGCTTGGACAGAGGTTACGTCAACGTCAACAACGTCCTGCCAATGTCCAAGAACTTGCTGCTGCGTTGCAACAGGAATGGGACAATCTGGACCAAAATGACCTTAGACGTCTCATTAGGAGTATGCCACGTCGGATCAATGCTTGTTTGGCAAACAGAGGAGGATTTACCCGTTACTGACTTGGTTGTGATGCTGTGGTAACTTTGCTGTTTGACCCTGGGTATCATTTTACCCTTATAATGGTCAGTCTGTGCCTTAGTCTAAAGATCATTTGGAATAAATCGATGAATGTGAACTTCATTTCATTTTGTCATTTGTTTCTTCGTCAGTTTCATTAGGTGACTTTAATAACACTTAAAAATCAAATATCCCCTACTTTTTTTGAATAGTATATTATATGTGGCACTGACTTTTGACAATATCCAAATTATCACCTAATATCTCTGTAAAATACTGAATGGCATTGAACAGCTTTTGGACCAATATAGCTTTTAGGGATTCCACACTTTTTGTAGTTTGAAAAGGATTCCTTATTCCATCAAATAACCATCTTCAATAGAAGGCTTGATCTCGCTTTAACTACGTACATCCTATCAAGTCCTTCACGTAAATACCCTGCATATTTCGGCACTAATTTTGATTGGTTACAAGCCTAGCTTGTGAACCTATCAGATTCCTCGATCGTCGAGAATACCAAGTCTTGCGCTTTCAAGCTAAAATGTCTACCTGTGGTAATTGAGTTGCAAAGTTCAAGGTTCGTTCAATGTCAAGGTTTCCGTGGAGGTCGCTATGTCACAACCTCTGATTGGACGCTACTGTTCAAGTGTCTGTAGATAACGTAGTTATAAGTTCGGGAATTGTGAAGTAATCTAGCAACGTCCAGATGTTGTAAAACTTGCAGTCGGTGCTTTAGGAATATATGAAATGACATTCAAATGTCACAAATTTTTAAGGGTGTTTTAGTTAGATTTATTTCAGTTTTGGTAGTGTGTGTCATAAAGCAATGGCAACATTAAGCTTCATAAACAATCCTCTTTCTCACTCTTTTTTGAAGTTGGGTCCGATATTCTAACTAAAACTTTTCATTATCTAAACTACCATAGCAGACCAGGATAACAATAACATATACCTTGTAAATTGCAGGAATCAAATGTAATTGAACCAAAGTTTAAGAGAAGTACAGGAATACCAAATAGTTTTCTAACTTTAACCGATGACCCCACTGTACCAGGAGCCTTGTTAACTTACTCTGGAAAATTTGCAGTTCCTACCATTGATAAGTAAGTATATTTTGGAATGACTTAAAGTGTTTAATTAGCATTAAGTAGTCACATTTATGGACAGAAACATTTTTAAGTTGACACACTTTATGAAAGGTGAAACTATTTATTTATTCTTTCTAAGAGGACAAATGTCGTATTGTCATACTTCATGATTGGTGCCAGTAAAATTACCACTTTTTGTTTTTAAAGGCATGCTTATGCTACTGGTAAAAAGGAATTGCCACCATTCTTGCCTGGTATGAATACACAAGCAGTAGTGCCTAAATCACCTGGAATTCCTCAAGAACTAAGATGTTTGATATGTCAAGATTTACTGAAAGATGCTGTTCTTATTCCTTGTTGTGGAAACAGTTTTTGTGATGACTGTAAGTTTTGCATAATTTTTATTATAATTTTTATACGCCCACATTTTCATGTGGAGGTATTATGCCGTCGCCTCTGGACGTCCGTCCGTCCACAATTGTTTGTGGACTCTCTACAGGTCACAATTCTTATCCGATTTTGACGAAACTTGAAATATAGGTTTATCCCCAAAAGATCTCGGCTGCTTACGATATTGGCATGTATCGGATCGAAACTTCATGGATTATGACCCCTGATTGTACGAAAAATCACATTTTTAGCTTGTGGACCCTAAAGAGGTCACAATTTTTGTCCGATTTTTTTGAAACTTTAAATGTAAGTTTATAACCCAAAGATCTCGGTTTCTTTCGATATTCGCGTATATCGGACCGTAACTTCCTGTATTATGGCCCCTGATTGTACGAAAAATTGCGTTTTTAGCTTGTGGACCCTATAGAGGTCATAGTATTTATCCGATTTAAAAAACCATATTATTTTATCACCGTTACACCCTATTAAGGAAGGTTGAGTTTGAATTTCGTGAAAATCGGCCCAAAATTGACAGACAAAATGGCCGCCATTCAGTCTCAAATAGCGTAAAAATATGGTATATCAAGGTTGTAGACCCTATAGAGGTCACAATTTTTATCCGATTTTGTTGAAAATTGAAATGTAAGTTTATGACCCAAAGATCTCGGTTCCTTTCGATATTCGCGCATATCGGACTGTAACTTCCTGAATTATGGCCCCTGATTGTACGAAAAATCACGTTTTTAGCCTGTGGACCCTATAGAGGTCATAATTTTTATCCTATTTGAATAAACGTATTATTACATCACCGTTACACCCTAAGGAAGGTTGAGTTCGAATTTCGTGAAAATCGGCCAAAATTGACAGACAAAATGGCCGCCGTTCGTTCTCAAATAGCGTAAAAATATGGTATATCAAGGTTGTGGACCCTATAGAGGTCACAATTTTTATCTGATTTTTTTTAAACTTGAAATGAAAGTTTATAACCCAAAGATCTCAGTTCCTTTTGATCTTCACGCATATCGTACCGTAACTTCCTGAATTATGGCCCCTGATTGTACGAAAAATCGCGTTTTTAGCTTGTGGACCCTATAGAGGTCATTATTTTTATCCGATTTAAAAAAACGTATTATTATATCACCGTTACACCCTAAGGAAGGTTGAGTTCGAATTTCGTGAAAATCGGCCCAAAATTGACAGACAAAATGAAAGCCGTTCCTTCTCAAATAGCGTAAAAATATGGTATATCAAGGTTGTGGACCGAATTTCATGAAAATCGGCACAAAATTGACAGACAAAATGGCCGCTGTTCCTTCTCAAATAGCGTAAAAAATATGGTATATCAAGGTTGTGGACCCTATAGAGGTCACAATTTTTATCCAATTTTGTTGAAACTTGAAATGTAAGTTTATAACACAAAGATCTCAGTTCCTTTCGATATTCACGCATATTGAATTGTAATTTCCTGAATTATGGCCCTTGATAGTAGGAAAAATCACTTTCTTGTTAGCTTGTTCTCTATCCATCTCTCGAAAATGTGGGCGTATCCTGCCTTGCAGCCGCTGGTTATTATTACATGTAGGTCATTTTTAAATTAAAGGCGTTAAAATTGTTTCAGATAGCCAAATTTAATCCTATTGATGTTAATGATCTTATTAGCTACTAAGTATTGATGTCTCTCACTATTTCAAGTGAGTTAAATATATAAGTGTGTGGAATTGTGATGATTATTTTCTCTAAACATACAAACACTATCCCAGGTAACGTGTATCACATTACGTTAGTACTTTAGAATGTGTATTAATTACTCTGTGTCTGATGTGACTTATTGGTCAGATATTAATGAAAATGAAGGAGTATCATCATATGTTGTGTTTAATATTGAAATTGTGCTTGTTTCTTTTAACAGGTATAAGAAATAAACTGTTAGAGACAGAAGATCATGAATGTCCAGTTTGTCATGAACAAGATGTCTCACCCGATAAACTCATACCTAATATGCTGATGAGAAAAGCTATTATCAATTTTTTAAATGAATCTGGCTACACTAATGCCATAAATAAGTCTGTAGAACGTATGAAAGAAGAACGCAGAAGTGCTAGTCCAACTATGCCACCAGCCTCTACACCTCAAGTACAGGCTCCACCAGTTCAGAAACCTGTTCAGGCTCAGAAGCCTGTGAATATTCGACAGGCTTGGCAACAATATAAAAAGCCCACTTATAATCAAGTTATTCAGACTCTAACTCCTAGTCAACCGAATATCATACCTCGCATTGTACCTGTGACTCAACAGATACCCAGTATCCAGCAAGCTCCTCATCATTTTACTAATACCATATCCTCGGTAAATAGAGTAGTTAATGATGCTATTCCTGTACAAACAGTAACACGATCACAACCACCGCCATTACACATGACTTCTATACCTGTACAGTCAGTCAACAGCCCTATTTTATCACAACACTCAGAAAGAAGGTAGGACTCACATACTCCCATTTTATTGATAATTTCTTATTACAATTCATACTGCTTGTATTCGTGATGAAATGCATAGTTATTCAAAATAGGTTCATTTGGTAATAATTCAACACCATCTTAACTTTAATTGTACATTTGTAGTAAACCTTGAATATTCAGTCTTGATGTGTTGTTTAATATAGTAATTGTCCCCCGCCTTTCGAAGAAAGCAGGGGACTATTAAAATGGGTTCGTCCGTCTGTCTGTCTGTCCGTCTGTCTGTCCGTCTGTCTGTCTGTCCGTCTGTCTGTCCGTCACACTTTTTGGGACACAATAACTCTCTTCCTAATTGAGCTAGAATGTTCAAACTTGGTGTATGTGTTTATTAGGTCAATGCCTTGATGGAGTTCGAAGATGAGCATTTTCCGCTTAGGGTAAGCAGAGATAAGCAATTTGATTGGTTGATGCTTTGGGACACGATAACTCTCTTCCTAATTGGGCTAGAATGTTCAAACTTGGTGTATGTGTTGATTAGGTCAATGCCTTGATGGAGTTCGAAGATGAGCATTTTCCGCTTAGGGTAAGCAGAGATAAGCAATTTGATTGGTTGATGCTTTGGGACACGATAACTTTAGTTCTAATTAAGTGAGAACTATTATAAATTAATTAAATATGTAGTATGCAATAATGAATTGACATTTAATGACAGAAAGAAAACAGTGAACTTTGCACAACTTGCAGCAAGATGGAAAATAGACCCGTTGATACAACCAAACTCTAGATTTGTAGGCATAGAGCATGTTTTCCCCTTAATATGCTATAATTATTCCATCAAAAACATTGTATGCTTAGACTATAAGTAAAGATATACTGTTTGATTGTTCGATACTTTGTAAAAGATAATTTGTGATAAATTTATATGTGTCCTCTAATTATTTTCCTATTTCGGCGGGGGACATCAGCCTCACTGTTGGCTTGTTTATTATTTTAGCAATACGCCTGAAGATAGAGCACCAACTCCTGTTAAAGATGAACAGCCCCATCCGCCAGGTGTTGACGAGGCAACAGTACGTAGTCATTTATTATATGCCCACATTTTGTTTGTGGATACTCTACGGGCAACAATTTTTATCCGATTTTGCTGAAACTTAAAATATACTATATAGGTTTATATCCCAAAGATCTCGGTTCCTTTCGATATTGGCATGTATCAGACCGTAACTTCATGGATTTTAGCTTGTGGACTCTCTAGAGGTCACAATTTTTATCCAATTTAGATGAAACTTAAAACATATGTTTATATCCCAAAGATTTTGGTTCCTTTCATGTCGGATGTCGGACTATAACTTCCTGGATTGTGGCCCCTGACTGTACGAAAAATTGCTTCTTTTTTTTTTTTAGCTTGCTTATGAAAGGTATTGCCCTCAATCAATGTTAAGATTATTCTAGTCATATTTTTGATTGTGACCAGCGAAACAAAGCTTTTGGTGGGTTGGGTGCTATTAGACGACTATTTTATGCATTTAAGTTGGCAGAATGTAAATTTGTCTTTTTGACATAAGTGAAAATCCTTTTAGGTTTTGTATTGGAATTATAATGTGAATAATTTTATTCTAGATATCTAATTGAACTTTTTAAAAATAATATTTTATATATTTAAGGTGAACGTTATATCAGTAGTAGGACAGCCTCCTCCAGAAGTTCAAACAGTACAAGGTATATAGTATAAATTAATTTGTCAGTTAACATAATTTAATGTAACCAGCTGTTTGATACAACTGCAGTCTACTATTGAACAAAGAGGTAGTAGTAGTGGGCATTTAACACACATATTTCTTGTTTTACTGTAGTACTGTAAAGTGGGAGCCCTGGTGGCTTGGCCAGTATGGCTCTGGCTCACTAACAGTCTGAATCCTATGGCATTCAGTCCTTAAAATGGGACAAAAAGACAAAGTCCATCCATGTTCTTGTTGAAATTCACCTACAAAAGAACTCTTATAAAGTAGGCGGAAACGTCACTGCAAGGGCAAATTTCCCTCAGCACTTTCCCTTATAAGGCAATAATTAATTCAAAGATGCTATAATTAAATATTGTCTGTGGTACAATTTAACACTTCACATATCATTTATTTGTTGTAAATGAAACTTTTGCCTTAGAAATAAGCAAATGTGAATTGATATATTGTGGAATAAGTTTAGTTTAATGATTTAATGTATTTTTTTTTTTGTTCCTTTCTTTCTAGCTGTACAGACCACAAGGTAAATTTAATCTATTATCATAATTTATTTTCTTAATTTTCTCATGTTCAAAAAATTTTTTTATATAAGTTTTAAAAATGTATTTCAGAAAAAGATTAATAAATAAAACAATAACTATGATATTAATAGAAATGTTAACTAATTAGTATTAATTAGTATTAATTATCACTGTAACAATCACTAATTTATATGTTATTAAACATACTGTAAAAAGCAATATCTCCGATTGATCAAAGACATTTAGTTGTAGGAAACTATCTCCTTAAATCTAGTTTATTTCTAGAAATAAGTTAATGAAATGAAATAAACCAGCATTAAAACTATAAACAGACATAAAGCAAACTTGGAAAATTTAAGCATACCGGTTTTGATTAAATAATGTTTTGATTTAGATCTAGTACTGTTCCTTCATGGCAAAATCTGAAAGCTCCTGGAAGTAACACCCCACCATTATATGGTTCATTACCACCAACAACCAGTAACTCACACCCTCCATCTTTATTAGGTGTTCCACCACCAATATATCCAGGTAAGTTAATTATACAGGATAGTCTACTTGCTGTATACATGTACCTGAAATTGTTTATATTATATTATAAGATTATGAAATCAATCACTTCTATCTAGTCTTTTGCATCGAGTTAAAATACATGTGAAAACTGTTTACAATAATTGTCATTATAGAGAGGTGTGGACATTAAACTGTTTGCATTTCTAAATTAAAATGCATATTCAACAATTACTGTTATTGAAATTAAAAGCTGATTAATATGATTGCAACTTATTATGGCTTGCATCGACTTATTATTGCTGTAAAGCTATTTATGTTGATGGTTTGTTCCCTCCGTATATGATAGGTGAGATGTTTAGGCTAATGAAACAAAGCATAAATGACTCTGAATAGATATATTGAATTATTACATATAGATGACCTCTTTGATTGTCAGTGTACAGCAACTAAGCTTAATACAAAATGTACATTGTATGAAATGATCATGTTGTCATCTCAAAAACAGCACTGGCTACCCAACATCCTACACTAAACAACATAACAAAAATTATTGTCTGTATTATGAAAAAATCACTTTAAAAGCTTTCTGAAACTTCATTTATGCAAACAAATTTATTAGAAATGATCGTTCCTAATATATTTCAATAAAAACAAACCATGATCGACACAGCCAATGCCAACATTGTAAAGACAGAGGTTGGCTCAAAATATTCATACTGTCGAGAAAAAATATTGTCCCTGATTAAAGGATTTATTATGTATAATAAAAGTGAATAATGGTCATGATAATAATCTGAATGGAATATGCCTGAACGGATTAAACAACATTCGTGGATTGTCTTGGTGGCTTGTTTTGTTTTAAGTTTCAATATTGTTTCCTATAGTCAAGATAAAACAGCAAAACAGACTTACATGTCTTGCATGAAATTGATGAATTTGAAGGATGTGATCTTTATTTTTTTATGGTCACAATAAACTTAGTTCTAAAAAATCATTCATATTTGTTAGCAGGTGTGCCAGGACCTATGATCGGACAACCTATTACGCCAATGAATTTTGGCGTCCCTCCATTTGGCTCTGGACCACGACCTCCGTTTCCTCCTTTTGCTCCTCCAGTTGCACCCATGTCGAAAGAACAGTTTTATAGAGAACAAAAGAGAATGAAAGAAGCTGCCAAGTAAGTATAAACTTTCCTTTTATTGCACAAAACATATCTCAATGATATCTTAATGCGTAGATAGTAATTTGATAAAATTGACATGTTTTATCTTATCATCAACCCAGTTCCGTCCACAATTAGTGGACACTCTTGAGGTTTGACTTATTACCATTATGAATTGCAGTATATACAAAGTGACTGCGGAGTGTTTATTTTCATGAGACAAAAACAGATATTGATTATTAACAATATCTGCGAGCAATAGTGATAGAGTTAATGCCCTTGATCACTCTACAGAGTCAAGTTATCCAATTGACTTCAAATTTCTACATAGTGTTTCTGTTCATAAGGTGAAAAGGGCCGTTGGTTTTCAACAGTTCCGATAACGCAAGCAGCCAAAGTTAACATCTGATCTATTTAAAAAAAAAATTTTCTTGATGATTTCATGAGTTGTTGATAGAGTTGATAGTTCTGTTATTAGTGTCTTTAAAATGGTTCTGTCACATACAATGGAATGAAAATGTGACATAACATAATAAACAGTACTTTATATACTGCTTGGATGACTTTAACATTCCTCTTTCAATTATTATTTTCTGCAAGTGTACCTTTCCTTTTCATATGCCCGCATGGAAATGTGGTCGTATATTGCTGACACCCCTGTCCATCTGTTAATTCTTCTGGAGTTAGGCCCTTTTTTATTACTTTATTGTATCTTGTTAATGACAAGTTATCATCCGATCTGTATGAAATTTATATGCCTCATTTAATTTAGTGAAACGGAGAAGCCTATTGAATTTCAGCAATTTCCATTAATTACTTCTAGAGTTGTGGCCCTTGTTTCATGTTTTTACACATTGAGAACAACAAAAGTATCATCCGATCTGTATGAAAAGTATATTTATCATTTAAATTAGTGAAACAGAGAAGCCTATTGAATTTCAGCAATTTCTGTGAACCCTCAAACGACGATAATTATAATCTGATCTGTATGGAATTGTCTTGTAAATGTCCCCAATTACCTACAAAAGAATAAATAAGCAACAAACCTTGTCGACTGCTCCGATGATTTAGCTGCTGTTGGTGTATGTTCCATTGCCTGGCAACCTATCTTTATAGTATTTTTAAAAGGTTAATCATGGCAAAATTTAAACTATTTCAGAGAGAAAAAGTATGATGTAATGGATCATTTTACAAAAGATTTCTTAGAGCGCAAAGATCGTGTTAAGAAAACCAAAAGTAAATCAAAAAGTCATTCAAGGTAAACTACTCTATTGTGTACTAATAAATTTGAATTATGTCATCAAACCATTCTATTTATTATTGGTGAATGATAACTAGTTTTATTGCCATCGCCCCTGTCCAAAAGACAAACATTATCAAACTGCTTGAAATTTATATGCATTTTTTAGGTTAGTGAAATAAAGCAGCTTCTGGATTTATTGCTATTGCTCACTCTGATAATTACTTATAGTTATTGCCCTTTATTATGTCAGTAATATTATCCTGTATTTTAAAGACCCACAATGTGACACACTTCATGGTCTGATTTAATGACTAAGTTGTAGTGAGCTTGTGTTATTTTTATATATTTATGATTTTTAATCGTTTTACAGGTCCCGTTCGAAGACACCTAGAAGATCGCGGTCAAGAACTCCAAGAAGACTGCGTTCATTAACACCCAGGAGATCGAGATCTAGATCTAGACCACCAAGATCTCTTACACCAATCAGAAAAAGAAGTAGATCGAGAACCCCATATAGATCACGTTCTAGGTCTCGGTCACCCCCTCCTAGGTTAAGGACTAGATCTCGATCAAGGTCCCGGTACAGATCTCGTTCTCGGTCAAGATATAGGTCTCGATCTAGATCTTTTGCTAGATCTTTATCTAGAGGTAGATATAGATCTTATTCAAGATCTCCGATTCGTAGTTACAGAAAATATTCAAGATCAAGGTCTAGATCTCCATATAGACGTTACTCACCTGTTCGTAGAAGATCACCAATAGGCAGTAGGCGACGATCTTTAACGCCTCCTGGCAGTCCATCTTATAGAGGAAAATATCCTGAAAGTAGAAGATGGTCCCCAAGACCTGGTGCTAGATATGGTAATGATAGCCCTGGAAGATATTCCCCACCTCCAAGATACCCTCCTGATTATGGTTTCAGTGGTCCTCCAGGTCCTCCTCCATTTGGGTAAGTTATGCCACATGTACATAAAAAATAAACTGGTTCTCACAGACAATTATTAGCAAAATTTGATGCATGAGGGAGGTTTTTATTTTGTCAAAAGATCACTACTGAGCTAAATGACTTCTTACAAACATCACAGTTCAAGGCACTACATTTATGCTGCTTGTTGTTAAAATATTTATCAGTGTTACGCGCAGTAATTAATTAATGAGACTTTATTTTCCATGTTATACAAATCTATTGAAATAATGTAAGTATGTATGTTTTGACAAACAAATGTTATAAATATAATATTGTTATAGACAAATTAATAAATACGATTTCAATAAATTATGTAACTAATAATATGTCTGTATATTTTAAGATTTGATGGACCTCCTCCTCCTCCTCACTTCTTTGGGAATCCACCAGGGTATGGAATTGGACCTCGACCGCCACTTGGTCCACCAGGAATGCCAGTTGGTCTACCACCACCACCACCAGGTTTTGCAATGTATCCTGCTCCCCCGGTACCACCTATACGCAATCGTTCTAGATCCCCGAAACGTCATGGCAGACCTTTAATGGGTACTCCACCAAGAGGTAGATATGATCATGATCGTCCTCGGGATAGAAAAGATTATGGTACAGACAGGGCATCTGATAGACCTAGAACGCATGATGATAAAGGAAGATATCAGAGAGATGGATATGGTCGCAAAGATTATCCCAAAACGCAAGATGGAGTTCGGTCACATGATAAAGAAAGAAATAGTCAAACATCAGATTCCAATAAAACATCAAAGGATAAGAAGGGTAAGGAGGATAAAGAAAACAAGGAAAATGGAAAGGGGTTGAAGTCTGATGAAAAGACAGAAAAAGAGAAGAGTAAGGAGAAAGGTGACAGTAAAAGTAAGAAAAAGAAAGAATCAAAGAAAAAAGAAAAATCTGAGAAAAAGAAACGAGATAAATCTAAAGATAAGAAAAAGGTAGAAACAGACATATCTGGTGATGTTGATAAATATGAAGAAAAGAAAGACAGCACAAAGGTGTCTACTGGTAATACTTATACTAGATCATCCAACTCTACATTGATATTTTTAACTGGTGGAGGTGATGAAGCACCGGAAAAATCTGAAGCTAATACTGCTGAAACTACTACAGATGCTACATATGTTAAAAAAGATACCGAACCTTCTCCTGCCAAAGACATCAAAAAGATAAAGAAAGTGAAAAAGAGAAGCAAGAGTTGTAATGTAGCTGAAGATACAAGTGACTCCACAACTGAAAACAAATCTAGAACACGCTCAAGTAAAAAGGCAGCTGCACTAGTGGAATACAATGAAACCTCTGGGGATGTATCAGATAAACCTCCAAAGAAAAAGGGCACATCAAAGAAAGGAAAAGCTAAAGGAAAAGAGGAAGAATCCAAACAAGAAGATGCAGAAACACCCAGCAAGGACCCAGATGGAATCCGAACTAAGGTAGAAAAGGAAAATAATGAATCTGGCAATGAAGTAGCTACCCTAGTTAATCGTGCTCCCCCAAGTCCACATGATCAGGTTCCTAGTAGTCCTATTGATGCAACTGATGGTGTTCATGAAGATGAACCATCCCCACCAGGTGTTAATGATAAACCTGATTTATTATTAGATAAACCAGATTTATTATTAGACAAACCCGAGTTAATGTTAGATCTACCTGAATTATCCAAGTGGGAGAGAGATGATATAGATGAGGAATCTGAAGAGGAACCACAAAAAATTGAAGTTAAAAAATCCTTGCCAAAGTAGGTTATTTACCTTTATCTTTCCTATTTAAAACTGAAATGTTTCTATGTCACTTCAAGCTTTTTAAAGTCCTCACATTGAACTACCTTTAAAACTCTTTGATAAAGTGTCCTAATATTTAAGGTTAAATATTTAACAGAAATCATTTCATAATCAACACCTCAGTGCTGGCACGATATATCGTTGAATCGATGTATCACAATTTACCTTCTCAGGATATGCTTATTGAATCGCAAGACGCTGAATCAATGTATTGTGATTCTTTTTTATGTTTTTTTTGTCGCTTCAGTAGTTAGCCTGTCACTCTTAATTATCCACATCACCAATTATCCATAGGTACACAAGCACTCTTAAATTGTTTTGGTCCTTATTTTGATCCACATCAGTATAGTGTTATAAAATAGTCTTATTTTTTTGAGGTCGGCAAGACTAAAAATAACAATTTTATTCATTTATCCAGTTTTCTTGGTAAATATTGATCTGGTTATGAATCGTGATACAAATCATATTGTAGCACCTGAATCGCAATATGTATCGTATTGTATCGTGACTGCAGTGGCAATACCAAGCACTACAGCTCATGTCTATGTTAAAATTGTTAATACAACACTGATTTGCTAAGGCGTTGTTTTTGTGTCTTATCCTTTTGTGTACAAATAAATAACTTGCTGATTGTAGGTTTTTCCACATCTTCTTTTTCGTCTTGGGTAAATTTTATTCATAAATGTAGTCCTACAGAACAGTCAAACAATGCTTGAATTGATGTTTTGTTCAAGGAAATCCAATTATTGTCGGTAAGTTGGATACAATCATTTAAATGTTTGATACATATTATTCCCATTTTGTAGGTCTGTGATAGAGAAAGCTGAGAAAGCTTTGACTCAAAAACCACCCAAAATATCTTCAGTGGCATCTGCTATAACTTCACCAGTACGTAATACAGGTAAGAAGCGTAGAGTGTATTTAGATGAAGGAGAGGATGAGAAAAAGCCAGTTGAATCGTATGAAGACAATAGGAGAGTTCATACAAAACAGAAATCGATGCAAATCACAATTTCATCAAAAGAAAGACAAAGAAATGAGGAGCTTGAAAGAAGGGAGATGAGGAAAGGAGACAAATCGAGGCGGGAAGAGAAGAGGGATCGAGAACCAGAGCGCAAATCTGTATTCACCAGAATGAAGTTAGATGATCATGAAAGAAATTCTGATAAATACAAAGATAGAAGAGACAGAGAAAGTAGAAGTAGTTTTGAAGACAGTAGTAATAGAAAAGATCGCGAGAGCAGAAAAATTAAAGATTTGAGAGAAAAACTACCAAATCGAACAGATAGGAGAGACCATGAGCGATTTGAAGAGCAGAGGGAACGACATCGCGAGAAACCATCAAGAAGACATTCTGATTCTAATCATAAGGACAATGATATAGGAAAAGGTTCTAGTGATAAATCACGCACAGTTAATAGTAAATCTGTGAAAGATTGTGATGATCATAGTGATCAGGAATTAAACGAAACTAGGAACACTAATGAAAAAACTGAATCTAAATCTAAACCTGTGATAGATCGTAAAGAGTCATTATTAGATGAATCATTGTTCGAACCTGATTACAACGAAGAAGTGAGTGAAACGGAAACCAGCTCAACAGATGAGGCCCCCGGCAAAGTCCAGAAAGAAAAAGAACCCAGTCCAAGTGCCAGTTCACGCGAAAGTAGTCCAACTCCTGCTAAAAAACGGAAACGACATGACACAACAGATGATGAAAATCCGTCCAAAAAATCTAAACATAAAAAACATAAGCACAAACATAAAACTGGCAAACATAAACATAAGAAAAAGAAACATAAGAAAAAAGAACAAGAGACAGAATAGTTAGATAAATCAGTCAGTAGTCACATGTAAATAAACATCATTGTATTCTGTTATTAATAATGTAAGCCTATTGTGCATCTAAATCTTCATAAGATACATTGTTTCAATGGCATTTAGTAATTGAACTAGAGTATACATGTCACAATTCTATGGAATACAATTATTGCTTATTACTGAGCAAAGTTTTGACTAGTCTCCTCTAGTCATTATCAAGCAATGATAACGATAGACGCCTTGGCAAAACATTGCTCTTTAAAAAGCAATATTTGTATTCCATAGAATTGTGACCTGTGTTTTGGTAAGATACATGTAATGGTAAAAGACAAGAGAAGTCCAGTTGAATCATGGCTCAGTAATAAGCAATAATTGTATTCTATGGAATTATGACCTGTGTATTGATAAGATACAAAAGTAATGTGCATCCTCTGTTGATAACTTGATCATATGAAAAACTTAGATCTCTATTGTATAAAAACAAAAGTGTTTTATCATTGTGTAGTTTTATACAAGCCTGGAAATAATAATTTTAGTTATACCTCAGAAAATGTTAAGCACCACTGTACGAGTACCTGACATTTTAAACTTTGTATCAGACCTCAAATCTATGCCAATCAAAATGACAGGCACCAGAGAGATTATGCCTGACAATGTCTGTTACAGGTGCCTTATTTTCAGGCATGGTTTTATCATCTTTACGTGAAACCTTATTGGTATATCATCTACATTGTATTAATATTATTGATACTATTGATAGCTCAAATATAGATACAGTTGTAGTGACTTTGTATATAGCATAATGTGAAGTATGGTAAATGAAAATAGTTTCATAACATGATAATGGTAATATTTGATTTTGGTTTTCAACAATCAAGTAAAACACAAAACAGTATTATTTAAGTATGATTATATTAGTGTATATAAAAGTATATTCAATTAAATTGTCATTAAAATCATGTTATTGGACATAAGTGCTACAAATGATTCATCAACATCATTCCAACTAAATAATTAAAACTGCAGAATGATGTCTTTAAATTGAAAAATATTTTGTTATAAGTATTGTTTTCAACTTGTCATCTAACTTTTATTTATAATTTTTTTTATTAATATAAGTACTTATTTACTGTAGAAAGAGCGAAGCAAATTAGTACTTTAAAATAAACTATTTCCTCTTTATATAAAATTATAAATACCTTGTGTGATAAAAAGATTATTTCAGTGGGAAATGTCTGCAAACATAGGCATTTTTCAGAAAAGATGGTTGAATGTGGATGTTTCTTTGAGAAGCTTATTACATAATGCCAGTTTGCATTTGATTTATGATTTCCCAGCATAGATAAGGTTGTTTACAAGAGTTATTGCTATTGAAACACCTTTCTATAAGTTTTGTACTTATGTATAGAAGAGAGTGGATGAAAAGGTTTGTGGATTTAGAAAGAGTGTAAATATATTATGTTTGATTAAAGATATTGCTAATCTATATTGTATATAAGTGTACATTTCAAATTCTGTACATGTATTTTAATTTTACTGTCACAGATAGATGGCGGATTAAATGTAGCACCACAGGTATGGTGCCTTATGAGAAAATTGATTCCAATAAAAACTATGAAAAATAAATCTGTTTTGTGGATTTTGTTGTGATGGAGAACAAGAGCTAAGTAATCAAGTGTTGATTAACACACCATCTAAAGTGTAGACTTCAATGCCATATTTAGAATTAAAGTTAAAAGACCTGCATACGGTACATGTAATATCAATAGGTTTATTTTTAAACAATTCTAGACCCCCTACCCCCGCTGAACTGTAACGAGTATTGTAGTCATGTCGATGTGCAATACTTTTCATCTGTGAGATTTTCTGGTGGTGTATTTTGATAACTCTTGTTCTTCATTTAAAAGTCTTTATGTACAAACAGGGTACCAATATTGTAGCCAGAAATTCATTGGAAAACGAGATTTCTTTCAGAACATGAAAATATGCTGTGGGAAAGATCCATTTTGTTAAATGAAAAGAAATGAAATGGGGTTAACGTCCTACTGTTCTGCTCCGACTGGGCTGACGAAGATGGTTTAAATGAAATAACACAAGATCATTAGATCATGATGAACTGTTGTATCCTGTATAGTAATATATAAGCAATGTTTAATTTCTGGCTACAATATTCGTTTCTGTTAATATTTATTAAATATGTGTATTGGGGTAGCATTTGAAAGCTAATTGTAAGGGCATAATTAAATAAAAATAGTGGGTACAATTGTAATCAAGGGTGGAGGATCAACAGATGCATTGTGCCTCAAATCATTAGTCATCAATTCAGTTTTGGTTCTGGGTTCCATGATTTTACACAACAAGGAGTATTGTCACCCTCCTTTCCTCAAATACTGAAATAAATTTAACCCTGATGTATGGCGTTAGGGGTCTGTGCCACAAATCCTTAGTCATCAATTTAGATTTGGGTCCAATGATTTCTCTGGTTTCTTCAAAATATTGAAATGTGGGCTTATACATTATAAACCAGTTCATGACAAGAAGACTTGCCAGTATTGGAAACAAATGATTTTACATGTAGGTTTTCTCTGGTTTCTTCAAAATATTGAAATAAATACAACCATGATGTTTGAAGGTGTGGGCTTATACATTATAAACCAGTTCATGACAATTAGACTTGCCGGTATTGGAAACCAGATAGACATACCTCTGATTGTGAATCATGTGCATGAGTTCCTTGTGCAAGTTCTAAACTATGTTAACCTCAAATGAGCAAGTTGGGTTCAGTGGTAATAAACTAATATAACTCCTTTCTACTCAGGCAAGATTTCTTTAGTCTGGGATTGATCAAAATGTAATCCTCTTGTATATGGATATGGACATATTGACAATACATGTGTCATTCTACATTTACGCCATCTAGAATACCAGCTCCTTTAAAGTTGGGACTTGGCAATACAATCGAAACACATTAAGCAAAAGTCTCACATTCCCCAAAGTAAACGAAATAACCATGAAAAGATGTACCCATTTCATTATAGGTTTGGCATTTAAGAACTGGACTAATAATGACGGGCATATGCCATACAGTGTGTTATGAGGGGAAATTTTGTCCAGATAGCGGCCCTATGGCTTACTTTTGTCTTGAATTCCAACTGCCAAGGGTTCTTTTACATGCACGCCAATGTGTAAACAGGACCTCAGTATTTTGTCAACTATATGTTGTCCCTTGCCAGGCCTTCTGTCCTGCACCACAAAAACTTTCTTGGCCCACACCGGGATTGAACACAGGACCTCCAGATTAGCAAGCCAATGTCTTACTCACTGAGCCATAGTGGCTCCTTGGCATTAAAGACCATCTGTAAGCTTAAAACGTGATTTTTCAAGTTTCGTCAAAATCGGATCAAAATTATGACCTGTAGTGTGTACACAAAGAAAATGTGAACAGGCACACGGACGGACAGGGGCCAGAGCATAATACGTCCATATGAAATCTGGACATACAAAAATTATCTGTAGACCAAATTTGTTAATGTACAATAAATCTGCTATCTATAAGGTTCAAAATCTTGAAATAAATCTGTTAACAGTAGCAGTTAACGCTTTGCTGGAATGGGGGTTCACAATGGAATGGAAGATTGTGGAATGCTGAATATCGATGGGGTTTGTCCTTTCCGTTAAAGACTATACTATAGCCTCTATAACATTCACAGAGTTTTTGGCAAATGGGGAGGTAGCTCCAGAACAGAAAAGTCCTGGAGCGCTGAATACTGTTCATGACTCCAATGCTTCACAACAAATTTGAAACAAATCCATTAAAAATTGTTTGCTCTATCACATTCACAAGGTTTTTGGAAAAACAGGGCTAAAGGCCACAAAGTTATAGTCTGAAATGCGCAAATATCGAAATGGACTGAGATATTTGGGACATAAAGATATATTTTAAGTTTCATTAAAATCGAATAAAAATTGTGACTTCTAGGAGTCCACAACCTTGGTATTTACATACTTTTACACTATTTGCGTACAAGGGGTGGCCATTTTGTCCATCAGTTTGGTCCGATTTTCACGAAATTCGAACTCAACCATCATTAGGGTGTAACGGTGATGTACATGTATTCAAACATTTTTTTAAATCATATAAAAATTGTGACCTCCAGAGGGACCACAAGCAAAAAACATGATTTTTTGTACGATCAAGGGCCATAATTCAGGAAGTTAAAGATACATTCCCGGGTACAAACTGGGTGATTTGATGATATATTTGGACTAAAAACATATTCAAACTAATTAATTTATCACAATTTTGCTTCAAATCCTTCCCAAAGCGTTGCAATTATCGGCTATAAAAAATCGATCAAAAGAGGTCACGTTTGTGTCACATGACTTACCTCTCCCGGTAGGCCTACCTAGCAACACAAGCGAAGTCGGAGGAGAAATCATTGCATACACAAGACGATGTTGTCTTTAATCGCCAACTATTTATTACAAATATCGAAGCCTAATTAAATTTTCGGATTATGCACTGCCCGCGTCTTTTTCCGTGATTTTTATCTCAGAAAGTGTTGTACGTCTAATTCTTCATAAAGTTTATCAAAATGTACATCAAGCGCTCAATCTCTGCGTGCAACCTTCAACGTCACGCGTGCAGACACTCCTAATCGACGGCCTGTCGATTAGAGAAACCCTTACATTTTTGTCCTGTATGCGCTCCATGAGTGTTTTTCAGGGAATCCAATATTTTTCTAGTAAGATTGGATATTCTACTTTCCATATATACCAAAATTGCCATACTTTTATTGGAAATAACCACCCGATAAATACTTTTCTGGGAATGTAGCTTTAAGATCCGATACGCGTGAACTTCGACCAAAATATATTTCAAGTTTCATCAAAATCAGATGAAAATTGTGCCCTCTAGAGTGTCCACAACTTAAAAAACGTGATTTTTTGTACAATTAGGGGCCATAATACATGAAGTTTCGATCCGGTACATGCCAATATTGAAAGAAAATGAAATCTTTTGGAGATAAACCTATATTCAAGTTTCGTCAAAATCAGATAAGAATTGTGACCTATAGAGTGTCCACAAACAAATTATGGACAGACGGACAGGAGCGACGACTATATATCTGGGCGTATAAAAACTATAGCACTCTATCGTCTTCACAAGATTTTCGAAAAAGGGGGGATTATCCAGATAATAAAGTAGTGGAACAATGTATATCGATAGGGTTTGTAGTTGTACTCTTCTGATCACAATACTTCATACCAACTTTGAAACAAATCCGTTCAGAACTGTAGCTTCTATAGTGTGCACAAGGCATTTGTTGATGGATGGACATAGGGGACAACATAATGCGTCCACACGAAATGTGGGCCTATAATAAAACAGAATTCTGATAATTTGTTTCTTTATTTTACATATATTTTTAAAATATTAATGTTAATGATAAAACACATGTATAACAACAATTACAAAATCCCGAGCAATAATATAGGTTGTCAGGCAACACAATATACACCAACCAGTATAGAATACATTGTCAAGATGATTTTTTTTTTTAAAAAAATCTGTGAGTGTTTAAAACAAGTGTTGCCATGCAAGATACGCCCAGATTTTCCAAGAGATGGACAGAGAAGGAGTTAAAAAATAATGTGATTTTTTGTACAATTAGGGGCCATAATCCCAGAAGTTATGGTCTGATATGTGCGAATATTCAAAGGAACTGAGATCTTTGGGTTATGAACATACATTTCAAGTTTCATCAAAATCAGATAAATAATTGTGACCTCTAGGGGGTCCACAATCTCCATATTACATACTTTTACACAATTTGCTTACAAAGAGCGGTCATTTTGCTGGGCAGTTTCATTTCAATTTTCCCGAAATTCGTATTCAACCTTCAGTATGGTGGAATGGTGATATATTTAAACGGTTTTTAAAATCGAAACCAAGATCTTAATGTGTAATGGTGATATATTCACACGTTTATTTTAAATCCGATAAAAATTGTGACCTCTAAATTTTGTACAATCAAGGGTTATAATTCAGGAAGTTACAATCCGATATGCGTGAATATCAAAAGGAACCAAGATCGTTGGGTTATAAACATGCATTGCAAGTTTCATCAAAATCAGATGAAACTGTGACCTCTAGAGTGTCCACAACCTAAAAAATGTGATTTTTTGTACATTCAGGGGCCATAATCCATGAAGTTTCGATCCGATACATGCCAATATCGAAAGGAACCAAGATCTATTGGAGATAAACCTATATTTAAAGTTTCGTCAAAATCGGATAAGAATTGTGACCTGTAGTGACGGACAGAGGTGACGACAATACACGTCCACATCAAAATGTGGGCGTATAAAAAAGGTACAAATGGACAATTTAAGATAAGGATATTGTAACATACCATAAAAATAGTATACGAGAATTGATTCAAGTCAGACAATATATAAATAGAATAAAAAAGCGACATTTATGCAAGAGGGTTAAACAGTCTTTGTAGCGAACAGCGCATGGGAGATAACTATGTTTATGTTTAACAGAGAGCACTCGATGCCCAAGGGCTTTACATGAAGGAATTCCTATGTCCTCTGCCTTATTTTATAAGCCCATTACAGATGGTGTTCACCTCAGTGACCGCAGGTTAGTCAATCTCACCTTGCGTGGTGCTCCCAATCTATGGAGGGCTATACACTGTACCCCTTCTTTGGAAAGCCGAACATTTATTTAATTAATCAATGGCAATATGTCTCATTACATAACCCGGGTATCATTTGTCTAAATTTATCAAAAATTATCTATTTTGTACTTGTGTCCAGTTTAAAGCTGACCATTCAATTTTGATAATGAGTGCCTAATTTACAAGCGTTTAATTTCTCGATCACTGTTAAAAGATAAACAACTCAATTGATTATTAAAGCATAATAATTAATTTTTGAACAGTGATCGAGAAACTAAACGCTTGTAATTGGACACTCATTATCAAAATTGAATGGTCAGCTTTAAACTGGACACAAGTACAAATTAGATGATTTGGGGTTATTTTAAATGAATTTTATGAATTTTTAAACAAAGATTGGATATTAAATGATTGTGAAAGAAATTAAGGCTAAATACACAAGATTAAATGATACCCGGGTTACAGTGAGTGTCTTAATTTTGTACCATGATATATTGTTGTTATATTACTGTCGTTATTTTATACGTAGTACTTCCTTGTCATTTATTGATAATAAATGGCCTTTTCTATTGTAAACCGTCTTATACATTTGTTTACCAAATAAGCTTGGCATATGTGTATTGTCCGCCGTCGTGTCACTGTAAATTATCTTTTTGGTATTTCTACTTTCATACCCATTAATCTGAATGTAAATGCAGCTATTTTCTCATATGTTAAAAACATAAGTGCTGCTGTCAACACTGTTTGCAGTAATTTGGCCTCCATTCCTTTATATAAAGCTGGGATTCCCCGAGTGCTGAAAAATCAAAATGTAAACTTCTTGTCAAGCTGAAAACATTCCTGAGAAAAGAAATAAACATGACTAGAGCATTTTTCTCAATATTGCCAAGCGGGTAGTTCCAAAAATCACAAAATTCGCCAACCCAGAGATCATCTACAAGGTTTTGATGATAAAGTGCATGGATGCAGCACACTGCATTACAATGATGTTAATCCTTATGCCTAGTCAAATTATAACAGCAATTCTTACTTGTAGAATGATTACATGCTTTCATGACAAATGCACTAATTAATGCAGGACTCTTAATTTCAATAGGGTTTATCCATTTTACCAAACACTCCTTGAAAGTTGAAATGAAAATCTCAAAAACTCAAATGACAACTGATGAGAGGCTCAATTTGACGGGTTTCACCTTTTTTGAGTAGTACAACAGTCACAGCAAGTTTAAAGAAAAATCATCAAAACTGTGACCTGTATAGCAGTTACTACGTTTACATGGCAAAGGCAATACCTCTGTAAATAACTGATATGTCATTCTGAATAATGATTACGTTAAGGCAAGTTATACCAGCGGCTGCCAGGCAGGATACGCCCACATTTTCGAGAGATGGATAGAGAACAAGCTAAAAAGAAAGTGATTTTTCCTACAATCAAGGGCCATAATTCAGGAAATTACAATTCGATATGCGCAAATATCGAAAGGAACCGAGATCTTTGGGTTATAAACTTACATTTCAAGTTTCAACAAAATCAGATAAAATTTGTGACCTCTATAGGATCCACAACCTTGATACATGCCAATATCGAAAGGAACCGAGATTTTAGGGTGATAAACCTATATTTCAAGTTTCATTGAAATCGGATAAAAATTGTGACCTGTAGACTGTTCACAAACAATTGTGGACGGACATGCAGACGGACGGACAGGGGCGACGACAATCTACGTCCACATGAAAATGTGGGCGTATAAAAACTCTGATGACAACTGATGAGAGGCTCAATTTGATGGGTTTCAGCTTTTTTGAGTAGTACAACAGTCACAGCAAGTTTAAAGAAAAATCAGCAAAACTGTGACCTGTACAGCAGTTACAATGTTTACATGGCAAAGGCAATACCTCTGTAAATAACTGATATGTCATTCTGAATATTGATTAAGTTAAGGCAAGTTATAAAATGAAATCTTTAAATTACAATGTGTCTGACTGACAGTAGGATGGCAATACACAACTACTATACTTTAACATATGGGTGTATAAAAACAATCAATATATAAGTACTTACCTTATTAAATGCAATATATTACCTAACATGCTTTTTGACTCTTCTTCTTTTGAAAATCCAGCCTGAAAATAAAAATATTGGGTTTCTAATATTCAACTTTTACAGTTAAAGATACATTATGGAAGATCAGATAGATAGCTGGCAGTTCTCACTATAGTAGTTAAAAACTAAATAATGTAAAGGGAATATGCTGAAAATTTTAGTCAAATTGCTCCACTCTGAACCTAGATATTAGCGATTGATTTTTTAGCCTAGACGCGGTCATCATAACTAAAGTCTGTACAATAAAAAGCATAGTCTCAATTATCCATTTTTTGATTAAATCATCAATGAGTTTTGAGCAGCAGATCGGATTCAAATCCAGTGACAGTCTGACATACATGTATAAGATGAAACTGAGTTAATTAAGGTCTAATTAAACATACATTATGCAAGAGCTAAATCTGTCTATTGCGGGTCTTTATTTAGGCCTGAAATGTTATCTAAATTATCAATTAGACATCAATTAACCTATCCAGACCATAATCAACTCTAGATGGCATCGCTAGCCTGCAATCTTTAGTGGATTATGAGCCGATTTACTGCATAATTTTCCTTCACGATTTAACGGATAATCAAGACTATGCTGTTTATCGTACTGACTTTAGTAATGATGATCGAGGCTAGGCGGAAATTTCAAATGCTTAGTTCTCGGTTCATAGTGGATCAATTTGAATGAAATTATCAGCAAATTGCCTTTACATTATCTAGTTTTTAACTATTACAGTGAGAACTGCCAACTCGTTAGCGAATCTCCCATACTGTATCTTTAATAGTTCATATAACATTTCAGGCCTAAAGAAAGATCTGCAATAGGCAGATTTAGCTCTTGCATAATGTATGTTTAAATATTTGAATTTCCGAACATTAAAAAAGAGAGAGAGAGAAATGGTGTTTAACGTCCACTCGACACAAACTAGATCATTTTGAGACTAACATATGGTTCAATTTTATTTCAATAATTTGCTTTCGCGTAGGGGTCCTTAGTGTTGGGAGGAAACCGGAGGACATGGAGAAAATCCACAAGGCTGACAGATTACCCTACTCCTTGTCACGTACAAGCGTGAAATCGAAACCACACGACTTGACTCAATGACAGACCTTCTGATACACGCGCACATGTTAACCATTGGGTCACCCAACCCCTTCCGCGTATTAAAACTAACAAGGAATATTTCAATAACATTGACTGGCAAATATGGCTGAAATAAGAGCCTGGATTTAGAATGATATTTTTAAGCAATAAAGATCACAATTAATTGCTACTATTAAGCAATAGCTTCATCCATGACATCAAAAACAATATATGCATTATATGCATATATTATCATTATCTACAAATCACAAGCTATCATAATCTTAAATCATTAGAAACAGAATTTGCTAATTTAACTGAATAATTTAAGATATTGTAACATATAGGTAAGGTTGGTAAACTAACCCTCATTCTAGACTGTATAACTTGTAATGGATATGTTATTACAGTAGACATAGCTTTAGCAATAGCACCCATTATAAAATACAACACACCACTTAACTCCTGTAAAATACAGCAAACAAATAGATTTAGCTTTATATGACAGATTATTAATTTTCATACAAATATACAAACGCGTACCACACAACTTGTACATCATCCAAGATTGGGCCTATTTTTGAATATAAAACTTCAAAATTTTGCATTGGGCCATTTTCAATACTGGTAACTTTTGAAAGTATACTGGTCAAAACCGTTCAGGGAACTTGATCAGTTTGATGAAAAAAACATATAATAGGGTAAATCAACTTATTTGTTTACTCATACTTTGCCATAAAATTGGTCATAGTGCATAATTAGGTAAATGCATTTCCATAATCACCATGTGTACCACTATCAAGGCCAGTTGACTAGAGAAAAGTTAAGAATGAACCAGGGCTGTCTGATGGGTCAATGAAGAAATCTCGATAAGGAAATCAGCTGTTACAGACTCTTGCTGTGGTGAAATGAATCTGACAGACACAGCACTGAGTAAATCAACATTTTTTAATGCAATTTTACATGAAGTTAATCAGTGATTATACATCAACAAAGGCTTTGTTTCATATTACTTTAGTTATAGCCATATAAACAGTTTTGCTCTCATTTTTTAACAATGACCTAGTTCTTAGAACTAGATTCTGAAGTTAAATCAAAATTAGTATTCCTATTATTACTTGCTGTATACCCTGAAATACTTGAAAGGGAATCAATATTTCTCAACTTACAGCTGTTTTCAAAATTCTCTGGAAATATCTTTTGAGTGTCTCATACACCATAAACTGTATGGCTGGATTTGATGCTAAAACAATCGAAGGCATGGTTCCATTCCACAATGATCTGGCACCTTCATACCTTATAATCTTCTTAATACAATCTGTAAATGCAGAAAATCTCCAGTTACCGCTCAAATAACATCAAACTTTAACATAATTCTAGATGTAAGAGATCTGACAAGCGCCAGGGTTTACTGAGGACCCTGTGAGTATGGAAGACTTGGGGGGGCCCCTAAAGAAATTAATGTTCTTAAGCAGTTTGGGGGCCCTTTGTTAGTTTGGGTTCCTCTTTAATTTTTAATTTACGTCGTAATGGTGAATTAGTGGGACTGTCACACACTAAATTTGGGCATAAGCTAGAAACATCAGGATATACTCAAGAAACATACCGCCCCCAGACACGTGCACTGCCCCTACCTTAACAGTAGTTTGTGGGTCTCCCTCACTGGGTCCGACTCAGGGCCCCCCCTGTTCCCACTTCGCCCCTGGCAAGCGTCCTTTATTAATTTATAAATTGTAGAGTAAAATATCTATATTGAAATTCAGTGTTGCAAATCAACTTCACAGAGTAACTGTCATGCCACTAATGTGACACAATTATATTATGAAGGTGGTGATCCTTTGAATTCTCCTTGATAATTTACAAGCTGTGAAGTGTACCAACTACTCACCTATAATGCCATTATATTTTTGTTTTGATTGATCATCATATTTTTTGGTTTGTAATTTAGCTCCTTGTAGCCTTAATCTTGTATTAACTACCCATAGTGGTGTTGTAACAATTACATTGATAACACCTGAAACAAAATCACAAAATTTTCACTTGCCAACATTTCCTGTTTCTCCTGTCCTGAAGGCCTTATGGACTCTTAAGTGTGTTCGTCTTGTCTTCCATGTGTTTGTCAGACACTACTTTACTGCTACATATTTGTCACTTTAGACATGTGCCTAACTGTACAATTTTTATTGCACCAAATATATCATTGATTTTACATATGTTTTGTGTGAGTTTCTGATAATCAATTTCCAAAAAATTAAAATACATGTTAAAAATTGTTCATGGAAATTCAGCTTTCCCAATTTTCTCAAAATAATTCCCTCAAAGAGAATAAGGCCTTTTATCAAAACTTCCCTTTCAAAGAGTTACCAGTTTTTGTTTGGCATTATTGTTTATATCTAAATGCTACTGACTGCCCTATAACTAAGGGACAGTAAGATGTTAAACCCTATTTCATTTCATTTCATAACTAAGGGAAGGTCAAGTCTATTTTGGTAATTCTTAGATTAGGCCAAGAGAGGCCTATAAAACACATTCATTGATAGCCACATGAATCAACAGTTGGAAAGTGATGGTTGCATTAATTTGTATGAAAGTGTCAAGCTGTTTTACCTGCTATAAACGCTAGCATGAGATCTTTTAAAGGGTCAACTTTTCCTGTTTGTTGTAACATAACAGCTTTTAACCCATTAAAAACATAAAAATAAACAAAGTTCGAACAACATAAGGCTGATACAACAGGAAACAATCCACGATATAAAGCTGATCTACAAATATTAACAAAAAACCACATTAATATTCAACTTCTAAGTCTCTATATAGTCATCTTTATATTCCTACATATAATTAAATTGCAAATTTAAGAGGGCACCCCTATTAATTTTGTTGACAATGATGTTAGATTCAGCACTGGGTCGTATACAGCAGGGTTAACATGTCCCTATCTTTGTTTCATATTGTGCTTAACCAAAAGAATGTACGTAATACTTCAAACAGCATATACCCATTGTTTCAGTATTTAAAAAAAAACGACAGCTGACAAATTTTAACCACAGTAATTGTTTGTTCCTTTTCTACTTTGTCCTGATTGGCAAACGTCTATCCTGGAATATGCCCAATCAGACATCAATATATGGTAAATCATATATAATATTATTGAGTAATCATATGCTTATTTGATGGTGATTGTTCCAAATATGGTATTGTCTTGAAAATAATGAAAAAAATTTTCAAATATGGTACTGAATTGGAAATAATGGAAATTCTTTCAAATATGGTATTGTATTAGAAATAATGGAAATTTGAGGGCAATTTAGATACTACTATTAACCATACATGATATTGAACCATCTTCATAATTAACCCACACCATGGCCTAAATTCAAATACAAGACCCCAAAACTGTCACTGTCTAACTTACAATCCTTCATCTTTAGCTATCTCTGCCATTATAAAAGGTGAATGTTTAGCTCTTCTTTGATCATCAACTACAAACAGAATACCAGTAAACATAATCATAAACTGTAAAATCAAAAAGATCATGCTGATAATTTTATGCTTAGGTTGATCAAAATCTCTTTTCTTTTTAAAATGATTGATTATCAGGGCATATTTCATATTTGAATAAATAGAGTAAAATGGAGAATTCATGAAGCACTGACAGTGTTATGGATGGTTATGATTACAAAGTAATTAATTTTAAATGGCATTATCAATATCAATATTCCAAGGTGTCTGTCATCAACAGTTTAAAAGAGCATGCCCACCACGCTTGACTGATATATTGTTTAATGATGGGGTTATTGAACTGCAAATTACATTGTTTCTTTGAAGTCTTACTGTTGATATAGGCCAAATTCCTCCACTAGTTAGGAACAGAAATCCTACTTTTAATATTCAAGCGGATGGGGTTGCTCTGATCAATGTCAATTGAGCATGCAATGGCACAACCACATGAAAAGGCAGAGATTCCGCTCAATACAATTAGAATCAGAATGAACAATTGATGCGGTCATGTTTTTAGCCAATCACAAGAACCCATTACAATATGCTCCAATGAAAAATCTACAATAATTTTTTTGCAGAAATTTAATCTGTGAATCAAAGTCTAGCTCAACCAAAACATTCAAATTGTCCTCTGCACTTTTCATGTTGGCTGCAAAATTTCACATGGAATTATGACGTTATCTGTGAAGCCACTGCTGAATTTGTCACTATCTGACGTGGTGGACATTGGCCTTGATATATTCAATTTACCTTGCAATCTTGTTCTGGCTGTATCCAGGGGAAAAAATACAGCCAGAGCCACCACACTTCCCTGTAAGATATAAATTGCATGTAATAAATTATATCTTATATTGTCAGACCAGTCTAATAAAATTATTTTTGAATGCCAGACATTATAATAATAACGTAAGAATATTAACAATAATTCTATTGATAATAATACCAATCACAAGAATTATAATTTATTAAATCAATTCACTAATCACTTATTACTTCAAATATCAATTGTCAACAATTTATTAAAACAAACACAATAATCAATTTATTAAAATAACACTTAAACATACATTATGCAAGAGCTAAATCTGCCAATTGCAGGTCTTTATTAGGTCTGAAATGTTATCTAAATTATTAATTTGACATTAATTAACTTATCCAGACCATAATCAACTCTCGATGCCATCGCTAGTCTGCGCTATTTAGAGGATTGGAATACATTTTTTGAAGAATAATTTAAAAACGTAATAATGGATAATCAAGACTTTGTTTTTTATCGTACCGACTTTACTAATGATGATTGAGGCTAGCATAAAATTCAAAATCTAATATCTCGGTTGAGAGTGGAGCAATTTGACTGAAATTTTCAGCATATTCTATTTACATTATCTATTCTAATTTTTATAGCGCGAACTGTCAACTCTTTATCTAATCTCCCATAATTCCACTTTAATTTAAGAATATCACATCAACACTTTATAATTTCAAAGAAATCATATTATTGATCTGCTGACTTGTCTATTTGTTGGTACGACTTAATGTCTTGGTTCGAAAAGTCTTTGTATATTGGATTCAATTTAGTAGCATTGGCTGCTCCTAAGTGAAACCATAGATAATGGTGAAACATACTACTTCAAACATTAATTTATCTCTGGAATTCCTGCGACCATTCAAATAAAACCAATTATATTTTAGTTTTCAATTTTTCGTTCATGAACTGATAGGTCTTCATAATTAATTTTGATCAGTTTAAAAATAAAAATGACTATTATTTAAAACTTTTCTGAAATAAAAAAATATACCCACAACTGCTCCTGCCACAGCATGCACCAGATTTGAATAAGACATCAGTCCTGACAGTGCCATCCATTTTCCTGATGTCATACTGGTAGTAGGCCTACTGCTGGTACTGCAGGAGGAGAGATTAAGAATCACTTTTTTGGCACTGTATTGAGAACAGATTAACCTGCAATTGCATGTTTGACCCAATAATTTTGCTTGAGTCCAATGAACGATTGCCGGATATGTGTGGCTTATCATTGTAAATACACGTTTTTAGTAAGGATATAGAACGGGCTGACACCAAAACATCACGGATGTTGTTTATGAGATCTGTGCCAGATGGACTGTCACCACCAATCCAAGATATTTATCTATTCTATAGCCACCGGTCCTCCCATTGACGTCTAACAAGTTAACCCTATAAATATGGTTACTGGTTAAACAAGACACATTTGCCACGCCTATTTTTATCATTTCCTGTGCCAGTAGGTCATGGGTCAATTCAGTTTAGAGAATTATGGAGACATTGTATTTTCTTTCATCTTCGCCTTTAATAATGAAGTTGTGATTATATCTATGCTTACATTTAGATAATAATGGTTACATGAACGTGCATTTAACAAGAAATTTCATAGTGAAATAAGGAATAAACATTATTCATATCGCATTGATGATACTATTGATAATAAGTGAATGAATCACTAAACTAAGTCTCTGGGCCACAGATCTACAAGAATAGACTAAAGTCTTCGAACGAAAACATTATTAAAGGCAATATTATTGTGTTTAGAATAATTAAGAACATATCAGTAATTATTGATAAACAATAGAGTGTGGATCAAAGATAATGATCAAGGATGGATAAATTGGTAGCACTCTCAGGGATATTATTTTTTACTGCTGATATTTTTGCAATTGGAAGTTTAGCTAATCCTGATTGGATTATTACAAATGTTGCTGGTAAAATATTATTATTTATATTTAGTAAATAATATTGAATTGTTTTTCTGAAGCACAGACCATGAACAGTCACACCAATGTCCTGCATGTAGCCTCTGTAACTGAAATCAGAGTCTGTTAGTTATGATGTTATAACGCAAACTGATATCGTCAGGCACATATTCTTATGTCAGTTTTAGAAGGCATCACAATTTACAGTTTAGGGGAGACCGGGGCACATTGAACCAGTTTTTTCACATACATGGTTGTCCTCCTTCCATATCAAATGTTTTTATTAGAAGATCTATTTACTTTATTGTATTGTTTGAAGACATATCATAGTTGCTATTGTGTATCAGATTCAATTCAATTAATTTTTAACTTTTTAAAAAAAACACATTTTAATCCACTTGACCGTAATTGTTCAATGTACCCCGCTGTACAAAATAGTCGGGGCAGGTTTAACCACATAATGGGGCACATTGAACAGTGGTAAAAATTCCATGTTAAACATAGATCTGAATTTGGATCACAAACCTCGTCACTTGTTTCATAGTGATCTAATGAATATGCAAACAATCCATGTTTAGTTAAGAACAAATATCCACAGATTTGACATCCGTGCAACGATCGATACAAGCAGGAGTCCGGTTTCCCTAGGCTCCTACAAATCGCCATAAATTGCACTTAAGTTGGCAGTTTGGTGGGATAGTGGGATCCCAGTCAACTTTTGCAGTGAATCAAACCAACATTTGTCCAATATTCTGTCTAAATTTGGACAGCCTGATTTGCTGACAAACGACTCTTAGTCAGGGAGACCCAGTGCGCCCCTGTATGTCACAGCCAAGTTTCGAACACTGCTCCCATGAAGTTTTAATTCCTTTTATATGACAGGCCTACTGAGTTGGATCAATTGATATTCTAATATTGTTTTTATTTTCAAAGATATTACAAATTATCAAATGATATATAAACTATAATGCACTGGGGTACATTGAACCAGGGGTTCAACGTACCCCATTGACAGTGGTTCAACTCAATCTGCCACATCACAGTTTTATGATCAAAATTTTAAAAAATTCAAAATGGATCAAGTCCTTATTTATCTGGATTGTAGATATGAACTGATTGTAAATACAAGAATTTTCTAGGCTGAACAAATTATCAAATGATATATAGTCTATAATGCACTGGGGTACATTGAACCTACTATTCAACTTTTGTATGCTCGGCATGCATCTCGATCAGTGACAATGCTGTGGTCCACGTGCAACTGAATCAGTGATAATGGTCCACATGCAACTCGATCAGAGAGTTTCTTTGATTGGTGTAAAATGCTTTCCAAAGCCCTCTGCTCTCCATGTTATAATGCCAAGGCACTACCAGTATTATGATATAGGTTTTTCCTATATATATTCAATATCGATGCCATTACAAAGCCACCAAAACAGACTAATGATCAGGAAAAATAGAAGAGGGGGGGGGGGGATCTATTAAGCTTCATGTTTCAAATGATATAGTGAATTAGGAACCAAATTTGTTCTGACCAAGGTTCATCTCACTATCAAATAAACATCAACTTATTTTGGGATGGAGACAGGAGGACATCAGTTTCTCTGTTGGCTTGCTATTCTTGTTTTTAAAATGATGACTATTTAAATGTATGTGACTTGTATATTTATAAACTATTTTGATATTTTTAGGTCATATGAGATTAGGATTAACAAGACAATGTCAGATTATACATGGACGTCCAGAAATATGTGTATTTCCTAATTTATCTAAAGAATGGATGTTTACATTTATCTGTATATTAGCTGGTATTCTGTGTATAACATTAACATGTTTCTTACTCTTCGCATCTCACTGGAAGAGAGAAGCTACAAAATATGCTAGATGGATAGCATTGATAGGAAGTAAGTTGTGTTATTGTTGTGTTATTTGCTTTGTACTGAATGTCTTCAAATTCTAAATGGTAGTTGCTTAAAATAAATCAGATATCTTTTTTAAATTATTGACCAGTGCAATTTCTTTATTGTTATTTCAGTGACATTATTTTGCTTGGCAGCAATAGTGTTTCCTATAGGATTTCATATAGATGAGATTGGTGGACGACCGTATAAACTACCCAATCACACTCAAGTTGGCTCTTCTTATGTCCTCTTTATACTGGCTATTTTCTTTACTATAATATCAGAATTATTCACAGGAAAAGTTTGTTTACCGGTTCTATAGCAATTATTTCCATGTAGGTGATTGAATTATCAGTGTTAAATTTCTACCTACATTTAATTATATCATATTTGTAAATACATTATGCTGGTATATCAAAATGTAAATATTTTTACCCTCACCATGGTTGTGACACTCCACCAACAATGGCTCAATTAATAATGTATTAGAATCTTAAGGTAAATTATTTTTGTTATGATTTTGGTAGGATCTTGCCATTTTCAAGAAAGTCCCCTTGAACCTGTGTTTATTGTCATAATATACTTATGTAGATCTGTATTATATAGAAATTTTAATTTATTTACTAGTTTTTTAATCAACTGCGTATCATTTACATTTTTCGTAAAATATCAAACTTATGCCATACTAGAATGCACCCAAATTGAATATTTGGACAAAACGTACACAACTTACAGTCAAAATGACAATAGATTGGTCATAACAAAATCAAAACGATTCATATTTTTTATTTGATAAGAATCTAGTGATATATATTTAGATAATTTTGTCCACACATTTGGTCGTTTCGACTAAATTGAATTTTTGCTCTGTGGTTTATGTCTGTTTTGACCATATCCAATTTTTATCGTCTGCAGAGAATGTCAAATGTTGCAAATTTTCAATTCATAATATCTTTGTAAATACTAAACTGAATTGAACCATTTTGGACCGATATCTCTTCAAGAGATTAAATTTTCATAGGACATTGTATTGTACATTGCAAGGGATTAATAATTGTTCAATAAATGTTCAGTCAAAGACTTTAAGGGGAAGCTCCAACCAACGAAGAATCACAATGACAAAAGTTTTTAAAGAAAGGATTTATCATTATCAGATCTATTTGTTAGGTTTATTTACATTTTTATTGCGTGTATATTTGAATTAACTTATCACATTGGTGGTACAGTATGTCTAGATTCAGCATTCATCATGTTCTGCAGCTGAAGATTAGTCGATTTTCTTTCTGAAACCTAATTATATGTGTGCAAACTTGACATAATTTGTAAAGACTACATAACTGTGTCAATCAAAACCAATTGAAATGTGTTTCAGTGTTTTGATTCTTTCCCCATTGATCATCACATGTATGTAGAAATTTGATTCTACAGATGATTGGCTTTATCTGTTGAATGTGGTAGTATAGTCTACATGTAAAAGATCTTCATTCTGTAGTTGGAACTATTACCTCATTGATATTGTATGAAACTTGCCAAATTCTATCATTTGTATTTATTAGTGTTTATATAGCATTTTAATTTTTGTACATATACAAAGTCTTGTGACGCTAAGATAGGTCAAATAAAGTTAAAACTGAATATGAAAATATGCAATCAACAACAGCCTTCTATACCAAACCATTTATTATTATCCCTATCAAATCCTTAAATAGGAAAGGGTGTTACAAGGTTTTTAAATTACTATAAAAGAGGTAGTAGGGGTATAAGGCCCACAAAAGTTAAATACCCCAAAGCAATTATTTTGGTTGATCAAGTCAGTTATTGGCCATATTGGTAAAGGGGAGTATGAGACATGACCCAAATCTCTCACCCCCATCCCCCATATCTAAATATGTCACTAGACAAATTTTTCCAAATTAACTGATCACACATTGTATTTAGTTTAATTTGCCAAATCTATTTGTTATATATATGTATGTTACATTTGGTTGATTAGCAATATGTAGGTACCGTAAATATAATTTACCTTTATACAATGTCGATCTAAGTGCTGTAGATTTAATTGGTGGTAATGTTTGCTGTATGTAGTAGTTGTGTTTTATTTGTTGCCCCCCCCCCCCCCTCTTTCGAAGAAAGCAGGGGACTATTAAAATGGGTTCGTCCGTCTGTCTGTCACACTTTTTGGGACACAATTTAACTCTCTTTCTAATTGAGCTAGAATGTTCAAACTTGGTGTAGGTGTTTATTATGTCAATGCCTTGATGGAGTTCGATGATGAGCATTTTCTGCTTAGGGTAAGCAGAGATAAGCAATTTGATTGGTTGATGCTTTGGGACACGATAACTTTAGTTCTAATTAAGTGAAAGTGATAAAACTTGGTGTATAGTTTCATTACATCAATACCTTGACTAAGTTCAAGAATGAGCATTTTCTGCTCAGGGTAAGCAGAGCAATAAGCAATTTGATTGGCCGAGACTTTGGAACGCAATAACTCTCATTCTAATTGAGGTAGAATGTTCAAACTTGGTGTAGGTGTTTATTAGGTCAGTGCCTTGATGGAGTTCGATGATGAGCATTTTCTGCTTAGGGTAAGCAGAGATAAGCACTTTGATTGGTTGATGCTTTGGGACACGATAACTTTAGTTCTAATTAAGTGAAAGTGCATAAAACTTGGTGTATAGTTTCATTACATCAATATCTTGACTAAGTTCAATAATGAGCATTTTCTGCTCAGGGTAAGCAGAGCAATAAGCAATTTGATTGGCCGAGACTTTGGAACGCAATAACTCTCATTCTAATTGAGGTAGAATGTTCAAACTTGGTGTAGGTGTTTATTAGGTCAGTGCCTTGATGAATTTCGAAAATGAGCATTTTCTGCTTAGGGTAAGCAGAGATAAGCATTTTGATTGGTTGATGCTTTGGGACACGATAACTTTAGTTCTTATTAAGTGAAAGTGCATAAAACTTGGTGTATAGTTTCATTACATCAATATCTTGACTAAGTTCAATAATGATCATTTTCTGCTCAGGGTTAGCAGAGCAATAAGCAATTTGATTGGCCGAGACTTTGGAAGGCAATAACTCTCAATCTAATTAAGGTAGAATGTTCAAACTTGGTGTAGGTGTTTATTAGGTCAGTGCCTTGATGAAGTTCGAAAATGAGCATTTTCTGCTTAGGGTAAGCAGAGATAAGCATTTTGATTGATTGATGCTTTGGGACACGATAACTTTAGTTCCAATTAAGTAAGAGTGATGAAACTTTGTGTATAGTTTCATTACATCAATACCTTGACTAAGTTTGATAATGAACATTTTCTGCTGAGGGTAAACAGAGCAATGAGCAATTTGATTAGTCGAGACTTTGGAACACAATAACTCTCCTTCTAATCTAATTGAGGAACATAACAACCCTGCTTTTAATTGAGGTAGAATGTTTAAACTTGATATAAATGTTTAGGTGAATGTCTTGACTGAGTTCAATGATTAACATTTCGAGCTGAAGCTAAGCAGAGCTAATCAATTTCATTGGTCGATGCTTTGGGACAAGATAATCTTGATTCTATCTGATAGAGAGTGATGAAACTTAGTGTATAGTTTGATTGCTCGAAAAATAAATGTGCAATTAATTAATATGTGTCATTTATTTATTTTGGGATTTCGGCGGGTGACATCAGCCTCACTGTTGGCTTGTTTATAATAATTTGAGTGACAGCTGCTGAAAGCAAGTAACTGTTTTAATGTATTTACCTTATAATTATTTGTAGGCGTATGTGCAGCCAAGATGCAGGCATGGATCTGTCAGATTTTCAAGGGGAAATAAAGCGTGTATTATAATATTTGTTTTTAATATCCACTGTTTAAAGACATATGTCCATGGTTCATCGATTAATGATGTATATCCACAAACTACTGAGATAACTACTTGTATAAACCAGTTGTTTTTTTTTAGGAAGGCTTTTCCATTCACAAATCTAAAAATACAGCCATGACATGTTTATTAATAGTTTAAAAAAGTTATTGCCTATGAATATCAGATAAAAAAAAAAGTAATTCTTATTGAATAGAGCTGTCCCTTGCCAGCAGCTTGTCAAAACCAACTGGTTTGCAGAATATGATGCTTGAGCTTAAAATCACCCTGACTATACTTTTATTTTTGAAATGTTATGTTTGAAAAGGTAAAATAGATATTCTGATTAAATCTGATAGAACATATCTTTAACATTGGGTATTTTGGTGATAATTCTTATATGACTATACTGATCTCAACTTTCTGTCATAGATGACTAATCTCAAATATGCTTTTCAATATCCCATAAATGTATAAGAATAAGCTTTTTTATGAAATAGAAAACGTTTTATAAAATGCATACTAGAAAAAATCACAACTTGTTCCACAAGTGCATTTATTGAATTTGAATAAACAAAGGACACAATTCTATAGAATACTATTAATGTTTTTTCAGATTATATCAAGTTCAATTGCTAAATGGCACCAAAAACAGTCTATATCATAATAACCATATTGTGAAATAGGTTTCACAAAGGTTGTATATATATATATAGTTATTCCAGTTTTAACAAACTCCAACATACCACTATTTTTGTGGTATTGCAGTTTTTTTAGGGGTTGTATTGTCCTTCCATCAAATAAAACTTACCCAAATTGTTGCATTGGAGGTGATCATGCCAATGACAGTGTTCCAAAATCTTTCATTAATTGTCTTCTACAGCTAATTTGGATGATACTTAAATTCTTCAGCTGAAAAATGTTTTAATGTAGATGGCAAATAATTCTCTGCATATATTTATTTTCAGTTTGTTTTGTTATTTTAATTACTTCTTTATTATATATATTATAATGCTCAACAATTTATATATTTGTATGTCATAATTTAGAAGACAGCTATGAAATTAATGTTGATGTGGCAATCATGTCAAATTAGGCAAAACTGTATATGCTTTGATATATTTTTTGAAGTATGAATAAACTATACAAGCAATGAAGTACTGTACATTATTTTCTGAAAATTTTATTTTTATCCACATTTTGAGGCTCATTTAATCTGTGGCACTGATACATTCTGAAAGCAGTGGAAGTTTATCTTGTTGAAGTAACAACTAGTAGAGATGATTCAGCTTTCTATGTGGTAGGGAAGGTAAAATGAATGAATGAAATAGGGTTTAATGTCCTACTTCCGGGCTAATGAAGAGGGTTGTGGAGTTAGTGATGCAGTGATTTTATGCAGTGCTGCAAGTCTGTCATCAATGTGACAAGGAGTAGGGGCATCTGGTCCATATCAAAGTTTCTCCAGTTTCCTTTCACTCCTAATGATCCCTATGTGAACTGTCATAAAGTAAAGTATTACCATAAATTATGTTAGTCCCAAAATGACAAAGTTGTGTTCAGGGAAATGAAGTTGATTATAAAAATTCTGAACAGCAAAAGAATGCTGAAGAAAAAACACCCTTTTATACACAGACAATCTATGTTTCATCACCCACGTGATTTGGTTGCTTAATCATATAGAATTATTCTTCCAATCATTGAAACATTGTAAATCCCTTACAGAACAAGGGTTTTTGAGTGTTTGGTTTCAAAATTGTTGAAATTTTTCAGACAGGAGGAATTCTAGCAGAGCCATAGATCAGTTTATCCCCCCAATCACCCAAGCATTGTAAATACTCTAAAAATCATCGTTTTAGACATAATATTCCTGCTCATTTGTATTACACAGTAATATACTGCTTTGTTCTTGCTCCCCAAATATGTTTTATACAAACGATACACAAGACTGATAAAAACTAAAATTCAAATATTAAATATGAGTATCAGTTTTTACAGAAAATAATAACAGAAGTTTAGGATTATATTGTCTGTTATTATTATTAGAAATTCTCTAGAGAATTCCATTAATAAATAATAAAACAGACAACCATTACAATTTAATGAACAATTTATTTTCACTGATCATTTACATATGTTATTCACTGATCTATTTCAATATTATCCACAAAAATAAATTATACATCTCAATACAACTTGGAAATTAGTATCATTCAAGTAAGCTGATATGCTGTGCTGCTTAAATTAATGCAAAAAAGATATAAGCAATAACATTTATTGGTCACAGTCATCATTAAAATAAAACAGCACTATGGTGAATTATAAGAATTGATGGGTATAAAAAAAAATAAAACAGAAGTGCAAAGAGAACCAAGCCAATGGTGTTCCAAAAGGTGTGATGGACAGACAGGCAGACAGTTGCATGCTTATCATTCATTAAGTTTGAACAGTCTACCTCAGTTTAGAAAGAAGCAGAGTTATTGTGTTCAGTGTCATGACCAATCACATTGCTAATCTCTACTTAAAGGAGCTAAGCCTCTAACTCAATATCATCCAAAATCTTCAACATTGAAAACACGATTTATTTGTCAAATTAAATCAACATTTATGTTGTGATTTTACTAGGAAAAGATGGGCTTTTGATATCCAATATTTAAGACAAAATAAACATTTTACCATTGGTACACGAATCGTGTACCATAATGCGCTTCAGCCCCAGTTGTATCAAGAAACTCGAGGGACGAGGCTAGACACATTGCACCAAATCAAACGGCATATGTAGACTGGAATAACCAGACGCTAGAAATTTGCACTCGCTTGAGACTGCTGGCTTATTTCGCCGAACATAACTGATTTGAAATTGGAGTAAAAACGGAAACCATTGAATGTAAATCAGTTTATATACATTCATATTGCAGTATTATATGCGTTGTGACCCACTTTTGTCAATTTCTAGGTCCCAAATGTTAGCGATTTAGCTCCTTTAACCTTAGCATAATATGCTCATCATCAAAGTAAGTCAAGCCATTCACCGAATGAACATCTACACAAGGAGTCTCTGCTACCCCTTCCACCAATGGCAATGCCTTGCAGACAGCTAGACCAATAACAAATCAATAGGGAGTGTGAAAGGTCCAATCTAAAATCTCACATATCTATGAATGCAATCAGATAGATTATTAATTACTAACATCTGTTCCGATCAGATAATAGTGAAATAAAATAGGTTTGGAAATGGATTTATTTTTTTTTTTAAATTAAAATATTAATATATTTGACTAGATAGTAACTTGGCCTGAAAGATTACAAGTTGTAATTTACAACCATAAAAAAACACCAGAATTCTTCTTAAAAAGCAGACAAGGAGTCTGTCCATCAAACTATTCATAAGTCCTCGTATGAACTAAACCCTGGGGAAGGTGCAGTAGTGGGTAATGAGCAGACAATGCTTGCAAGCTTTGATTCTAGAATATATAAATAAATCTGATTAAAAGTAAAGGAATGTTCTTCACTTTATAATGACTAGAAAATAAGATAACAGGCACTGAACAATCCCATTCAAAATATTTCCAATAAAATATACAACTCTTCATAATATAAAAACATTTCTGTAGTAATATTGTTACTACTATCATTGAAAATATAACAAGCCAACAGTGAGACTGATGTCTCCCGTGGAGATCCTGAAATAAATAGATGACAATAAATATTATTGTATCATAATTCTTCTCATGCGACTGTGTTATAACTAAAGTTATATATCGCCTATCACAACATTGTTACCCAAACTTATTAATACGATTCACTCATACTCTACTCAGAAAATTTGACATAGCCTCTACAGACATGGCTTAAATTAATTTTCAAAAAGGAGGTCAACAAGAGAGAGGTATTTTATATCTTTTGGATGTCGGTCTTCTAGAATTATTTCATTGTGCTAATCCCAGGAAAGGTACGTACATCCCCATAGTTTTTAATTTAAATTGTATAAATCACAACTAAATAAAATCCTATAATGGATTAAAAAGAGGCATTCTTGGTAAGAACCCTGAATAAAAGAATGTATCGTGTCAGCTTTAGTTCTAGCTCAGTTAAAAATCATAAATGAATAAAACATCACTTGAGTTAAAAAAAAAATATGAAAATTCAACATATAAAAAGACAATCTCAAACTAACAAAAGAATAAGACTTTGAATTGTCACAATCCTATAATTTCAACATAATTGAGTATGAACAATAAAATCAGAAGTACACAATATTGTGAATTTAAGAGGTAGTTAACAAATTTTCTGTGTTCTATAAGGCCATGTGAGGGTTTTTTGAGGGTTCTTTTTTTTTGTAGATTTCAAGCATAAAAAAAATGTCTCAAAAGATCATCAGGATGCTTGATTCTGAGTCAGGAATTTCAATGAGTGACATGGAATCAAGTTCCTGCCTAAATTCAAGTTCAAATAATTAGCCTGTTATTTTGCCAAGCAACATCATTTCTTCAGACAAAATAATGGAACAAAGAACTTGGATTTGGGTCATTTCGAAAATATTAAGAGAGTTTTAAAATATAGTAAGCCCTCAAAGGATATATAATGTACCATACTTCAGAAATGTTCGTTATCAGAAGAGGAGCATTGTGTGTATCTATCGCAAGGAATACTTTCCTTACTGTATCACAATTTTATTTTTTGCCAAATTCAAATAAATTATATTTTGTCAAAAAAAAGAGTTGATGGGATCTTATTATTTCTAACAAACAATATTTATTATTGAATTATTAATGTTGTTTTGCATGCTAGTCCCAATGACATAAACACATTGGATTTCATAATAACAATGACAAAATATCAAAATACTTTAATTATATACTCTTCAAAAAAAGTAGGGGATATTCAGAAACAATACAAAACTGCGGAAATGCACTGCTGTTTTTATTAGAGGTAACCAGTGTATGTTAATAACAGGCCAATTGCCCACACATGAACATAAACAGTTCATATGGGCGCTTAGCTGACGGCCCCATTTCACTCGCAAAGAGATACCCTGTCAAAAGTGGAAATAGACGTTTTTGATTTTTGTCTTAATAATGAGTAATTGCTCCACCAATCCTCAGACATTCAGCAATTCGTCGTGGCATGTTCCTAATCAATCGTCCAATCACGATTTGGGGCAACCTGACCCACTCCTCTTGCAGTGCCACGGCCAATTCTTGCAGTGTTGTCAGTTGTTGTTGCCGAACACGTCTCCCGATCATGTCACAGACATGCTCCATAGGGGAAAGGTCAGGACTCATGGCTGGCCAAGGCATATGGAAATAATGGTGACGCTGGAGGTAGTCATTCACGACACGAGCGCGGTGGGCACAGGCATTATCATCTTGAAAGATGAAACGTCGAACTGCATGTTGATCAAAGGGCAGAACATCAGTGCCAGGATGTGGTCACGGTAGTACACACCAGTGACTCTTCCTTGAACAACATGCAAGTCCGTTCTGCCAGTCATGGTGATTCCTCCCCACACCATAACAGACCCACGCCCGAATCTGTCATGCTGTCTGATGTTAACGTTAGCATGACACTCATTTACATGCCTCCAAATGCAAGCACGCCTATCGGTGAAATCAAGAGTAAATCTTGACTCATCCGAGAACATTACATGCGCCCATCGACGATTACAACAATCTCTACGCTGCCTACACCACTGACGCCTGTTTGCCATGTGCTGGCAAGTTAATGGAGGCACAACACGCAGTCGTTGCGCATGTAATGGGGCTGCATGTAGCCAATTTCTAATCTTTTGGGGTTTAACTCGAATTCCTGTAACTTGGCACAAGTTTACAGAAAGCTGATTGGCCGTTTGTCCTCGATTTCGCAGGACCTGTGTACGAATGTATCAATCCTGGGCTTGTGTAGTGGCTCTAGGATGACCCGAACGAGGTCTATCATCAACTTTGTGTGTTTGTTGGTACCGGTTCCACAGTCTGCTGATCACAGACTGTGACACATTAAGTATGTTTGCTACTGCTCGCTGTGTAGAACCCATTTGAAGCATGCCAATAGCACGTAGACGTTCATCAAGTTGAAGACGTCTTATTGCAAATTAAACGTAACACACTAAAGCAAAGATATGCTAAACAGTAAATCTTATGCAAGAACTGATGGAAAGCAATCATGGATAGGATAAACCAGCACGCGGCAGTTTTTATCAACTCTTCCTTAACGTGTCAAATTTGACAATGAACCCTTACCACATGTATGGCACTATTGCGTGTCACATGTCAGCTCAGTGGTTCTGTTGGGGCGATAAGTTCTTCATCTGTGAACATACTCTCAAAGCATGTCAAGTGTCCATGATTATTTATCATATCACAACCTGAATAGGTATTTGCATTTCAATATCCCCTACTTTTTTTGAAGATATCAATATTTACAGTACTGGTACCATATTTAGAATACTTAAACTCAATAACAGACTGGCACAAATATCTCATATTGGAAATACAAGAATCAATTCTTTTATATTCATCTTTGCATTTATAATCAAATTTGTTTTAACTCCTGGTTTCCTAGAGGGAATAAATGCATTAAGGGTTTGAGGTAAAAATTTTAGTATTTCAGATCATGAATTAAAGATAGGTTGCCAGGCAACAAACCATACGCCTAAAGCAGCCAAGTCATCCGGGCAGCCAACAAGTGTTGTAAATCATTGAAAATCAATAATTCTTCGTCTCCTGACCTTAAACAGTGCATATATTAATCGGATATTAACTTTAACCTCTATAGTGACCACAAGATATTTCCAAATGATCAAGGGCCATAACTCTGGCAGTAATTATCCAAAAATCATTGAAAATCAATAGGCTTTTACGTCTCATGTCCTAAAATAAATTTAAAGTCAATCGGATATTAACTTTAGCCTCTAGAGCATCCACATGATATTTCAAAGTGATCAAATGCCATAACTTTGGAAGTAATTATCGGAAATAGTTGCAAGTAAATAGGCCTCTCTCTTAATCTCATGACCTTAAACACTGTATATAAATTTAAAGCAAATCAGATATTAACTTTAGCCCCTAGAGCATCCACAAGCAATTGTGGATCCTGCACCGACTGACAGATGGATTGGGTAACAACAATATACAACCACATTTCAATGTGGGCGTATAAAAACAGTTTGAGAGCTCAATTTAACATTTTGTTGAAACAAATTGAGATAGCAGTTGAGTTAATAGACCAGTAGGATAGCACCAAACTAAAACATTTCCAAATAAAACCAATGCATTATAATCACTACAGGAAAGGATACACAATGCAGACATCTTGCTAGTATCTTGAGGCTGGAAGATGTTTTAGTCATGAATGCTACCTATAAAAGCTAAATCTGAATATTGCAGGTCTTTTTTTCGGCCTTAAATGTTATATAAACTATTAAAGAGGCATTATGGGAGATTAGATAACGACTTGACTGTTCTCGCTATAATAGTTAAAAAATAGATAACGTAAATAGAATACGTTGAAAATTTCAGTCAAATTGATCCACCCTGAACCGAGATATTAGCTTTTGAATTTTAAGCCCAGCCTCGATCATCATTACTAAAGTCGGTACGATAAAAAACAGTCTCGATTATCCATTTCGGATTTCATCATCAATGAACGTTGAGCAGCAGATCGGATTCAAATCCCGTGAACATATATCTGCAATAGGCAGATTTAGCCCATACATAATGTATGTTCAATTAGACATTTAATAATCAACTCTCTAGGCCATCAGATTGCTTCGCATTTAAGTAGATTAGAACGGTTTAACAATTTGTCACAATCGGATAATAATTTGTGGGCTGATGGACTGGGGTGACGACAATATACGTCCACATGAAAATGTGGGCGTATAAAAATGGAGAAACGGGGCCAAGTCTCGAACAACCAGTACGGTGGTTATGATTAAAAAATCAATGCACACATTTTATCAAAACTACAAACATTCATTTTGCATTATCTTTTTTTTGGGAACTATTATAGCAAGAACGGCCAGCTCTTTATCTAAATCTTACACAATGCTTCTTTAATTTTCATTTCGATATGTGGTCAATGCAAAATCTTTCAAAATTGACATTTTGACCATCAAATTAGCTTGTTCCAGCAAACTTATGTTAAAAATTCGAAGGGCTTTGGATGGAGAAATCGGACATTTAAGTGTCATTAAGGCAATCATGTCCCATGCTACTGTAATGACAATTGTCAACATTAGACCAATCCAGCATCTTTAGCCATACTGTAAAACAATGATGACTCATCTTTTAGTAGGTCCTGAGGATTATCAAATTCCTTTATACAGCCAGCATCCAACACCATTATTCTGTAAAATTAGAACAAAACATATTCTAGCATAAAAATTTCCAAGTATAAACATCTAATACCTCTAAGATTTGAAACAGATCTGCCAATCCATTACAGAAATGTTCGGTTTATTAAGAAGTTCCATCGATGTAGATACACAGTATGATGTTATATAAAATCAATTATATATATTATTTTGATGAAAGTAAACTATTTAAATCATATTATTATGTAATTCTGTGATAATTAGTGCTGGGTATTGCCGCGGCAGTCACGACACGATATGTATTGCGATTTAGGTGCTTCGATATGATTCATATCACAATTCAGAACCAGGTCAATATTTATAAAGAAAACAGCAGAATAAATGAATAATTGATATTTTTAGTCCTGCCAATGTCGTAGAAATAAAACTGTTGTATATCATGATATTGATGTGGATCAAAATAAGGAAGAAAACAATTTAAGAGTGTTTGGATAATGTGCAACATCAAATAATTAAGAATGGCAGGTTACTTACTGAAGCAACAAAAAAACATGACCAGCGGCTGCCAGGCAAGATACGCCCACATTTTGCAAGAGATGGATAGAGGACAAGCTAAACAAAAAGCGATTTTTCGTACAATCAAGGACCATAATTCAGGAAGTTACAATCCGATATGCGCGAATATCGACAGACACCAAGATCTTTGGGTTATAAAGATATATTTCAAGTTTCATCAAAATCAGATTAAAATTGTGGCCTCTAGAGTGTCCACAAGCTAAAAACATGATTTTTTGTACAATCAGGGGCCATTATCCATGAAGTTATGGTCTAATATATGCCAATATCGAAAGGAACCGAGATCTTTGAGAGATAGACCTATATCTTAAGTTTCATCAAACAAACAAATTGTGGACGGACGGACAGGGGAGACGACAATATACGTCTACATAAAATGTGGATGTATAAAAAAAAAATCGTGATACATCGATTCAGCATCTTGTGATTCAATACGCATATTGTGAGAAGTTGAATCACGATACATCGATTCAACGATATAACATGCCAGCACTAGCGATAATCTACATTTTATTTCAAATTCTAGGAATTAGATCATTTCTATGGCAGCAATAGGTAAAGCACACACCTAGTATAGTCTAATATAGTATTAAGACGATGCGCTATAGTTAAAACTGTACAGTCTTCAAATTCTGTTCTTATAGTAGCTTGTATAAGATCATCTGTTTCTAGATCTATAGCTGCTGTAGCCTCATCTAATATTAATATTTTAGATTTACGCAGTAAAGCTCTTGCTAAACACAGTAACTGTCTCTGTCCAACACTACAATAAATAATACAAAAAAACATAAACTTTAGAAAATAATACACTTAAACTGTGTGTGTGTGTGAGTACTTAAAGAGTACTGAAGGTGATATCGCAGACAAGTTACCTTATTTTCATTTTTATTACCTTAGCACACACACATGGGTATTACCTGTGGGAGGAAACTGGAGTACCTGGAGTAAACCCATTAGGTTGAGAAGGCGCCCCTATCTCCAAGCCACATACACTCACACCAGGGATCGAAACCACAACCGCAAGTCAGAGGTCACCGACCAGTTAGAAGTCGAAGCGTGAAACTCTAGACCAGTAGGCCATCTCAAACCCCCTTTCACACTTAAACTGACAATAACCACCATTTATATGGCGCTTAACATTTCAGCAACTGAGTGGTCAAAGTGTATGTGTGCTTTCAATTATACGTTGTGTCATCAATTCAAAGTCTGTGCTATTGATCCTGAATGGGGCAAGGAGTAAGATCGCCTGAATAATTTTATGCAGTTTCTTTCAATGTTTTGCTTTTCTCGGAAGCAAATAATGTAAAGAAATGACCTTGTTAACCATAATATCTCTCTTTCTAATATCAAAGAACTATCACAATCATCATTGATAGTACACTTCCTATTCAATATACTAAGATAAATTTGACTATAACAACACTATCAGAAAACACAGCAATCCCTTCAAATCAAACATAACTAAAATAAACACACTTAATCTTCAAATCACCTGAGATTTTCTCCTCCTTCACTACATTCATGATCTAATTTTGTTGGAAGACTATTAACAAATGTTTTAAGATGAGCATGGTCTAATGCTTGCCATAAAGCATCATCTGTCAACTCTTCAAATGGATCTAAATTCATTCTCAGGGAACCGGAAAATAAAACAGGATCCTAGCGAGAAAGAAAAAATAATGTTTAGTTAAGATTTAAACAATTAGTTAAGATTACAGTGGACCTCTGAATACTCCGACACTCTGTGAAATCTGACATCATTTTCATGTCCCAATTTATTTCCTTATTATTTCAGCCCAAAAATCTTTGAGTAATCTGTACTCTGAATATTCAGAATTACGACATCAATCAGCCATCCCATCACATGACTTCCATTGAATCAACACTGTATAATCTGGCCTTCAATCGGTGGGGGTGAAGCCACAAAAGATTAACAAGCAATCACCAATCAATTATCGGTGAGATTAAAACTCGCTCGCGTAGGTCTTTGTTGATTACTTTGATAATTTTATAATCCTCTTGTAAGACAGTTGTGACAAATATTCCTAGCACCTGTTGGAAACATTCCTTGCGCATGCCGATTGAACCTGAATACCTAAGTTTGTTCACCCTACAGATCTATCCGAACCGTGTGACGATGACCTGGACATAGAACGACAGATTATCAATGAAAACGTGACACCAAAGACATGTGTGCGATCAACTGAAGATGATGAAGAAGATAAATTAACGACAGACTTGACCTATTCAAAATGCCTACGCATGTTAAATGAAATGTAATATAATTTTGAATGTACAGAAAGGTTTATCATTTTTAAAGAGAATAACGTTCTGGAAATTAGAAGCTACATTATAATAATACTTCACTTTTTCGAAGTTACAATAATACTTCTGGCTTTGAGAAAACTGAGTATTCCGACACTCTGCGTAATCCGACATATTGTAACGATCCTGTACGATGTCGGATTTGACAGAGTCCACTGTAGTTATAAATGTCTTTATAAAAACCAGGAGTTGAATGGGAATGCAATATATACCTACTATTGACTGTAACTTATCTTCTATTCTATGAATTTCCGAATTATCCCATCCTTCAATAGCCAAGTGACAATTTCCACTTTCCCTTAATAATGAGCCATTTCTATAGCCAATTTTGGATAATAATGTACAAAATCTTACCTGAGGTATTATAGTTAACTTTGATCTTAAATCATGTAATCCTATATCAGCTATATTTATACCATCTATTGATATACTACCTTCAGCAGACTCAATAATACGAAATAAAGCTAATGTTAGTGAAGACTTTCCTGCACCTGTTCTACCCACAATTCCAATCTAAAATATACCAAAAGGATACATTAACAGTTTTAATTGTGTAGAAAATTAGCTAGAATTTTAGAATCAAACTGGTCCATACAAAAAATCTATAAACAAAGAAAAAACTTTACCTTTTCTCCCGACTTCACTTTGCAATTGATGCCCTTTAAAACTAGATCCAAACCTTCTCGGTATCTGACTTTATAGTCAGAGAACTCTACAATTCCTGATGTTGGCCAATCTTTGGGTGGTCTATTATTTTCAACAATCCACTCAGCCTGAAAATATATACTTTAAATATACTTTTTTTCCATATACCATACTGCAAACAAGAAACCACAATAACCTTTATTTATGGAAAAACAGCTACTAATCCATTGCCCAATTAAAAAATATGCTGTGTAAAAAAAAAAATACAAATGCCTGCATATCATAATTTTTAATCATTGTTCAAAAATACCTTGCAGATTTAAACAATTTAGTTATTATACCCAATTAATTTTGAGACAACTCCTACATCAATCATCCCGTTTAAGTGTAATGAACTCTTTATGGAATCAAAGTAGTTTTTGTTAACACAAAATTTTAAATAAATGAGTCTACCTCAGTTGGAGTATCAGCATATTCCTTAACTCTTTCTACAGCGACTATATTTGTTTCTAATTCACAAGTCATTCTGACCATCCAATTTAACGTCTGTGTTACCTGTAAAAATAAAACATATCAACTTATCAATAATAAACAATAAAATAAAACAAAACTATACAGTTATATGGGACAACAATCACTGGTTTATTATACACAGGCACAACGTTTCGATAAGTATTACTAAAGTTTACTAAATGTTATTGTGCTTGATAACGATAAGAGAATACTTATCGAAACGTCGTGCCTGTGTATAATAAACCAGTGATTGTTGTCCCATATAACTGTATAGTTTTGTTATGTTTCCAATTGCTAAATGCCACTAAAGGATTATAATAAAATAAAATAATACAACAGATGATTTTGAGGATGTTTACAAAAAAAATACATCATATGCCTCAATTTATAGACAGGTTCCTTCGTCCCTTCCAGGGAATTTCTATTCTTGACAAACTGTTTAAAGTGGACTACTGTTTCTGGCCACTTTTAGCTTAAATTCAACTTTAGAGCCACCTGGCTGGGACCTGCCTATTACCCATGCCATACATACCACATTCATGAATATTAGATTTGCTGCGAAAAAGTTCTGAGTGATTACTGACCTGAGAATGCACCCCTTTACATAATCACTGACTTCACTACCCCTACTTTTTGAAAAGGCTTGATCCACTTCAATGCTAAAAATTCTTACATTGTCAAATCAGTGTAAACATCAGAGATTGCTTGCACTGAACTGATTGTTCTCTATTTCAGAACCTTACTTTAACAGTGTCTTCTGATAAACAGAAAGTGTAGGGAGACCGCATCACACAAACACAATTACACAAGACAAACCTACTAAGAGGAGTCACAGGACAATATACACTGACACCTCCCACAACAATTGTACATCAGTTTAAGTTTCATCATTCCCACTTAATTAGTTAGAATCAAAGCAATCGTGTCTCAAAACATCAACCAATCAAATTGCTTATCACTGCTTAGCCCAAGCAGAAAATGCTCATCTTTGAACTCCATCAAGGCATTCACCAAGTTTTAATATTCTAACTCAATTAGAAGGTGAGTTATTGTGTCCCAGAAAGCATGACAGACAGACAGACCCATTTTAATAGTCACCTGTTCCCCGAAAGGCTGGGACAGTGGGAACAACTAACAATAAGGAAAGCAATCCAATAAAATTTGTTTATCATCATTGCATATATTTCTGTAGAATCATTAATTCAATGAACAATAAAGAGATCCAATTATACTTACATTTAAAGCATAAGAAATGGACAATCCCACAATACCAGGGCTTAAATTATCTCTACCTAATACAGCAAATAATGAGGCAAAAAATACAATCAAATTACCCAGAAACTCTAATCTTATAGCCAACCATCTGAAATATACATGTACATGTAGTTAATATGGCTAGTAACAGGAATGGTATATTGTGATCAAAAGTCATATAGCTATTATAGCTAACCATATGAAATATATAATATACTATTCAAAAAAAGTAGGGGATATTTGATTTTGGGGGCATAATACTAAAATATGCAAATGACTACGAAAAAAGTCACTATAGAACCTAACAGAAGAAACATTTCCAGTTACATGTGACGCCCAAACGCACCAATAGCTACCGCATGGAATGCAGGTGATGCTTGGGATCATCATGGGGGTCCAACCCAAGATTTGCACGACTCTGACTTTGAATGTTACAGTCATTGTGGCATTGAATTCCAGGGTGGAAACATCAGTTTAATTGTTTTAGTGACCAGAAAACAAATTTTGATATGCGTCGGCTTACCCAAAATGAAAGGTTACGTGCCCTTGGCATGCTACAGATCGGCACAACACAGGCGGTTGTGGTGCCGACGATGAATGTTTCTCAGTCTGTCATAAGCAGGCTATGGTCCAGATACCGTGATACACAATCTGTACAGGACAGACCACGCTCAGGTCGACCAAGGGCGACAACTCAAGCCCAGGATTGATTTATCCGTACCTTGGCCTTGAGAAATCGTGTCATCACAGCAAATCAGATCAGCGCTCGTCTTCAAACAGACACTGGTGTGAGAGTGAGTGGCCAGACGATTCGGAATCGACTGCATAGGGGTCACCTTCGCGCCCGACGTCCTCGCGTGATCCCTTGTTTGAGAGATCATCACATTCAGGCAAGACGTCGTTGGTGTAGGGATCGTCAACACTGGGATAATCGACGCTGGAGCAGTGTGATGTTTTCAGATGAGTCAAGGTTCACTGTTGATTTTTTGGACAGACGTAGGAGGGTGTGGCGTCGTCGAAACGAGCGCTTCCAAGACATTAACATCATCAGACATGATCGATTTGGGGGTGGTTCTGTTATGGTGTGGGGAGGCATCACTGTTGCTGGAAGAACGGCTTTACATGTTGTTGCAGGGTGTGTTACAGGCCAGTACTACCGGGACAACATCTTGGCAGTCCATGTTGTGCCGTTCGCACGACGTCATGGCCGCCGTTTCATCTTCCAGGAGGACAACGCAAGATGTCACAGGGCCAGGATCGTTACAGGTTACCTCCAACAACAGAACATCACCACATTACCTTGGCCAGCACTGAGTCCCGACCTCTCCCCCATCGAGCATGTCTGGGACATGCTTGGACAGAGGTTACGTCAACGTCAACAACGTCCTGCCAATGTCCAAGAACTTGCTGCTGCGTTGCAACAGGAATGGGACAATCTGGACCAAAATGACCATAGACGTCTCATTAGGAGTATGCCACGTCGGATCAATGCTTGTTTGGCAAACAGAGGAGGATTTACCCGTTACTGACTTGGTTGTGATGCTGTGGTAACTTTGCTGTTTGACCCCGGGTATCATTTTACCCTTATAATGGTCAGTCTGTGCCTTACTTAGTCTAACGATCATTTGGAATAAATCGATGAATGTGAACTTCATTTCATTTTGTCATTTGTTTCTTCGTCAGTTTCATTAGGTGACTTTAATAACACTTAAAAATCAAATATCCCCTACTTTTTTTGAATAATATATATATTATGTACATATAGTTAATATGGCTAGTACAATAACAGAAATCATTAATATGACTAGTACGTGTAGTGCGGTCATTTTCATGATATTCCCATCTCAAAACTTTAGGTCCGTTGAAATGTCTCATGTTAGTATGTTAACTTCTTGCTAACTCCCTTACCTATTTGATGTTATGCTAGGATAGTAACAGACTTGATTTTCATCAACTTTATTCTCTGATTCCGATATAAATCTTTGTTGTTGTCCAAATGCTCGAATAGTTGAGGCACCAGTAATAGTTTCTCCAAAATGAGAATAAATCGGAGATCTACTAATAGATTCTAATCTCTTCAACTGTCTGGAAGTGGACACGTAAAAACGCTGAAATTAAAATTAAATTATTTATATTATAATATATTGAAATAAAAGCTTGTGTCATTGCAAAACCAGAAAATTATAAAAACATATTTCAGATTTATTTTAAAATATACTCTTACTTTAAATTCAATCTAGATTTAATTTAATTTATCACAATAAAACTATTTAATTTTAATGTAATTTAAATAAAATATGAGCAAGTTTAGACATAAAAGCGAAAGAATATGAAAGCATATGCCAGCAGTCCAATAACCTAAAAGTCAGTACCATATGAAGCAAGTAATTTAATATTAACCCGTTAAGTGCGTAGATCGTTATATAACGTCCTGGACAACTGCCACTCACTGTGTGTAGGGCGTAATATAACTTCTTGGAGGTATTTTCCCCAACCCTATTCTTTGAACATAATTCCCCAGCATGTGTAGGACTTTATATTACGTCCTGGACAAATGCTACTCACTGTGTGTAGGGCATAATATAACGCCTTGGAGGTATTTTCCCCAACCTATTATTAGAACGTAGTAGATAGTTCTTCATCACTTCGTCAAATTAATTGCACAATAGGGGGTAGTTAACGTTTTAAAAACGTCACGCTTAACAGGTTAATGTATCAATTGTAAATGTGAGTTAAAAAAAATACTAATAAAAGCAAAAATAAACTACATGTACGCTTTAATATGCAATATTGAACAAAATCATCTAGCTAAGACAAATCTGTAAAAAAGTGCAGCATAACCAAGACATAAAAATACAATAAAAGAAGCACACATTCCCATAAAAAAAAACCAATGTCAATAATCAACCAAAAACAGCAACTATTAGGCAGCCATTAAATCATTAAACATGCATTATGCAAGAGCTAAATCTGATTATTGCAAGTCTTAATTTAGGCTTCAGATGTTATAGAAATTATAAATTAGATCTTTATTTAAACAACAAAACCAAAATCAACTCTGTAGACCTACGGATGGCTCGGCTACAGCTCGGATTTAAATAGGATTTCACTAATTGATTAAATCAGATAAGGGGTAACCTGATGAAAATATGTCAGTTAGATCGAGGCTAAATGATAGAGTGTACTTAGCGAGGCCGCTGTAAAGCGTTTCCGTATGCCATTGAAAACTTTACTTGATAATCGAGATATGTAGTTGGAATTAACGCCTGTCAATCAAACGTTCGGCGAAGGTGAAGACACATTTCGCTACCATTTCTAGGCAAATATTACAACGATGATAACTATGTTCAGAATAAAGTAATTTGACTGAATTTTTCAATATATTCTTCTTTCATCATCTACTTTTGAACTGTTATAGCAAGAATGGCCAACTCTCTATAAATATCTTTAATAGAGCAGTAAAATAATTGCAGCACTGATAAACTATACTAAACAAGAGCACTGTAACTAACTATATATATGGGTATCTATATAGCATATATAAATGTAATGCAAATTTAGAATTCCCTGCATATTTGAATCACATTTACTTGTCTGCTGGGGCTTTCTTTATGAAGAATGATCCAATAATTGCTGGCTATTAAATGTTTTCAGTTTTAACTTTATGTTCTGTATTTTATATTTGATGGAGGCATTGCGGCCGATTTTCTGGTTTAGGTCTCATACCTAAAGTTGTCATGGGTACCATACCTCTTTATAGAATACCTATTGCCACAAAGTCTATTACTTATTGTAAGTTCATTAAGCTAACAGATTTGGATTCAATTTGACATTTGAATTTAGCACAAACACTTGCTGAAAAGCGGTTTCCATGCAAGATATACTTGCATTTTCAAAATGATGAACGGAGAACAAGGCAAATCAAATGGGCTCATCATTAAATTTGAAAAATCAGTTAAATCATTTTAGCTTATATGGTTTTCAGAAGCTTCTCGGAAAGGGATGGTGGTGATAGTTTTAACTCTGAAGCTGAAATCTCAATATCAATATGGATCATCCTCCCATGAACCCAATACTTTACAACAAATTCAAAACAAAAAAAAGACACAAAAAAATTGTAGCCTCTATCACAGGGGGTTTACTCTGGAACAGTAACGTTGCAGAACACTGAATATTATTGATAAGGTCTTCTCACACCAAATTTGAATAAAACCTGTTAAAACTGTAACCTCTATTGCATTAACAAGGTTTAGGGCAGATATAATATATATCATATATAATATAATATTATTAGTCATTTTATCAGTGCTGCAATTAAAACAAATGTATAACAGTTTCTGTAAACTTATTTCAAATATATCATTAATTCGGTACTAATTTACCTGATATCAAATATACAACAGCGAGCATTTACAGCATATTTAGTAATTGTTACATAGTTTTTTATAAGATATTATAATTTAAGTTTATCTGTAATAAAAAGATAACAATATACCACTACTGTGTAAAGCCAACATGCTAAAGCTAAAATTACTATATTCAAAAAGAATACTAATGTTTACATGTATATATTTATACAATAAGCAATTCTAATAAAATGCCAAATATGAAGGTATGCTGTCTTAAAAAGATATTACCAAATATTACAGCTGTGTTTAATATGCAGTTTACCATGGATACAGAGACAATATACCGTATATTTTTTTATTCTTATAACAAAACCCTGATTATCCAAGCTATGTATATTTTTCAATGATGATGGCATAATTTTAAGGAGCTAAATCGCTAATATTTTGGAACTAGAAATTGGCACAAGTGGGTCGCAATACATATAATAATGTAATATGAATTTATATAAACTGTTTTACATTCAATCGTGTCCGTTTTACTGTGAATTGTCATCAGTTCTGTTCGGGGAAATACGCCAGAAGTCTGAACAGCAAGTCAGTTTCTAGCGTCTGGTTATTCCAGTCAAAACCGATATTATTTATTGTGCATGCTCTCAAAATAAGAACATGCTATCACCGTTTGACATGACTTGTGGAATATGTCTAGCCTCATTCTTTGAATACCTTGTTACAAATGGCGCTGAAACGCATTATGGTACACGATTCGTGTACCAATGGTAAAATGTTTATTTTGTCTTAAATATTGGATATCAGAAGCCCATCTTTTCCAGGTAAGAATATCACAACACCAATGCAGATTTAAATCGCAAAAAAATTTGTGTTTCCAATGTCGAAGATTTTGGATGATATTGAGTTACGGACTTAGCTACTTTAAGTTGCACACTAATTAAATCTTTTTCTAATAACTTTTAAATAAGCAAATATTTTTGCTTTATGCATATTATCATTATTTTCATTGTAATGTGCAGATAGAAATACCTTAAGAACATCTAATTCGATAATGGCAACTTAAATTTTTTAAGTTAAAGATAAATTTATTTACTTTTGATTTAGGTTTTATGAATCAGCAATTTATAATGACTACCTTTAAAATATTAAACATTTTATCAGAATTACCCAAGTAAGACAGACAGAAAAAAACCAAAACAATATATAAATAAATAAATGTCTGGTAACCATGGATACCTGTATAAAATAGTATAATATAAGTAGTGGTAATATAACCAGAAGAAAGTAAGGAGTACTGATGGAAACCACAAGTACAGTACTAATAACATGTAGTAAACAATGTAACCACATCTGAACTGTAGCTGGTATTGTTATATCTATAATATCAACATCCTTGGCAAATCTATTAACGAGTCGTCCTAGTGGAGTCGTATCAAAGAATTTCATAGGAGATTTCATAATGTTGATGAGGAAATTTTGATGAAGGATTTTGGATGCATCTCTGGCTCCGACTGCTTTTATCAATACAGCTATAAATACAAATAGCCCTGTAGAAACAGAATTATAATATGTGTGAGTTTTACAAAACAAATTTTAAATTTTTTTGTCCATTAAAAGCCAAAATCATTCTAAATTAATGTCTCAGAATTCATGTTATATTAATGCTCTAAAATGAAATAAACTGAACAAAAGTAGTTTTGTTTGTTAGTTCTTATGCATACATTACAAATTTCTAACTTTACAATATATTGTCGTGCCAAAGCAAAACCAGCGGCTGACAGGCAGGATACGCCCACATTTTGCAAGAGATGGATAGAGAACAAGCTAAAAACTATAAATGCTAATTTTTTGTACAATCAGGGGCAATAATCCAGAAAGTTATGGTCTGAAATGCACAAATATCAAATGGGACTGAGATCTTTTGGATATAAAGATATGTTTTAAGTTTCATCAAAATCAGATAAAAATTATGACCTTTAGAGGTTCAATAACCTTCGTATAAATACTTGTACACAATTTGCTCACAAAGAACGGCCATTTTGTTGGGCAGTTTCATTTCTATTTTCCCGAAATTCGAATTCAACCTTTATTATGGTAGAATGGTGATATATTTAAACGATTTTTAAAATCGGAAAAAAAATTGTGACCTCCAGAGAATCTGCAAGCTAAAAATGCGATTTTTTAAACAATCAGGAGCCATAATCAAGGAATCTACATTCGGATATGCGCAATTGTCAAAAGGAACCCAGATCTTAGTGTGTAACGGTGATATATTCACATGTTTTTTTTTCATGTGATTTTTCATACATTCTGGGGCCATAATTCAGGAAGTTACAATCCGATATGCGCGAATATCGAAAGGAACCAAGATATTTGGGTTATAAACATGCATTTCAAGTTTAATCAAAATCGAATCAGAATTGTGACCTCTAGAGGGTCCACAACCATGATATACCAGATGTTTACACTATTTGCGTAGGAGAGGCAGCCATTTTGTCTGACAGTTTTGGTCCAATTTTCACGAAATTCGAATGTGACCACAATTACGGTGTAACAGTGATATATTCAAACATTTTTTTAAATCGGATAATAATTGTGACCTCTAGAGAGACCACAAGCTAAAAACACAATTTTTCGTACAATCAGGGGGCATAATTAAGGAAGGTACGATCTGATATGTGCGAATATAAAAAGGAACCAAGATCTTTGGGATATAAACAGGCATTTCAAGTTTCATCAAAATCGGATCAAAATTG